GCGAACCGCCTTTCTTGGGAAAATGTACCGCTTTCAAATATTTTCTAGAGGAAATTTTGATGACTAAGGAAGCATTATGAGGTATATATAAAGATCTAATCATGTCTCTCTTATCCTCACAATCGATTCTCTCAAAATTGTGTCATATTTAGCGAAATTTAAAACGTAAAAGCAGTTTTATTTCGTATCAGCTTCAATGTTGATAATAAAAGGTTCGAGTACACCTGTTTTTACTTGTTTAAACACATGCCAATTATATTGTTATGTCTTTGTTATATCTTAACATTTTTATAACTTAAGGAAATGTGTCAACCTTCCTAATTAAAAACGAACTGGCCGAGGGCAATTTTTAATTTCTTTTAGTATCGGAGTTGTATTCGTCACATTTAGCAAAAGTTTCTGCTGGTGAAACTCCAATCCCTTGCAAAAAAGGCTCTAACTGTTAATGGAATACACATGGGGCGTATATTTAAAATAACCTCTTATAAATGTCATCGTCGTGAAAAAGTAAATAATGTAGTTCAACCATTATTTGTAAAGTTAAAGCAATAACGGAAACAAAACTTATCACATGAAAACGGATAACAAACGTTTTTTTCTCACAGTTTTTATGCAGCAATATAAAAAACTTTTAAAAAAAGTGGCATAGTGATTCAAATCTTACCTGGCATAAAAGACTGGCGTGGAACTAAGTCAATACTCATGACAGCTGCGTTATTATCTGTGTATTTGGAAGATTTGTGTTAAATCGGACAGGAAGAAGATTACACTGATTGCACACCGATTCTGTTGACGTGCACGAAATCCAGAAAGAAGGCAAAAACTTCGTAAGCATAAGTATTCTGTGAAGGCAATTTTTTTATTCCTCAAATTGTTTACTAGTCGGTACTAATAACAATTTATGAACACCGTTTCTTCTCATTACAAGATGTTAATAACGGGTAGCCTGAGTCTGACTGATTCAGAATTGCGAAATACGAGCTATGGAGATACATCAACCGTTGAAGCTGTTAAACTGCCGCAGGTGGAGGGGACACGAGCGATATTTGGACTAATCGCTGCTTTTTCCGTGTTTTTAAACTTCTTCTTTTGTGTGGTTATGATAAGGAAGCCTGTCATGTTGAAATCAGCGCACAACATTCTCCTGTTCTCGCTTGCCATTACGGATCTGCTAACAGGTAATCTCGTGTTCTTTTGTGCAATCATGCAATAATTTTCCTCGAAGAAAGGTAATTTTAATCGTTGAATGGTCACCTAATTTTCTTTGTTTTCTTTTACTTTTACGTTCATGAGGGATATTAATCCCTCTCACTCCAGGATATGTTGTTAGCATTTCATCCTTCCCAGTTCCAAGTGGCTTACGTGGTGAATTTTTTTGCCGCTTTTTGGGCAGCAGATATGTCCTCTTTACAATGGGGAGAGTCTCTATTTTGAAGGTCACGTGTTTGGATTTGGAGAGATGGTTTTCTATCTTTCGACCAATGACTTACAGGTTTTACTTCACAACGAAGAGGATGTTTCTTTACATTTTGGCCATTTGGGTGTTTACCTGTATTTTGAAGAGTAACAAATTCTTTGAATGGAAATTGTTGGGAAATAAATGTTCTCCGATAAAAGCGCCATATGGAGAAACAATTACTCAAACAATAGTAATATTTATCAACTCTGTTATAGGGTTTTGCCTTCCATGTATAATTACATGGGCGTCATTTGCTCATATTGCATTGCTTTTCAAGACATCACTGGTGGCGAGATGTTACGGTGAGCGACAAAGAAAACAACAGAAAGCGCTATTACGCATGTGCGCCGTAGCGTGTCTAACTCTGACACTGTGCTGGCTACCAGCTCAAGCTATTTATGTTCTGTCTCCTTTTGGCATCACAAATATTGATAGTCCCATACACATTATAGGTGGAATTCTCGCCATGTCTAATTCATGCGTCAATCCTTTGATATACTGGATGACAAACAAAGAGTACAGGGACAGTTTGTGTAAAACCTTCGAGGTTTCAAAGATAAAACTTTTCAACAGAAGACGCAAAAAAATGATGGAAAGTCAAATGTATGAACTAATGGTTTTACGAAACTCAGGTAACTGAGGGGACACAATGTTTCGTAGTTCTTCATGAACACGATGTGTTTTCCTTGACTGTAAAATCGTTTGGTATAAACTTCTTAAATGTTCGAATTCCCTGCCCCTAAAACAGTAACTTACACCCGTTATCACGAGGATACCATAAGTTTATTCAAAAGCTCAGTTCCCCCTTTTACCAAAGTGATTGAAATTCGATCACAGTTGTTTTTCTTCAATTCAAACCGAAAAATAAACTTGTAAGTTCACCTTGAGGTTAGAAAAGAACGCCTTAAACTTAAATGTTTTTATTAATGGACACTGTCGCTCCACTTCAGGGGCGGATCTAGGGAAAGGGTGTGTACCTCATTCTGAGATGACCTACCCCTCTCTAACATAACTAGTATTCCGCACCAAAAAAAACAAAAACAAAAAACTGTAGTTTATTTGTGCTAAAGTTAGACATAAGACTAATTTGAAGAACTTCTGCTAAACGCGTAAACATGGTAACCATAAGCCTTCTTTTTCGTGGTTCGTTTTTAAGATTTGTTTTCCGTCACCCGTGAGTTATACCGCTGCACCACTAACTGCATGACAGTCAAGACGGATGCTTTACTTTACACAAACATTAAGTCTAACATTATTTTCAAATAAAGAGCAGAACAAACGACCAGCTACTTGGTCGTACGAGGGATGGATCGCGGATGACAGATGAACGTGTTTCGAAAGTAAAGATCCCCACAGTCACGAAATAGAAGTAATGAGATTACCTCTGATTCTCTAGTAGATCCCTTCGTGTAGAGCTATGACCAGTTAGCAAATTTGCCAGCAACGAATTAATGTGAAAGTGAATAGATGATCAGAATAGCCGGTGGAAACTTGTCAAGAAAATCCTAAGAACACGCGATAGCCGAACTGAAATTAGGGCACATACATAACAAACAGTTGCCCTGTAATTCCAAAGCAGCTCAGCGGAGTGGGCCGCGACCGAGGAGAAGAGAGATCTGGGTACTAAGTTTGTGTTAGTTGTGAAAGTATGCGCAGAAGTATATCATATGCGTAAGTCTGAATTAATAGTGAGTATGGCTCGACACTACGCAATACTTAACAAATTTCTGATTCCTGGAGTATTTGCCGTTTTGCTGTCGAAAGGTGAGAGGTTTTACGCTATAGATTTTAGCCATACTCACTCGTACGCATGTAATGACAACTTCATAACTATACATCATTCGGAAGGAACCAACTCGCAAAATCTTTTGAGGGATCTTAATCTCTTATCTGATTGTAAATTTCAACTTGTTTCTAACAGTGGGCGGTCAAGCATCAAGAATGAATATGTTACCTCCATTTTTAGATCTAAAGATTTCTTATTTACGATTCTTCCGTTCAAGTAATTATTTATGGACAGTTATATGGCACTTAATTTGTAATTATCTGAATTAATTAATTCATTTAATAGTTAATAATAATAATAATAATAATAATAATAACGAGACAACGTTAGTTATACAGTGGAACCTTGACTTTCATCCACCTCATTGTTAAAATCACCCTATTGAAACAGAATTTTCAAAAATAGATTTTGATGTCAGACTTTTTAATTTTGAAAATACAACATTTTTCAAAACTTCAGTCTCATCAATCATAAAATGTCTTTTATATGATCAAGATCTCTCAGTTATTATTTTCATTATATAACTTGACAGTTGCTGAGGTAGAACAAAAATTTAACTCAGGGTATGGTTGCTTTGTTTAAAGCCAGATCCACAAAGAATAATTCCACATCTATGCAATAATGATTGAAATCAGGAATCCATTTTGCACTAATTTCTCTCTTTTGGTATAATTTGAAAAGAACTGCTGTTAACCTTTAAGTGACCAAATTTTTGAAGCCAAGCTTAAGTTGTGTTATTAGAGCTTTACTGTATTAGTTAACCACAAATCAACAATTCATTTGACTAAGAAGGGATAATTTTCGAAATTTAAAGTAAATGCTGTTCAGAGGATTCATTAGATGTGTCTAAGAGAGAATTAAACATTTATTGAAGCAAATTAATAATTACACAATGTGTACAACCCCTTAGTTTTGCTTTGTGATGGTCGTCTTCCACAACAGAGACAGAGTGTCAAAACTTCCTTGACGGTAAGATTACCACATTTTATGTGCGAAAAGAAATGAGAGGATGAAGGAGTTAATGATTTAAGGTGATCTGCATTGTTAGATGTTCTCTAGTTATGAACTGGAAATTCATAATTGGATGATATTGGCAGCAATGAGAGGGCTAAATAAGAAGGAGCTATTTCCATGAAAACGTAATGACACAGTTTACTAATTATGTTTAGTCACCTTGCTTGACAGATACTCCATGATACTTGATAAAGAGAGAGGCAATGAGACTCCCTTAGGTTTGTAACAAAAGAAAAAGTTTAGTGCCAAGATGTTCTCGTAGATATCTATAATACGCATTTGTTGATGAAAACAAATCCAATAAGGCAAATAAATCATCAAGGAATTTAAGTAACACATTTGATAGTGTAGCCACATGTTAAACAAACTGTTTGTATGATTTGTTCTTACCTCTCAGTTTTCTGCAGATGGGTGTGGTAAAACAAAAGGCTGTTTCTTTAAACCAGAATCATGTAAATCTGCAGTAAACAAATGTGAATACTTCATGACTTACAAACCCCAGGGATCCACCATTACTTTTGAATTAAGCAGCAATACTAAGTGGGCAGCAGTTGGATTTAACCACAAGGCTGTTATGGTAATCATTACTGTTTTTTAGGATATACCTCGAAGTCTTCTTAAATCTGCATTTAGTTAAACAGATGTATTAAAACTATCTTAAGCCAGTAATTTCTGTTGTGTTGTTTCTTCTCTGTTGAATTTTACAATACTAGTTTTGTGTGGCTTTTAATTGTTAAAACAAAAGAGAAAGCACACACAAATTAAAAAAGAAACAAACAAACAAAAGCGAAAAAAATAATGCCACGTACAAAACAGCAAAGCATGATATAGGGCAGTAATTTTGCATTAAATTCATTAAATTCATAAGCTTTAGGAATTTCAAGGCAAAACAGTGAACAGCATTTTGAACAGCATAATTGTTTGCTTGGTTTATTTTAATTTTAGGATGGAACAGATGCTATTATATGCTCCCTTCAAAATGGTACCACTCAAGTTGGTCATTATTCAGTTAAGGGATATCAAACACCAAGTAGAACAACACAGGTGAGAGTGGTGGCTACAGAGAGTATGTTAAGCCTTGAACCAATACTTTTCACAATTATCTAGTTTACCTAAAACAATACAAGTTTTTTAATTAATGTAATCAACTGTCCTTTGGTCATATGAAGCTCTATATTGACTGTCTATCAATATATATTTTTTTAATTTTTGGTTGATTCCTCTTCATCTCTGTGATAAATGCGGTTGAATGATAATAGGGTTTATTTGCAGCAGACTTTCACTTAACTTTTTACTTCTTCAGAAGATAAAAGGACTAAAAATTGAACAACAATCTTACGAGGATGGAACTATCAAATGCAGGTAGAAACAATAAATGTCTGACTCAGAAGCATTGGTTAAATTGCAAAATCTTATAGCCATTTGATTGGACTCAAGTGTGATAATGATAATAGAAATTAAAACTATGATTATAATTATGTTGAAGTCAATATTCAAGACTGATTTTTGTTATGTTGAATCATATTGATTTCTTGATTAATGATGCTTAAGAGTTAAAAATATCTGTGATTTCTTGATCAGAAACTTAAATTTAAAAATTAAAAGAAAGCAAAAAATCAAGTTGTTATTTTTTGATACGGATTTTTTATTCACTGACTAGTTATTGTGAGGAGTGTTTTTAGGGTTAAGCATTAATGACTGCATTTAATTATTACTATGCACCCCACTGCTCCATGTAATTTTTGTGGTCTGTTATTACATTGCTGGAGAAAATAAATATTAATTTACAGGAGATGAATGAAGGAAAAACAAATTTATTTGGTTATCAAGGTGTTTGTATACACTTTAGGTTTAGTAGAGAGAAGCAGGATGGAGTCATGACTTCTGACCTGAACAATAATTTATTTGTTATATTTGCACAAGGGCCTACAGGTAAGGCAGGCAATACTTTGTGCTATTTTGTTTTGAATCCAATTGTGTTTAGATGTTTTAAAAGTCCAATCGATATATAATTTTATATATATATACCTGTTTTGAAAAACACAGCAACATTGGAAATAAAAGGTGTATATATATTCTCAAATTTGCAACCTTTTGTGATACAGGTGTTTAAATATACATATATATATATATATATATATATCTGGCTTGTCAGGATAAAGTGTAGTCTCTTTGTTTTTTCCCTAACTCAATTCATATCACTCTTCTTCAATGTATCAAGCACTGTAATACAGGAAAACTGAAACATAGACTTCCTATATATATTATGTATAGTTATTATTTATATATATATATATATATATATATATATATGAGAAAAAAAAATTATAGACCTTGAAAGGCCCAAATATGATATACTTTGATGCTAAGGTTCACTAACTTGAGGTGTTACTCTGTTGATAGTGTTCATCCTATACATCCATTCATGGTTGAGATGTTTGCTTAATTGCATTTCTTTATTTCAAGATATATATATAAATCTTGGTTATAGTCTATCCTGATGATCACATAAGCATGAAACTCAGAGTCAGAAAAAGTTATGTCTTATTGATTAGTTCAGCTGTCAGATATCTATATAATTATCTATTTAACAAATAGATTCCAAGTTGCTGTGTGTCTGTTCAGCAATAGATCATAGATGATGTCAAAATGTGGTAAGAACAAAAAAGTGGCACACGAGGTGCAGCCAAGTGTGTCACTGATGTTCTTACCATATTTTGATGTCCTCTGTGATCTATTACTGAACAGACGTACGGCAACTTGGAATCTATTAGTTTTATATAATAAAGAATTAAAATATACGGAAAAAAGGTTTAATGATGATGTCATCTATACATCTGTCCTCCAATAGATCATAAGTGAGAACCAATCAGAATGCGTGCATAACTGAGCTTATATTATATAAATAAATATATATATATATATATAAGGATAATGGAGTGGCTATGCTAATTCTGCCGGGTGAAAGGACTGGAACTAAATAAGATTAATTCAAGTAGTAATAAGTTAAGTAAATGAAAAAAAACATCTAATAGCAGTCCTTCCAATAACTTTTAGGGTAAAAGTTTCTTGTCAAGGCTGAAACAATGACATACATGTATTTGTCACGCCTCTCTTTGCTACACTGTTGTTCAGTGTTATTCTGATGGACACTTTTGTGATGCAATCTGATGCAGTTCTTTTTATCATGTAAAGTTAATTTTAAAATCCTGCATGTAATTGACTTACAGTTTCAGTGCTGTGCACAGAGTTCTAATTAACCCTTTAACCCCTAAAAGGGGCTAACATATAATTTCTTTTCACATCATCCCTGAATCAAACATTAAGGTCATGAGAATAAAGGAAATGATCACCAACTAAGGAAGCTCTTGATTGCCAAACAAATTCTTCTGATCAGCTTCTTAGAAGAGGTTTAGAGGATAGTAACTCTAGAGAATATGTATACTGACGTTAGGGTGTAATAATTCTGCACAATATAAGGAGGATTACTCTTGGTTTCGTGTTTAAACCTGTACAGGGACTGGTGGATCTCTCAGGGAACACAGCTGGCAAGGTCACTCCATGAGCCCAGTGAATCTCAAGGAAATTCAAAACCTTGAAGCATCAGTCTATGATTTCTCCCTACTTCAAATCCATGGTAATTTTATAAATTGTTATTACATCTGAAATTGTTTTCAGTATTTGTAGCACAAATTCCTTTTTTTGTTACACTTTATATAATTTGTAAATTCCCACTGCTTAATTCTCATGTACAGAGAATATTGAGATAACTGGCATTTTACTTGAATTTACCTGCCAACTGACTAGACTGCAGGGAAGACTGCTTACAGGTTCTGAATTTTGATTATAGCAGTGTTGATGGTGATTGCCTGGGTGGGGTTTGCCACCATAGGGATGTTTATAGCAAGATACATGAAGCCAGTCTGGGGTGAAAAGGATCTGTGTGGCAACAGGCTCTGGTTTCAGGTTTGTCCTAGTAGTGTAGATGGAAATTCAACCAAATTCTTTATTATTAACCTGTTAGAGGTTACATGGATTAGTGCAGGTTTTGCCCTATCACTTATTTCAAGTACTGACATTTGATGTAGAAACAGTTAATGTTCAGTCAAGGTCTAGTTGCATTAATTTCATTTTCCCACTGACAAAATGTGGTCAAAGGCCTACTGTTTGTATTTCAGTAAAAAGCTTCACTGGGGAAAAATTTTATTATCTGGGTGGAGGATTCCAAAGAATAGAAAAAGTAGACAAATTGATTAGGTTCATCCTACTTGACTGAGAATATAAGAAACAGTACTTGATGGGGAAAATTTCTACAGTTGATGATGTTTTTATACACTCAGGTGCACCGTGTTATCATGGTTATCACAGGCTTATTAACTGTAATAGGAGTAACTCTAGCCTTCATTTATGTTGGTGGATGGTCTAAGGTATGTTTTGTGTCAAATGAAAAATTAAGTTTTCTTTTAAGACACAGCAACACAACCTAAGTAAAAGAGCAAAAAATGAAAAATGGTAGAATAAACACAAAAATTTAAGTGGATTGCTAGTTTTACTTTCTGTAAGACACTGATCAAATCACTCATTGCGTTCGACGTTAGGAGAAATGCATGTTGTGAAAGCTTTACAGTTTCTCTTTCATTTTATACTAAATTTTAGAAGTAGTTCACATTTTCAAAATTGTTTAATAACATAGATTTAAATAAAATTAATCCATTTCCCCTATTAGTAATAACTACCACACCAAAAGTAAAAATTGTTTGCGACGACTGCCTCTTCAAAAACAGATATAACTAGCCTTTAATTACACAGAGTAAATACATCCATAACCCTTTATTTGAGTTCATAGGCATATTCATCTATCCTAATAACCAAAAACAATATTCCCCTTTGAAATGCCGACGCACTTCCCTAATCTCCGATTACTACCATGAATAATCCTCCCCATTTATTTTATGGGAACACTAATTCATGCCATCAATTATTTTATGGGAACACTAATTCATGTCAAGCCTTTCTCATGGTAATGTATATTTTGTCAATGATGCCCATAGGATGCTGGTGCTCATCCTGTCATTGGCATTATTGTACTGTCAATAACTATCATACAGCCAATTGCAGCAACTCTCAGACCTCCATATGGAGAAAGGTAATTTCTGATATCACTCTGAAGTGTGAAAATTAGTACAGCTTTCTTTACATGTGTTTTGGGTTTACTGTTGTTTTTTAATTGAGGTACTAGGTAGCAGCACATAGTAATGAAATGATTACTTCCCTCAGAATATGCAGGTACTGCAAGGCCATTTTAATTTGGCACTCCCCATTTTATATGGACACCATTCACTGAATGGACAGTAGCTGCAATAAGCCCTGTTAGAATCCTCTGAAGTCCTTAACCAGTTTCTCACAATTGTTTTCATTTGTTCTTTTGTTTGTTTGTTTGTTTGTTTTTAAGACGATGGATGTTCAACTGGGCACATAGAAGTTTTGGATTGATTGCCTTAGCATTATCAGGTATCAATCTAACACATACAGTGTATGTGGTGTAACTTGTGCTGTATGCCAGAAGGACTAAATAGTTGCAATATTTTTTATTACACTGAATATGGACTAACAGTTAAGATAGTTTGTAGATCAGGCCTCACATGAAAGGATTACCTAATTTGATTTTTTTTTCTAAAGTGATAAATATATTCCTGGGTTCTGTACTACCAGCCTTCCATCTGGAAAGTTCTGCAGTGTATGTGATGATCGTCTATCTACTAGTGCTTGCAGCAGTGGTGATGTTTGAAATCTACTTGGCTTGCAAACAAGGAAAAAGTGTTAGAGAGTATTGTGTGCTTTCTAAACCTCAAGAAGATGAAGTTGACCTTACTCCAGTTTCAGCCAGTGGAACTGAAATTGATGTTGAGAAGGTGCATTAGTCAATTAGGTGTATTTGAAACTAACAGCCTGATAGCATGAACACACACACACACACACACACAAAAAAACAAACTCTGAGGCAAGAATAAACAGGATGAGTAAATCCAGTGTACAACAGATGTTTCTCTTAAAAGCATACCTCTGTTTTTTTTTTTTTTAGGTATTCAAGCTACACACCATTATGTTTGGAGTTCTGATTTTGGCTCTAAGTATTATTTGTGTGGCCATGCTGTTACTGATCACTATGCATGTGGAAGCTGATGATAACTGAATAGCTACTTTGGCTCTGTTTAACGTGGAGTACCAAAACCTTCCACAGAAAACTGTTTTAAACTGTTAACTTAGACCTCAAGTGCAATGCCAGTTTTAAAAAAAACATACAAGTGTTCACTCCTGAGCATGTTGAAGGGTAATAAGATTACATTTCCTGAGACATAAGTTGTAGGATTGTTATATTAATACAATCTGAGAGTTTTCTTTGGAAAAAAAGAAAGTCATTTCCAATTTGGATTGAAACAGTTCCCCTTATTCTGGGGTGTTTCCTAACTAAAGGTTACAAAGATACAGTGTTATTACATGTAGTTTGCATGCAGCATCCTGTAGGTTACTCAGGGTTCAGTTATTTTAAGAATTTATCTTTTGGATCAAATATACAGCTAATTAAGTTCACTTTATCATTATGATAGTACAAATTGCATAAAGAATGCAAAAATTGCCAGTGTTACTAGTTTGTTTTAACTTCAGTATTGTCTTTATTTTAATTAGTTGATTCTGCTCTTAATTAGTTCTGTTTCAAAGTCAATCTACTGTACCTCACTTTTACTTATAATAAAGAAACATAAATATTGAAAAAGATGAATATTATTGTATGTCAGTTGTAATATCACCTTACAGCCATGATTCTGGTTCAAAAGATTAGAGATATGGGTTTTTTTCTTCTATCTGTTCATGAAAAACTAGAGTGAAAGCCATTGATTTACTCATACCAGAAATATTTTCATGGAAAATTGATATTGATATATGAGAATATAACCTCTTCAAATAGTGCAGTTTTCAAGAATGATTCTTGGATTGTGGACCAACACATCAACAGTTCAGCACCACTCAGCCACCCTGCTTGCTGGCAAACTAACTTTTCATATCTAACTATACCCTAGCTGCCTTAAGACCTAAGCTACCAACCTCTAACCTGTCTTCTGTCTCTAACATGGCTTGACCTTTGCTTTTGAGTTGAACTCAAGTGTGTCCATTCTTCACAAATGTTCCTTGCCCTTACTATCAGTCATTGTGCAAACTCAGACATAAGTTGTCTTGCAAGCCAGTCTAAGCCTTCATGTAGGCCCTTGCCAGAATGTGCATCAGAGGCAAATATGTTCCAGCTCCTTCCACAACACAGCTTATGGAGAGCAAGCTTTTCAGTGAGATCATCAACACTGAGAGCACTGGGCAAGTCCTACAAAATAGCATTTGAGTGTCCATTTTAGCATCATTAATTCAAAGCTATTTAAATTAAATTATTACAACTCCAGTTGAAATTGAAATAGATGTTTGTTTCAGTGTCAATATATATTTGATGTGTTAACTATAACTAATAGGGACACTGTCTATCTTACATTGAATAGAATAGAAGTGTTAACATTCCCACCCCAGAGAGACTGTTCACCTAACCATCAAAAGGGAAGTGGACAAGAATTCAAAACCACACACACTATTTCATCCAGGAGAAAGAGCAAGGGGGTGGCATTTGGATTTGAACCAAATCTGCAAACTGAGAACCAATCAGAATGCGTGCATAGCTGAGCTTATCATATAATTATAAATATAATTAATTTGTTTATTAATCTATGGTGATATGCAATGTACATGAGAATAACAGTAGGAAAAGCACTTATCACAAAGAGATATTGTTCTTATTATAACATGTGTACCTGTTTGTTAGCATATATCAACAACAGAGCATCTTTCAGTCTTTTCTCTGCCATTAATTTTGCAAGTTCCTCATGAGCCTCTTCAATACGCTCTAAATTGTTACTGTCAATCACAAAGATCACAGCTAAAATATAGAAATACAAAAAATTCAACCAAAGTAAGAAACAGCAAATAGATTGTATACTTGCATGTAACAAAATACTTTTCTTACGTACCAGCTAATATTACTGTTTACAGGAAATACGTTACTACCCTGCAAGAATTTTAGTGCCCTAATAACCTAGCTCAGAGTTACAAAATGAAGTTCTGATGAAATTTCTGTTCAAACAGTTATTTGGACAAAATGGAAACTGTACACTAAACCATTAACCTATTGAACTTATCATTATGATAGTAAAATGGACCTACATGTACATAACAAAGTTAGGCCCTCAACAGCATAAATGCCAAATTTACCAAACAACCTTCATTTCTTGTGATTCTAACCTTGTGTGTTAAGGTAATAATGTCTCCAAAGTGGACGGAGTTTCTGCAGACCACCAACATCCCAAAGAGTAAACTTTAAACTGCGGTGTTCAACAGTTTCCACATTGAATCCTGTCAAAAATATAGAAAATTAAGGAAGAGGAAGTTTAGCTGTATCAAGTTAAACACCAAAAAATACAATTTCCTCCAGCTCTCCAGCAAACAACCACTCACTGCTATCTCAGTTATACAAGACTTTCCACATTTTTGCTTTCAAAGTCACCAAAATGCACATTTCTCCCACCAACAAGTTCAGGAAATGTTCAGGTTTGTTACTCCATTTTTTTTAAGGAATCAAGGACTACATACATCACTGAGGCAGTAAACAACTTAATTAACAGAAAACTTGACCATTTAATGAACCATTTATTAGAACTCAAAGACAGTGTGTCCCAAAAACAGGCCACTGCAAAGCTAGTCTGCAATGATGAAACACCTAAAATTTTCAGCTACACAGCTAGTGGCTTGTTGTCTGTCCTTAAATACCCATCAAAAAATGAGAGTAACTCCAATGAGCAAGACTATCAGAGAGGGTAAGCTCAAGAGTAGGGGGAGAAACTGTGTGGTAAATACCAAATCCAATCACCTAATCCATGAAGAAAAAGGACAAATTAAAACAAAAAAGGTCCCATACGTAACTCTTGAGGTCTCTTCTATCTATAGCAAGGCATTCTTTCTCCATTCCAATCTAGTTAATCAAAGCACATTCAATTAAAATAGATTAGGGTAAAAAAACAATTACCAATTGTTGTTATGGGCGAGACAAACTCATCATGCTTCATTTTAAATAAAATTGAAGTCTTTCCTGCTCCATCAAGTCCCAGTGCAACTACTCTCATTTCCATTTTTGGACCTATGTGGACCCTATTGTCTTTTGTAAAGGCAACAGGGATGGCAGCATCTGTGTCACAGAGGCTAGCAATGTTGGTGAACTGCTCCTGCTGGTCTTGTACTGTTTCCAAAAGACTATGGATACTGTTTCTGGCTTCTATTACCTTCAAAGGTTGAAAGAAATTGATACTTAAATAGTGAAATGTTTATATCATGAAGTACAACCATTAATAACAAATTCCATAAAACTGAAATTTACTGAATCTGGTATTACATCCTGCCACAGGTAAAACAGATTAATTTACGTATCTAGTGAATTCTTTTAACTTCTGAGCAATATTGAAAACCAAACATTCTTTTATGTAGGTCAATAGGTGAATAGCATGAATAACTTTTCCTAAAACCTTAAAGTAGCTAATAAATGTGGTTAAAAATTCTCCTTTCTTTTAAATTGTATCATATTAACATGATTTCTTTCATTCTTTCCAGATTAAGGAATTATGTAAAAAAAAAAAAAAACCAAGACAAAAATAAATAAATAATAGTAATAAAAAAAAACAAAAACAAAAACAAAAAATAGGCAGTCAGAGACTACATGTGGCTACTGATGTAGTAAAATTTCTAAAGCATTGAAAAGAACTTGAGGTATTATAATGATGAAGCAGTGTTGAAGAATATCTGTATCCATATGCAAAAACATGCCCCATCACACATATTTATAAGTACCCTGTTCCACAAGAGAAAGATGATGTGAGAATATAGTGACTAATTGACATTCAACCAATAATTAAATGGTAAAATATAATCATACCAACAAAAGTTATAGTAATCAATACCATAACTTTTGTTGGTATGATTATATTTTACCATTTAAACAATAGTAATAGTGATTAATTTATGGGGGGTAGCTCAAGAAACTCAAAGTTTCCACAATGTGCAGATGTGCTGATCACACCAATTTACTTAGATATTTCTGCAAGGAAGAGTTTTGTTTTCAATTACATGCAGGAGAAACAACTTTAATATTATTTAGAGATGTTTATCATCTCTTTCAGGGTCACAATAAGAACTGATAACATAGGCATGCATAGCATACAAGAGTTATTTTTTTACTTGGGTAGATCAAGATGGGAAACTTTGTGTTCCTAATGTTTTCATAACTTTTTTATGGGGGGTGGCTCAAGAAACTCAAAGTTTCCACAATATGCAGATGTGCTGATCACACTCATTTACTTAGATATTTCTGCAAGGAAGAGTTTTGTTTTCAATTACATGTTAAAGAACGACTTTGAAATTATTTGGAGATGTTTATCATCTCTTTCAGGGTCACAATAAGAACTGAAAACATAGGCATGCATAGCATCATCATCATCATCATCATCATGCCCTTTACGCCTAACAGGCATGTAGGGCAGCAACGTGTTCCCTCCACATCTGGCGATCCCTTGCCATGAACTTCCCATCACTCACACACTCACTCATTTCAATTACATACAGTAAGTAGCTTGCCTCCTACAAGAGGATGTAGCCACAACAAAGAGTAAGATTGAAATATAAAACACAAATTAGTTTGAAAGATTTCACACCAAGAAAAACATTTTTATCAAAACTCAGCCATTCAAAATGGACATAAAGCAATCTGGATTGGTATGGAACATGATAACTTTTGGAGAAACCAGGGAGAACATTACAAAGATGAGATCCCACATTGCTCTCCAAAATTCTGCTGCAATTTCAACCTTGACTTCTTAGATTTCTTCTGTTTCTCACTTTTCATCACAAGGAAAAAAACCTTTGTTTACTATTTTCCTTAACCCCGCAACTCTTTCAAGAAGTCAACCTGTTAATTTGAGATTGTAAACTTATCCTATATACAAACACACTAGATATACATCCTGGGCAGTTAATGAGTCTTCTTACATACTAGAACTTAGTGTAAGGACAATACAAGTGCTTCACAAGAGTGGTAGGTGATAAGGGCTTTGCTATGAGACACATGTGCAGAAGTTAATGTCACAAGTTGTAGTTTTAAGTACCAGGGAAGGGCAACAATTCAACTCCTGTGTTAATATAAAATTAATGTTATACAATAACATTACCTCAGCATCACTCCTCTTGAGTGCTCTGTCACACTCTACACAGACAGATGTTACTTGCGACATCAAAACAGCCATGTCCTCCTGTTGTTGTCTGAGTGACAGTAGTTTCTCTCTCACATAATTATTAACAACAGCAAGTCCAGCCTCCTCTTGTCGGTTGACTGTTTCTCGTAGATCATCAAAATATGCTCGCACTTTACTTCTTGCATCTTCTGCAGTTCCAGCAACATGTTGCGCAACGAGATTTCCTCGTTCATCCTCTTGCATCAACACCCCACCTTTAATTTAAGGGAAATGACAATTTACAACATTTTCCTAATCGCTTTCACTGAAGATCACTATGATCTTTGGGGGGGTAAATTTTTTTTACCATATTGAGAGAGCAAGGCAAGGTCTGACTTGACAACTTTGTTGCTGCTTCACAAACTCTTTTACAAGGCAAATCAAAATTACATCGTAAATAGGTTATTAAAAACCAGTAGCCTTATGCATCCACCAAAAACTTGAAAACCCAAAACATGTTCAACAACTTTGTGCAACAAACCTTCAATTGCTTCAATAACTGAAGAAAGTCTTGCAGCTGACCCATCAACTTCATCAGTAAAGGTTCTAACATGCTGTATGACTTTGGTCACAGAGGCACGCATGTTCTCTGCTTCGTTCTCAAGTAGAGTATGCTTATGTCCCTGATGTTTACCATAATCTCGACACACAAAGCACATCAGTGAGTTATCTTGACATTCTTCCTCTAAACATGTGAATTCTATGACATGAGCTGAGTGTTGTAGACATTTTGGCTTTTCTTTGGGTTTCTCAGAAATGGGAATTCTTCTGTGCTTCACTAGAGTTTTGGTGGAGTGAGTACCCTCTGCACATTCACCACACAAGTTAGTTTCACAAACAGTACAGTATATGTTGGCAATGTGCTCTTCATTTTCATCACATCTAACAGTGTCATCTCTGCTCTCACTGTCACTTATTACCGATGGTTCTTGTAGCACTTGAAGACGTTCTAACAGTTCCAACAATGCAAAATTTTTCTTTAAACCCCAGACTCCAGAGTCACCCAGTTCAGTTGACTGTCTGTCAAAGGGACAGTGAAGTTTGTGCCCAAGGACTGGTAGCCGAGTCAAACAGTCATGACAGACAGTGTGTCCACACAATAATAACCTTGGAACTTTGTCACCTTGAAGGGTGAATACATCTTCACAAACTCGACACTCTAACACCTGAAATTGATAAACATCACAGTGCTTACAATATCTTGTACTCCATTATATAATAATCAATAATCCAGTTCACAAACAATAATAGCTACAAAGCGATTGTTATGTATTTACCGAAAATGCAGCAGTTAAATTATCATGCTGTCAGGTTTGTTGTTAAATTTCCATGTCCTAAGGCATTTTCAGTTCAGATGAGGGGACCATGAATGTGATTGGTTATCACCAGCCTGATTTGAACACTACTTGGACAGAGTATGCATCATGCATGTAATTGGAAGGAATAATTGAACAGTGCTTGTGTCATGCTTATGTAAGACAGCACGCATCATGTATGCACACTGTTGTTGCACATTTCCCTGAGTTAACTGTGGTTTTTTTAATTAAAAATTTACAGCTACTGGTTAGTTTGTTTAAACAATTTTATCACAGTTTTGATTAATTTGTATTGGGACTTTGTGTCATCCAATTCAATTTGTAATCATACTCATAATAAACAAATAAGACCCTAACTTTGCAGGTGTGCAATTTCATAAAACACTTGTATGATTTTAGACCATATTCAACTCCACTCAGTCTTAATACCTTTACTCCTATTACCACTAATTATATTTGTTAATGGAGACTCTGGAGGAGCAAGTGTGACATTAATTGCCTCAGTGAAGAACGAGACAGCTTTGTTGTATAACTTGCCGTAAAAATATATTACAAAAATTTATATTCAGCAAGGTGTCAGTGAAAAAGAGCAGATATTACCCTTGCCACTTAATAACCATAGCTTGTTAAATATCCTCTTTAACACTATTTACCTACACTTAGGTGGAAAAAAATTGTGCTGTTAGAAGAAGCCAACCACCCCAGCAGTTTGTCCTCGCCTACAATGTGCATGTTTGCAGTAAGTTTTTTTTTCTAATTAAGTTGGATAAAAACAAAAAAAGTCACGACTAGGTTTCTCTCGATCTTTTTCCAGGTTTTTGCTAATTCTAGAACTTGATTTAGGCTGAAGTTTGCCATATTGATTGATAACACACAGAAAATGACTTGGACAGAAACAATACAGTGCTGAAAAGGGTAAGTTGAAGGTTAATTACTCATTCTCCAAGTTCTCGGTTTTGCTTTTAACCCAGGGAAAACACATCTACACTCATATGAAAGTATTTTGGATCGTCAGCCGGTTTTCTTTTCCAATCTTTAATTTTGCAGCTATATATTATTAACCAATCAATTTATACCCACATTTAGACGACTTCTTGTTTTTGGTACAACAACTGAAGAAGCTTCCATCTTTCTGCTGAATGACAGTAAGATAATCCCCTCGTTTTATGGCCGTGGATAGCTGTTGTTTTGCGTTCACCTTCTGTATTTCCCGCCCTACTTGACGCGGCTGCCACATAACACAGAGCCAGGGAGACAATGCAGTATTATTCCGTAATGTAGTTTTTTAAGGACACTTTATGGCTTGTCGACATGAACGAAGAAAATGGGAGACTACAGTATAGTTTACATGAATCTAAAATAGAGGGAGACTACCACGTATTCTTACACCACAGATACAGTCTCTGTAGCAGGCAGCGCCGCAAATGAACAGCGGAGAATACAAAATATCTCACGCGCATCACCTTTTTCACGCATACAGCTGATGTTTACTTAGATCAAAACAAGGGAAGTAAAATGGATACTGGCTTAAGAGAAAGGGAGCACTTGCTCAATTTAAAAGGTAGATATTTGTGATTATTTGTCCTATCCTTACTCGATGCTTTCCCATGCTGTCTTTAATGACTCTATGTGGTTGTTTTGGTTTTGTTTGGTTTGTTTATGGGTTTTGTTAGGTTCTGATCATAACTACTGTAATTCTTGTTTTTATGTTAAGTGATGAGGCTGACAAGACCATCGTTGTTCACAAGTGTTCCCGTGACAAACGAGTCTCAAGATCTACCAGGTTTGGTATTTGATTTAAATTAATCCATGTGCTCGGTGAAATACCCAGCTGAAAAGACATGAGTATCATATTATTAAAGGAAAAATTTAGAACCTATGAATAAGGGAGTACTTTAGGTTATGATATAATTTTTTTCTATATATAGAATAAGAGAGATGGTAAGTTCTGAGCTTGGTAAAGAAATAGAGAAAGATGTTTTTTGTCGTGTCATGAGCATGGGACAAAGAAAAAATTCAAGTCCCCATGAGAAATTGAACCTCAGACCTTTGAATTCCATGCTCTGATGCCCTACCACTGAGCCACAGAGACTCTATAGGGATTAGGTCTATTACAAAGTTCATATGACACATATCCTGCATACTGTTAGGATCAGACACTGCTGATGCTATTAACATTGCTGATCCTAAAGGTATGCAGGACACGTGTCATATGGACTTCATAATGGACCTTGCTCACTGTAGAATCTCTGTGGCTCAGTGGTAGAGCATCACAATGCAGAATTCAAAGGTCTGAGGTTCAATTTCTCAAGGGGACTTGAATTTTTTTCTTTGCCCCACACTCTTGACATGACAAAAAACATTTTTCTCTATTTCTTTACAGTGCTCAAAACTCACCATCTCTCTTATTCTATTTACAAACATAACACTATCAACATTGCTGATCTTAGCAATATGCAGGATGCATGTCATATGAACTTTGTAATAGACCTTGCTCACCGTAGAGTCTCTGTGGCTCAGTGGTAGAGCATGGGAGCTCAGAGTCTGAAGGTCTTGAATTGGATTCCTCATGGGGACTCAGAATTTTTTCTTTGTTCTACACTCATGACAAAACGAAAAACATCTTTCTCAATTTTTTTTTCAGGGAATACTTTGGAGGTTGCACACACAGCAGACATAACATCTGTAAAGGGACTCAGTAAATTCGCTTTGGGTGAATTGTTTGTCTTGCCTCACACATTTGGGTGAGTGTTAGCAATGGATGTGTTATCCACATTCTATGTGTTTCTGATAGACTGTCTGTCTGTAGTCATTGTTTGGAGGTATGTTAGTTTAGAACTACATATCTGTTTAACATCTGTCTATTTTGCCTTATAGAAATATCTTCCTTGGCGAAGTATTTTCAAGTTATGTCAGTGTTCATAATGACAGTAACCAACCAGTCAAAGATATTGTAATTAAGGTATAACTTTTGCCTCTAATATACAATAATACTTCTGTTTATGACATACTTAAAGGATAGAACAGTAGACAGGAAGTGTGACCAACAGATCAACATACTTTATGGACTGAACAGTAAACAGGAAGTGTGATTAATAGATCAGATAAATAGACACACTGACAGGTAGGCTAACTATTACAAACAAGCCAATTCACAGCCAAGCAGACACATAGGTTAGCTTGCCACTAAAGTAACTAGTGAAACAAACAGAGAGCAGGCAGGCAGAAGTTTTCAGACAGAATAAGAATAAGAAAATGGAGAATTCCACAAACACCTGGAAAAATTAGTATGGTAATGATCAGATAGGGACATTCATCAAGTTCAAACAAATACAGCATAAACTTTCCCAAAACAATGTTGATGATTTTTGAATTTCTTTAAGTATTATTTAATGAAAAAAGGAAAAGCTTTGATCACAAGATATAATAAATTTCAGACTGACCTCCAGACGTCATCTCAGAGATTGAATTTATCAGGCACAGCTAACATGCCAGTGTCTAAACTGGATCCTGAGGAGAGTTTTGATCAGGTTATTCAACATGAAGTAAAAGAACTTGGGACACATATGTAAGTTGTGTGATACCATTTAATTTCTTATCAGCACAATCTTTTACTTTTATCACACAGAAATTAGTAATACAAGTGAAGTGATAACTCATTCAGTCATGCAATTTTGTTGGTTTATTTTTACAGCCTTGTGTGTGCTGTGAATTATGCCACTTTAACAGGAGAGAAGATGTACTTTAGGAAATTCTTTAAATTCCAGGTGATTTAATTTGTTATCATGACTACATGTACATCCTGTGTTACACTGTTAATTTATCAGTTCAAATCACATTAATTATCAAGTGTGAACATGATGTGATTATTTTACACCTTTGCTCATCGTACTTATGTGACAAACTATTTATCAGGATGTATTTGGTAATTTTAACAAATAGATATATTTTATATTTTAAAAAATTGATGGAAAGTGTTTTGTACCTTTGTTAGAAAAACAACTAGCTATTAAAATAATTTGTTTCCTAGGTCCTCAAACCTCTTGATGTGAAAACAAAATTTTACAATGCTATGGTATGGTAAGCAATGTTAGAAAAGATGATCTAACAAATATTTCAATGTGCATGAGTTAGTTACTACATGCATGGTAGACTGACTCCTAATGCTTGATTTTTCTAAGGGTGATGAAGTATTTCTTGAAGCTCAAGTACAAAACATAACATCAAGTCCAATGGTTATGGAGTCTGTTAGACTAGAGCCATCAGCAGTGTATACTGTTACAGATCTTAACTCTATTACGATTGATCCTAAACGAGGGGATGGTGATGGGTGAGTGTTGTCATACATTGTACATTGTAGTTCATTGTGGCGTGGCACTCTAAGTCAGTTTGTCTGAGTTTGTTAAAGTGTTTTGTGAACCTGTCACTTGGTTTTGATACACTGAAGCTAATCTTAAGATTGTCTCTACTCTTATGTTAGAGAGGAGAGTATAACAGAAAGTATATTTGGTCAGGGCTCTTACATGAACCCAAATGATACCAGACAATATCTGTACAGGCTGGCACCAGTAGCTAACATGAGCAAAAATGTCAAGGTATACAACATGATTTGAATGCACTTTTTGTGGTGAAGTAATACTCTAAGCTCCAGATATTTGTGGAGGAAAAAATTGAAACATTTAATGGCATTCTTTGTTGAAGGTAGCTAATGTTGTTGGCAAGTTGGATATCGTGTGGAGAACAGCTTTTGGAGAAAGAGGGAGACTGCAAACTAGTCAACTTCAGAGAGTGGTGGGTGTATTATATGTCTAACATGAGTGGAGGGAGGCCACCTAACAAAGAATAATTTACTGCTGAGAACTCAAGGAATGGGGAGTTTGTGTGTATAAGAGGTTGTCTTAAGACAAGATTTGGCACAACTTTAGCTTGTTTGAAAGATTCTTCCAGAAAGATTAAATTGTTTTTTGCATATCCAGAATAGATGCACCTAGCTCTCCTCGTTCATTGAACATGCATGTTATAAGACAGGGCAAGAGATTAATTGCTTTTGATCAATTTTAGGCTCCTCCAGTGTTAGATATCAAAATGAGTGTCATCCAAATCCCAGATGCGGTGTTAGTGGAAAAAAGGTTTCCAGTCAAACTTTCACTAAGAAATACATGGTAAGATCTTCAATTGATATTAACATGTATAGGTTGGTGTGATTTATGCTTATTTTGCTGATAACGTTTGGTTTGTTTGCTACTTAGTGAAAGGAAGATGGATCTTAAACTTTTTATGACAAAAAGTAAAGATGGTGGACTAATGTGGTGTGGAACATCTGGCAAGGTACAGGGTGTAGCTGAATAAATATGGTAATGTAAATAAAGGGTTGTTTCTTGATTGCCACCAGAGTTTGTGACAAGTTTTCAGGGTTATAAATTATAGTGGATTCAGTATGTGTGCTGCTTTGTTTTGGGACTAAACATAAATACAGACAGCTTATAGGGTTAGTGCCATTGTTTTTTAATGCCTTGATAACGTCAGTTGTTTTTACATTTGCAATTAATTTTTAGAGTCTTGGTTTTCTACCCCCTGGAAATTCAGTGGAACTGCTGCTTAACCTCCTTCCACTTGCTGCTGGATTGCAAGTAAGTGAAGTTTGTTCATTTTGTGTAAAACTATGTCAAAAATAGGAAAATCCATTGATGTAATATGTCCACAATTACTTTGGAAACTATGATGCCTGGTTTGAATTCATGATATGATTTCCTAAATGCAATTATTATTTTTCTCCACAAGTGCAAGTCCAGTAGGAATAAAATTATATTTACATTTTCTCTTCAGAGTGTTGGAGGATTGCAGATAGTGGACTGTCTTTCTTCACGTACATACGAGCTGGATAACTTGTCCCAAGTGTTTGTTTACTCATCAGAAGTCTCACCATTTTTGCACCAGTATTAAAGGAATTTAAAAATTAAGACTGAAATGTACATTTGAAAGTGAATGGTTCATCAAACAATAGGAGAATTTTTATCTGAAGTCCTACTGAAAGAAATAAATGAAACCAAAAAAATCTAGATGCCAGCTGACTGTTCATTGGTGTTTGGTCAATTTTGCACTATTTGATAGTGTAGTCTGATTGTGTGCCTGAGGGTAGTCCTGAAAAGGATTGTTCTTTGTAATTGACTGAGATTTCAACAACTTTAGTGGAAGTCAACAGCAGAGTCAAGGCTGAGCGTAAGGTTAATGAAACCTCAGACACTGCCATCTACATCTGACATTCTTGCAAGTGCTCTCAGGAGGACAATCAGATTATGCGTTACCACACAGTTCAAAGCATTAAATAAAATTAATTTTGTTCAAGTGATCCTTTTAAAAAATAGTTACTTCACATGCCTGCTTTATCACAGTAATCTTACAAACTTCTCATGTTTTTATTATAATACAAGTTCTTGGCACATGCTAATATCAACCTCTGTCTTTTTACAAGTGCCTGCTCACTCTACTTCATACAATAAAATACAGGAACAGCAAAAACACTGTATATAAAGCCTCTCCTCAACAGAGTTCAATTAAGTTTCATATCAAATTCCAGTCTCCCCCATCACTAAGTTTACTTTTACAATGTTCTATACAATCAATGTTTGATGTGTTATACTAATGCTTGCACCCACCAAATACATTTTTCTAGGACTCAAGTGACCATCTTTTCTGCTTTCCATTGGAAAACTCAACCTAAAAACTTGTCTCAACAACTGCAATTGATCAAAGGATAAATTCTCAGTTAGATTTGAATTTTGTTCAGTAGTTACACCACTGGAGTCTTGTTCATCTAAGAGTGTCTAAAGATTATATTGGGCAATTTAAAAGTTTTACTAGCAGCTTGATCTCAACATTTACAAACAGGTATGGGAAGAAAAACATTTTTTTCATTGACTTTTTCTCAATGATGCACTGACATCCTCATTCCAAGCTGTTCCTTAGTCATAGGGAGGATAGGGACCCTAGGAATGTGGTCAATCCCCCTCACACAAACAATTATCAAATCTAGATACAACTATCCACTGAGAAGGTGAAAGCTTATGCACAACACAATATCACAGTGATATTGTAGACCATCCACTATGGTAATTTCCACTACAACAAAATGCCAACTTAATCCTCTGACTCCTATGACTACTAGAATCTAGTTTCTTCTTACAATATCACTCCTTAATCACACATAAAGGTCATGAGAATGAGGGAAATGATCACTGAGGAACTTCTAAATTTGTAAACAATTTTCCCTTGCCAGAACCTTAGAAAATGTCTAGGGAACAGTTTGGTGAAGATGCATACTGATATTAAGGTGCAAAGGTTTAAAAGGAGTACATTACCTCAGGATTCACTTTCATAAACTATCATTAGCCTAGTAAATATTATTTGCCATGCCAGTGTCTGCTTCATTGAGATTTGTCTAACTGAGTTTCACAAGAAATGGTGGCCAATCAGACTTTATATTTTGTTGAATAGTAACAACTTGATGGTTAGCCACTGGAGCAAACAGTATCCCTGTGTTGCTGCTTGGGTAGTCATGACAATATTGTGTTCAACTTAAATTGAAACACATCAAATATGAAGCATTTGACAAGTAAATCAAACACCTTGATTGGAAGAAGATTGTAGCATATACTGAAATTACAATGTTGAGTTGATGAAAACAAGTGATTGACATTTAACTCAATTTTCTAACTGTCACAGTTGTAGTTCATTGATAATGGAAAAAAGGGCATCTTCTGCAGGCTAATTGACTTCATCAGTAAAAAGGACAGCAGGACTCTAATGGAAAAATAGAAAGATGTTAAGTGTTGGAAAAGGGACCTGAAATTATAACTAACAGAACATCTGGGTGCAGTTGTACAAAGGGCGGATAATGCTATCAAACCAATAAATTGCTATCCAGCAGATAAGTGACAGCAAAAGTATAGCATTATCCACCACATAGAGATTTGTTCAGCAGATAGCATTAACTTGTTTCACCCCTGAATTGTTTCCTATAAGGTAGTGCAGCGCAACAATAATACTACTAATAATGATGATAATAATAATTGCAATTGCTCTCAAAAAAAAGGCAGGATATGATTTCTTTCAATTAATTACTACTTAAGCCAGTTTTCTTTGTACCTTTTTTCAATTTTCATTTAAGACGAGCTGTGGGATGTTGTCGTTCCTGTATTTCCTTGGTGCTGCTGTGGCCATGTGTGATGTCCCTGATAACTATCAACATCATCCCCCATATTGCCTGCTCCCACCCAGTGTCTTCTTGTTAATGATGAATTGACTGGAACAGTTCCTGCTTAAAGACAAAAAACAAAAAAAAAAAGAAAATTACACATCTCTTGATTGCAAAGAGAGTTATGGGATTATAACTACATACTTGAAATGACACTGGTGAACATGTGGATATAGCATGAAGAATACAATTGTTAATTTCTTCCTAAAAATGAGTAAGCTGTTCACAGGGAATTATCAGTAATTCAAATTCTGATCGATGGGCTATTCTGCAGAACAAGTCTGGCACAAATTCAGCTGTCATCCCACGACAGTCTTCCTCAATTTTACTTATTCCTTGTCTTTTCACAAGAAAAAATGGGTAATATTAAAATAAGAGATTGAATAGCCCTTGCATTATTGAGTCTTCAAATTGTAATTTGTGTTTCCAGTTCTGAAATGACAACACAGAATTCTACCACCTTCCTACTTCTTTTTGAATAGCCCTTGCATTATTGAATCTTCAAATTGTAATTTGTGTTTCCAGTTCTGAAATGATAACACAGAATTCTACCACCTTCCTACTTCTCTTGAAAACTGTTATTACTAGTAATTCCCACACATTCAACATACAAAGTCACTGTGCATTTCATAAAGGAAAGTCTATTAATTAAGAATGTTTTATGAGACATTTAACCCCAGTACTTTCTTTCATTTCAAACTTTCATACTTATCTGGTTAAATCCTTTTAACAACAAACCTTCAGTAGTTGAGTGACTTGTTTCTCTGCTGTTAATACTCTGAGAAATATCTCTTTCATCTGTGAAGTGAGAAGTATTCATTTTTTTCTTTCACGTTTACAAAAATCAACACACTGGGCATGATGCACATGAATGATACTACTGTACTGCTCAGATGTATTTCACTGTTGATTAAATGAGCTTACCATCATTAATTGGTAAATCAGGGTGTGGATTATTCTCCAGTGCAGGATGATTGGCAATATCATCTATAGCAGGCATATTCACCTCGTCAGTGAGGGCAGCAATAGGATCTGCCAACAGATCCTCTTCAGGATCTGCCTGATGACTCAAGATTACTGGTAATTCATAGTGATGGAAGAAAAATAGCATGGAATGCTGCCAACAAAAATGAAAAAAATCTGTTAGTTCCCATAATAGCCTGAAACAACCACAATCCAGATAAGCAATTTTTTATCTAAGGCTGTCAGCCAGAAGTTGGAAGTTTTTTCTTTGCAACATGGCACAAATCTTCTGATTATGTCTTTAAGTTTAGAATGCCTCTACACACTCTGCAGCATATTAGTTGACGTTTATGAGCATCAGAAATAGTTGCATTCTCCCTTCCAGCAGCCATTTGTATCTAAAAAATAATTCCCTGATGACCAGATGTAAAATAAACAATATCAAAAATCATCTGTTTTGTAAAAGAAAAAATTGGAGAAATTAGAAAAAAATTAATTGAAAAAGAACAAATGTAGCTAAAAGCATACACAAGGCTGTAACTTGAGGATACAAAGTATAACCTTGAAAGCAACAACTCAAGGAATGTTTTGAGTTGATGTCATTTGAAATTGCATGATATTTCCACAAATTATATATCAAATTGTCCTATATGTTTGAGACTTTCTGTCTATTGAGTTCTTTAAAGTTTCTTGCAAGTACTACAGCAAAATGTACTCAGAATAAAAAAATGACATGTGATTAGTGACATTTTAAGAATAAATGGGGTATGTGTGGTCCATAATATCTCCTACATAAGCACAGTAACCTACCTCTTTTTAAAGTATTTTTCAAAACAGACATTGGTAAGGAGTTGATATATAATATATATATATATATAGGAACTATGGGTTTCGATTTTTCCTAAGTTCAGCATGATATATATTAGATTTAGAAAAAACAAAGAGACTATACTTTCACTCCTACAAGCCTGTTTCATGATTACTCACTCATCAGGGGATTTTAATAAAGAAATACCTTAGGATATGTTATGCAAGTTAATTACTACTGGTAACAGCTTAGTGGTGAGTATTAGCAAGTTTACCATACCTGAATAAATAACCATGAAGTAACGAGGGCAAGTCCACTATACTGACCATTAAAACGGTAATGATATGCATAAAATGCAAAATGATACAAATAGAAGAACCTGAGGTAGAACAAACGATGGAATAGTTTAACATGATGGTAAAGAGGAACACTCACTTCATTAACTATAGAGCATCACTTTTACCTACCTTAGCCAGAACTTTTTACTCTGTTGAGTATGACAACAAATGGCATCATATTGATCAGCTGTCCATACTATCAGAATGATGTAAAAGCTTGTTGTAGTGTCATTGAAAAACTCTGACATGATAGCTTCCATTCCTGTATGAAAGAATTGTAAATGTTTTATTGAAAGTGCTCTAAGCTAATCTGGCTAATTTTCAAATCCCCAACTGCCAGAAGACAAACCAGTGGCAGAACTGGTAGAAGGAAAATGCGTTACCCTGTTTACATCTGTGGTCCACAAGGGCAAACAATACCTTTTGTGACTTGCTATTTTTAATGTCAACACTCTACACCTTTTGCAAACTTAGCTGTCAGATCTGTTACCTCCACAAATTTAATTATAAGCCTACGAAGAATCAATATATCACTTACCTACATACAGGGCTAAGCACACAGTCAGCCTAATTTACATTAAGCTAAATCAAATTTTTTTATAACAGTGATAACTAGAGTGTGTCTACAATAAAAAGTATTTTTATTCGGTATAAAAGGTAACTTCGCATATGAGCACCAAGACTATGTACATATACAACATAAGTTACCTACCCACAAGAGAGAGAATGACTGTGAACAAAGGTGCTGCAGGAAATGCTATTGTCACATTTAAATCCAACATCTGAAGCAAATTCACTTGAGTAAACCAGAAAATCAACAATTTAGTATGACTAAAACTGAACCAAAGAAGTCTGCTTGGTGCCAAAACTGAAACATGCATGGATTGCATCATTTCTTTCACATCCCTGTCCTTTACTATACATCCAAACCTAGGTCTATGCCATTTACAAAATTACAGATTTGTACTAGGAAAGCTTTATGTGTCAAACACAAGAATCTGTGAGTATCATGGCCATGATGAAAGTCTACAGGCTGAATCCTGACACCTCTCATCAATATAATAATAATTGATGATAAGATCACAATTATAAACCATCAGATATTCCAACTTAACCAGGGACTCACCAATGAAAACAAAGATTTGATGATGGCAATACCTCAAAAGCATTGAAATTGAAATAGTCTGAAAAGAAAATACAATAAAGAGTCAGTAAGTTTACTGCACCTCACTGGTGAGAACATCCCACAACAAGAAGGTAATAGTCTGAATGGCTAATTCTCAAGTAGAGATGCGATTGATCAACCCAAACACAAAAGTTAAACCTTGACACAACACCAAGTTAATTATCTATTCATGTACAAGTACATGTAGCTGTCAGACAAAATTGGCTATTCAACTTTTTAATCTTTTAAAGCTACACTAATTAAGATACAGGCGACAAGCAAAATTACTTACAAAAATAAACATAAGAACAAGAGCCACTAAGTATGATGTGCGTGCCATCCACATACTGACAAAGCGAAAATGATCCCCAGTCACAACGTTACGTAGATAACCTGTTGGGTATGGATAAGTGACTATCAGTAAAGACAAATTTGTTGTTATTTCACATTTTTACTATACATGCATAACAAATCCTTTTCTGCATCAGATTGTTCAAAAGGTGATTCACAATAACACAGGATTAAGTTTAATATGTCCTTGATTTATCTTGAAATAAAATACATATTGGAGCTTATGTTTAGAGGGGTATTATCTTTGCATATGAAGAACCTGAAGGAAAAATGTAAATTTGTCTGCATACCTAACCCACAGTTACATGTAGCTCAATTAAACGGAAGGGAAAAATAAGATAAAAAACCATAGGTTAACCGTTGAAGCAGCCTCTCTAAAGCTGAGATGATTGTAAGTTACTGTGAGAAAATAAAAAATGAAAAATAAAATCATTACTCACCTTTGTTGTCTTCATACTCAGCCAGTCTTTTGACACTTGACATTAACACATCATCATATCCAAGGAATTCATCTAACAAGAAACGACTCAAACTATCTCCAAAACACTGCTCCACTGCAGGGTCTAACAACATACAAGCCACATAATGCATTACCAACAAGTACAGTGGGCTGCTATGAGACAGAATGCGAGGATTCTTTCTCCACAAAGAAATCTAACTATGCCAAATTCAGTCATGAGATTCTAACTTACCAAGTTCAACCACCAAAACAGGAATTCCCAGCTTCTTTCTGGATTCTGAGGAAAGTCTAAGAAAACCATACTCCAAGGCATATTCAACAGCATATTCTTCTTTTCTTTCCTCTAGAAAACAATCAGATTATATACTTAAAATAATTTATGATCCAATATTAGTTGCAACCTTAAAGGAGATTTTATGAAGGCTTTCAAGGCAAAACATGGAAGTTCTATGGAAGTTGTACTCAGCTGATGATGACAAGCCTTAACAAGACAACATCACTAACTTCTTCCCTCCTTGATTGTTGCATATAGAAGATAAACAAACTAAGGTTACCTATTGGAAAACTGAGCACACAAAATGTTAAGTTACAGCCTACCTTCGATCTTGATTGGTGCTAACAGTTCAAAAGCACTTGGCACAACAGTATCCTTTACAGGAAGATGGTTATTCTGTGGCACATTATTAGATGAATGATCATACACATTTCCCACAGATGATGAATAATTCTCTCCTGATTTAAGATTGGCTCCCACATTACTAATATTTACAAGGATATTTTCTGTAATGTTAGCAGAATTAGTGAAATTAGTTCTTGTAGTATCATTTTCAGATAATCTGCTGACTGCTGCATTTCGTGATATGACTACTCTAAGTACTCCATCTCTGGGCCACTGGTCCTTGATCTGGTCCAAACAGTTTATAGGAGTCCTTGAAAATGCATTGTGTATGTAGCCCAGGATTACAAAACAAGTGATAGCCTGACAAAAAAAGACATAACCAAAGATATTTCAGATCATAGGCACATCCTTTCTCTGAATGCCCAACATCATGAAAGGTAACAGAGTTCACAAAAAGTGATCACTGCAAATTCAATATAAACTGGACACATCTTTGGATAAGAGTTTGCTGGTGCTGCAGTAACTAGATTTGTTTGCATTTATGTCATTACGTACGAGGGCCTCAAATGTGTACATCACAGCAACATCAGAAAGATTTAAAACTTATTGTGACAACTCTAATGGATAAACGAGTTCAGGTTAACCCCCCAGTTTTAGTATTATTATCCTCCTACTGTTTGCTTTTTCCTCATTTATGTCATATGCAAATTTTATTACTTTCTAGACATGACCTGGAGAAATCTAGAGAACAGTAGCTTTGGCAAACTACTGTAAAAATTAACATAAGTGTTTTCTTATTGCTGAATGCAGTAGGCATGTACTTAAACACTGGTCACTCAATGATGTACGAAGCCTACGCAATTAAAATGTCTTCGTTAATAACAAGCATGAAGACTATCTAACATAGCTTTTATTATGAAATTACATTTACTTGAGTTGTATGGGTTCCATTCCTTGTTCATCATTATGTGAGCCACATAAAAAATAAAATTCAAAGGCATTTCCCTGGGTAACCAAAAGCACGACTTATTTGTTCTTAAAAAACCCAGAAAATGAACCATGACGTGGGAGAGGGGATAACTTGTTCAGTATTTAACATCTTGCAAGATGTTAAATACTGAACAAACAAGAGGCCTCAACCATCTATATAAAAGAAAACATGTTTCTAAATACCTTCATGAGCACTCCCATCTCTAAAAGAAGGCGAACAGGCGGAGGAAACGAACGAGCATACATAAGCGCCATTTTGAAAAACAGGGCGCGGAATAATCTGTCGCGGGCATTTATGAGAGGGTTTGTTCCTTCCAATGGCATACTGGCGCTTCTTCAACTTCAGAAAGTATTACAGTTCTTAATGATTGAAGACAATGAACTCTTTAGCAAGTCCACATTGCCACAAGTCTGTTTCATATATGTTAATGTTCATCTTTCCATGCGAATTCCCTTCGCAATAGAGGTTCGTGTTTTGATGACGTATTAGTACCCAGGGCCCAGTTGTTCGAAGGTTAATTAGCGCTAACCCAAGGTTAAATTTTAATCTGAATTTCTTTATTCCTTTATTCAAATGCCTTTTTAGGATAGTTTCTGGTGTCCTTTATAGAGCATCAAATAATCATATTCGTGACAAAAAGAATCCGACTGAATTTTCTCTTAAAGCCATCAGATCTGAAATCAGATTTCACACTAACCCAGGGTTATCTTAACCTAGCTTTGAACAACCCGGCCCAGATCCCTATGTTTTTGTGGGCATCATAGGGCATCATAGGGCATCATAATAGGCCGAGGTGCAGGGATTAGCTGAGCTGAAAGCTACTTTATTGCACAAGTCCTGATAACTCAGATGGACAAACCATTTGGACTAGTACAGTCCCCTATTTTCTTGACCTTGGTGATTTTCCTAAGCCATGGCGCAGCCATACAAAGAAACGCTACAGTCCTTGTGCTCGGTGGTGGGATATCAGGAATTGCTGCTGCGAAGACATTGAGCGATATGGGAATTAACGATTTTGTGATTTTGGAAGGCACAGAAAGAATTGGTGGAAGAATGAGGAAGACGAAATTCCAAGGGACAACTATCGAAATGGGCGCAAACTGGATTCAAGGAGTCAAGGGAAATCCAATCGAGAGACTGAAAGAGATATGTGGATTGCAAGGAAAGGTTGAAAACAGATCATTTGTTATTAGAAATGAAACCGGAAATAACACTACTGAGAGAGGAAAAATGGCCCTTCTGAAACATGAAGAGGATGTATTGAACAAAATGATTGACATGCGCCGGCAGATGGGTGGTGCAGACATTTCTGCTCGAGTTGGTCTGCGTCTTACAGACTGGCTTCCATCAAACCCGGAAGAAATGGCTACAGAGTACTTTGAATATGACTTTGAATATGCTGTTCCACCTAAATACGTTTCTCTCCGTGCAGGAATAGCCAACCATGGAATTATTCATTCAGTGGGTGGGGAACAGTTTTTTGTTACTGACCCTAGGGGATATGTGCATATTGTGGACTGTCTAGCAGGAATGTTTCTGGAACCTAGAGATTCCCGTTTGCAGTTAAACACAACTGTCGAAGAAATAAAATGGAGTGAAAATGGCGTTAATGTCGTCACCGACAATGGAGATGTGTACAATGCAGATTACGCGTTGCTAACTTTTAGTATTGGTGTCCTGCAGAGCGGATTGGTGACGTTCACACCTCAACTCCCTGAGTGGAAGTTAGAAGCTATTTTTAAACTCAATATGGTGATTTACACCAAGATTTTTATCAAATTTCCGTCAAAATTCTGGGATGATGAAGAATACATTCTCTATGCTTCTCAAAGGAGAGGATACTACACAATGATGCAGAATTTGGAAGCTAATTCTCGGCTACCCAAAGGGACTAACATTCTACTGATAACTGTCACAGAGGAAGAGTCTGTTAGGCTGGCCTACCAGTCCAATGAAAAGACCCAAGAAGAAATCATGGAAGTATTAAGAGGTATGTATGGAAAGAACATTCCAGAGCCAATAGACATTTACTATCCCAGATGGGGACTTGACAGGTATTTTTTTGGATCCTGGGCAAACCTACCCATTGGAATTTCTAGGCAAGACTATGTTAATCTTCAGGCACCAGTCAAGCAGGTGTTTTTTGCCGGAGAAGCAACACACGAGTTGTACAATGGTTACGTCCATGGTGGATACTTGACAGGAGTGGAGCAAGCAAAAAACATAGCAAAGCATGTAAAAACTGGATCTTTTAATGATGAAAACAAGGCAGTCATCTAACAGTAATGTGTCTAAATAGAAAATGTATGCCGGAGGACAGCACTAATTTAAATCAAAAACAAATTGAATCAAGATGACCTTCACCTTGTTACATGCCAGATCCACATACTCTTGATAAAATATATCACTTCTTGAATTATTCTTTCACCTTATTGTACATCAGAATATTATACACATGATAAGCATTTCATATTTTGTAGTTCAAATATTCAATATTTTCCTTGAAAAACCAAAAATATTATTGTATTTCACAGATTCATGTTTGTGATCCAATGTTCAACAAATTTAAAAGTTTAGGTAGATGGATCTACTCTTGTAAAGGAAGAGAATCAGATAACAAGGCTCTACACTTTAGTTATTTGAAGGTTACTGGCAATCATATAATGAGAGTCTTAAAATTAGCTATATATCATATTTGATTTTAAAAAATTGACTTAATTATGGCCCAAAATGATAAAAATACAATGGAAAAAACCTTGAAATAAAAACACCCAAATCTATGAAAATCTAAAGTTAAATAAAATGTTCAAGCTGCAAGTAACAGTTTAATATGGACCATTCTGCACACTTCAACCTTAAGCTGTTATCGCAAGTTCTTTAGTATGGTGAGGGGTTTCATAACTTGTCTCAGCTTCTCTGATCTTTGTGAATAAGTTGACAAATTGTCACCTGGAAATTTTGCTTGGTAAATATCAGGATAGGACCTCTCAAACTATGAAACAAAATAATAAATACAATCATGTTTGCTATTACAATCTAAGTAACACATGTTTAAAGCAGGATGAAGACATGAGTGATGTAACCTGAGTATAACAACTAATGACTTGTCTATTCCTCCTGTCATACTTCATTCCTCCTTCTCTCTTCTGTAGCCTGCCCCTCCTCCCCCATTTTATCTCTGCTACAAACATTTACATGTTGTCATCTTCACCCTTTCCTTTACAGTAATGGCCTTATGCATCCCCTCCCCCCTCCCTGCTCCCCTCCTCCCAGGAACCCTAAGCTGCAGATTTACAGCCATGGAAGGAGTAGAAGATTTTCTCAAGTCTAACATTCATGGTTTGCTGATTGTTTTGGGTATGAAAATTTTTTCCACAGTCTTCTTTAGGGCCAGGGAACAAAATTAATAACTATTGTATAAAAAAACATACCAGTTTAAGTTGCTTCTTTCTTTCTTTTGTACTTATACTCTCATCTTCTACAATTTTGTTGAGTAGATCCTTAAGCGAACGTTGAGATGTGATCAAGGTCTGTTCTTTGTACTCTTCAGGGGTGACCCTTTGACAAAATGTTACTGTAGATGGCACAGTTGACTGAAAATATGTGAACAGAAATAATCAAAAATTCCCCCAATCATGTTAGAAGAATAATTGTTGATCATAACTCCACCTGTGAGCTGGCTCTCATCTCATCTCACTGTAGCAGTTCACTGTGGCACCAGTGTTTCCTTGCCTGCAAGAAAGTTTGAGTTCTTGGCTAAAGTGAGCTGAGGAGAGGTCCCAAACCCGTGCAGACATCTCATCAGCCCACCCAAACTTTCTTATGAGCGAAGAAACACACATGCTGCAGCACCTACAGGGGACCTTCTTATAGGCTAACTATAACTTGTTGACATAACCATTTAATTTACATGAAGCAAAAACACACTTTGCTTTGTCGACAGTTCCTCAGAAACAAGAGCCTCTGTTCCACTTGAAATTCAAGCCCTTCAGGGTTCTGGAAAAAAAAATATTAGCAAACATAATACAGTCTGTCAACAAAAGAAACTTTTACAAGAGCTTGTAAAACTTCTAATGAACAGTAAATCTGAGTTGAACTTGTCTTAAAAACCACCAATGTGAAAAACTTGAGACACCATAGATGTAAAGTAGTTTTTCTCTTTTTGGGACCAAAAATTTCAAGAATTTCTTGCAAGAGTTTATAGCAGATAAGTTCCATTTTATAAGAAAAATCACAAATTAAAACAAGCTATCTTTCCATAAAGGTAGGATTCAGCCTTAGCAAGGTCTTATTCTGTCATTTAAACTCTAGCTAATAGAGTAATGTTGTGTGTACAGTCCTAGTCCTAGGTGAATCTCAGCTGAACTGTAAATGTTGTAGTAAGTTATATCCTTGGCACTTACCTTGAAATATTCTGGAAACTTTTCCATCATAAAATACACAAGCCGTATGGCATCCATGTCTGCAGTTACACCAAACACAACATGGCTAAAGGACTGGATAAGCTGTCAATAGCACAATAAAATGCCGCTGAAATTCTCCATAGAGAATCAGTGTCTTAAACCCTAAGCAATAACAAATGTATCACATGGTCACTGTATCACTGTCTCAATCAACTCAACTCTGATCATGACATCCACTAAGGTTGTCAAAATGTCAGTCACTCATACAGACAACAATCATTCTTAAGACTACTCTCGCCGGAATGATCAGACTACACAATCAAACAAAAGACTTCCTTACCATTTCTTTGGTTGGTAACTCATCACTTAAGGAGATAACATGGTTATCCACGAGTCGAACGATAAATTTTAAAAGCATCTGAAGTAACTCTCTGTTTTTTACTGGAATCATCAAACAGCAATACTGTAGGGAGCGTATGGCTGTTAACTTACAACTGAAGAGATAGTCTAGGAAAAAAATACCAAATAAAAGTTAAACATGTTGCAGATCTCTAAATTTCTATGAAACAAAATAATTTCAGTGATAATTACCCCTATTCTTTCAGGGAAATGAGAATCCATGTGATTTACATATAGTGTGCAGTATTGATAAAATTTATCAGCATTTATAAATAAGTTCATTTACCAACTGTTTTCTTGAAGACCCCTAACAAATGTCTTGGAACAAGTGGGCACTTCTGCTCATCTTCAAAGAACCCCACAACAGCTTTGAACACATCACGCTCAAATCCAGCATACTTAGGCAAGCTTTGATTTTCAGAGTAACCAACATTTGGCCCTAATAACAACAAAATAATTACACCGATAATAAAGTTCATGATAATCATATCAACAAATATAGTAATAGTAATCATAACATTAAATATAGTAATACCAATCATAAAATAGGATAATAAAGATTTACATGGCTATGTTTGGATTTAATAATTATTTCAATTTAAGACTGTATCAAGCTCTAGCTCTATGGAGACAATTAAAAAGGAGAGAGGACAAACAACAAAATGATAAAGGTTGAGGGTGGGTCAGGTGTTATCATTCACCTTCTTCAGTTTCCTCTTGCCCATACAAAAACTATCAAGCTATTAACATCCTTACAGTGTATTAGGCACTTCATTGCAGATATCAGCCACTGTGGCAAGACTTCACCAGCTGTTGAGTAAAAAAAGACAGTTCTTTACATGTCTAGTTCTGTTATACCAGGAGTTTAGGGTGAAAACGAACTGGCTTCAAAACTTAACAGCAATCTTCTTTTCTATTTGTTTTCCTGTTACAAATAGCAATCCTTACCTCTTGGGATCCTTTGAATTTGTGAATTGTGCCACACACAAGTGATGTCATATCCTCCAATTTTCAAGGAGTTAAGGATTGAATCATCAAGATCTAGAAGCCTTTTTAACCTGTCGAAAAATACAAGAAAAAGTTAGGGCCGATCCTAAGCTGACACTGACTGTATTGAGTGGACCGCGTTCTCAATTTAAAATTTTTTAATATATCATTCGTCATTCACTTTCCTGTCAAAGGAAAAAAAAAAACTACCAGAACATCGCATGCTGTACGTTAAATGACTTGCTAACATACCGGGTGGTAGCAATGTTCCACCAGACCTCGCTGATTTCTCTCTCTGTTAGGGATCGCCGATTTTCGGCAACAAGAGCTGCTGGGTTCATTATAACGTCCTCTAGGTCACTGTGCTGTATTTGACTCCTTCTCCTTTTAACGGAGCTTTTAACTTGTCTTCCTTTCGGCTCAGTTCTTGTTGCACTCCAAACATTCATTTTATTAACAAGCGGTGTTCTTGATGGTGCTGCACCCATGGACCTCAGGTTATATGTACTCTTTACGACTGGTGTTCTGATTTTTGGATAATTTGATCCGTCTTCCTGTCCTAATTCTTTGGTTGATGTTTCATCCTTGTAAATCAAATTCAGTCCCTTATCTTCTGAAGTTGCTCCTTTATCCCTTACTTTCTGCTCTAAAGGTTTCTCACCTTTTGGAGATAGAGTTGTCTTGTACGGGGAGTAACGCGCTCTATCTGAAAACCGATACAAATGGTTATTATCTTCGAACATTCCATTATATTGCTTTCCGCGCGCATCCGTTAGAATACCGTTTTTCAGAAACTTTTGGCACAGCTGCACAGCCTGTTGTCGACTCACATCAGCTCCAAAGTTGGGATTATCTTTCAAAAATCCATGAAGCCAATCCAAAGCTTCTGAAGCAACAAACACATCTTCATAAACTTTCATCCGCCACCTTCTTCTTTTCACTGGAACATTGAGTTTCATCTGTCGAACGACTTCATTCCACTGATCAAAAAAAGCAACATAATTAAATCTGTTAGGACCTCAAAGAAATCAATCTAAATCCATCGTTTAACTATTTTTTTTCAAAATATTTTCAAAATAAAATGAAACAATTGGATGCAATAAGAAGCGATTGAGAGAGTCGCACAAACATTATCTTCGACCTTGGAAAGACACTTACAAGTTTTGTCGCCGAAAACGGACCTCTGTTTAAATCACTACTGCTTTTCGGGTTTTCATTCATCCTAGAAAAATGTTATCACGCATAGGCATTTTAGAATTCCATTATTTCGTCTTCGCAAAGACACAGTACTCCACATCGAGAAAGAGGACAAGAGGCCATTTTGAAATTTGACCCCAAACCAAATCTTTGCTGTGATTGGGCAACACAGCCTTGAACCCACTAAAATATAAGTAAGCCCGCAATGCAAATTTTGGTCAGTGGGTTCACGTTTACTGCGATTTCTGTGGTCATGTGATACATATTGTATTTTCAGAGGCCTCTTAGATTCATCTGAATCGGGTCCTGAACATAAACTAAAAGGCGTACCACTCATTGGGAAAAGCAGCTTGTTTTCTCACTTCTAACTCCTTTGAGTTAACGTATAAAAGAAATACGTAGGAAGTTACTTTTTTTGGTCCAAAGGGAGGCTCTTTTAAATTTGAGAAAGGGTTGAGAGACTAGCCTGGCCCCCTACCTGCATTTGTGCCTATCAACGGCACAATTTTTTTCCCGTTTCTCGCCAGGTCTTGAATTCATTCCGACTTATATATCTATCCAACTTCCAAATAGCGAAGGTGATGTCAAATACAGCTAAATTCAGGGTGTTGCAAACACGTTTCCGTTTCATATAAAGTAGTAGGATTCCACACTACGGCTGCCTAAGTGTTTCCACCATGGACGCTACTACCAGAGTAAGAAACGAGTAAAAGAAACTAAAGTTTCCCATCGACATGTTACTTTATTATGCAGCCAGAACATTAAACATATAACATGAGTGTAGAGGGTTCAAATTGCCCTTGTTAGTTAAATAACAGAGAGATCCAGCAACTGGGCTGAGGGTACATTTCACAAACAAGCTTGACAGTTCCAGTTTTCTTATACAATAATTGTTTTTCTTGTATCCACGGTCCTGTTAAAAGGAACTCTACATTTTGGGTTTGAGCAACAGTGATGATGGAGTCAGTGGTTTTTTCTTTAAGGATGCAAACTGCACCGAGTGCTTCCTTGATGTTCACAAAGTCTCTTCTGAATATCATTCTACTGATTGCTCTGTTTTTATTATACGTTCTTTCAACTGTGAATTCTGCTGCTTCCAAGGTTTTTTTCTTTCTGTATATTTTATGTCTGGTCAGAGTCGGAGACGGTTTCGTTCTGAAAGAATGTTCAACACTCCTGGATATGGAACTCAAGGCTGTGGCCAGTTCTTTAAGAAATAAGAAATTTTAGACATCGTATGATTATTACCTCTCGTCTGTCAATTAGTATCTAGTTTCAGGACTTTACATAGTAAAAAGGCGGTACAGTAAAGTAAGTCGGAAAAAGTATTATCAAAGGCATGGGTGTCACCATTTTTCCACCAATGAACGATTCTTACCTTTTGTAACAATTTGCATTTCAACTGGATAGTGATCACTCACAAGAGCTGTCTGAAATGAAATAACAAACACTATTGGAACAACATTAAATAACATAGGAACAACATAGGAATGTATGGGCTTGAAATAATACCATGGTCTGATTGACATCCAACTCTTGGTCATATTTATAACTTTCCGCACTTGACTCAATGACTGCATTCAACATAGCATCTCCAGCAACAACGAATCTGGAACAAGGTTAAAATTAGAGAATCAAAACATCTAAGGACTGGTATGGATAACAACAAATGTTAACTAATAGTATAGCAGAGTACTGATCTTATAGGAGGAAAGTTACATTGCAAGCACAGTAAGGTGACAAGATATCTATTACGAAATAATTATGAACGCAAACTATCCGGCTCAACTCCAACTGACCGATCATAGGCACAGAGTCCTCCAGTTACAGTGGTATCTACGCAATCAGAAATAAGCCAATGAAATCGCCTGTCGTTAGCCAATCTGTTGGTTTTCCATTTGCTATCACTCATGTAGCTGCAGGCCGCATTTAAGTCACCAAGGATTATCACATCTGTTATGCCAAGTTTCCTGATAACGTCGTCATACACAACAGCAAGCTCGTCTATTTCTTGGTTAGCTTTCGACGGAGACGTGTGGATAGCAACAAGCACAAAATCTGTGACATCTGTAATTAAAAGTAAAGAATAAAAACAAGTATAACATGACCCTTACTGGGTAAACATTCAAGTTAGCCTCTAAGAAACTAATATAGTGCGGTAGAGGTGATTAGTCTAAAAAGCCTTATCGAATTATGCTCTGATATGATATGTCATACCCTTGTTCTGGAATAAAGAATCGAACCAATCAAAATTTCGACTGTCAAAGCGTGATATCTTGTAAGTTACACTCAAGAAACTTCCTATCATAATCCAAGACGATCGATGCCAACCCCTATCAACCCTTCAAAACACTCTTCTTTGGGCTTGAACCCCTCGAGGTTTAACGTCATACTTACTGGTCACTGAAGAGTAAAAGTGAACGATATATGGTTCCCTTTCAAAAGTATCGCTCTGAAGATCTTCTTGGCCATCATCGTAAGTATAGCTATGTTTAACGGATAAAACGTCTTTCCTGTAGAGAATAAGGCCACATCTATAGTGAAGTACACTGATGGAACTGTAGGCCCTCTTGTGCTGTTTAATGTGACCAGTGAATATTAGTATTATGGGGGTTGAGTGCAGAAGGTTTTCCCATACCGAGAGGGGTTTAACTGTGTCCTATCAGCCGTCTTCGGCCTTGTTATACACTTATTGGACGAATTTCGTCTCTCGTGTCATGTTAAGGGAAGCGAACAGGGATAAGTCTGTTCCGTCAGTAATGCTTAAAAAAGAAAAAAGGAAGTGATTCTGGGTTAAGACAGGCTAACGTACATATTTCATTAAAATCCTGACAGCAGCACATAGCTGTACCAGTGAAAGAACCCCCTCAGAGTAAACCGGTTAAAGAATGCAAAGTAGCTGAATAAGTAAATTGTCATTGGACTGACCTGAACAGGAACGCGTATTGTTCTTTGCTTGAAGATCTTCCAAGTCGCGGACTGATGGTGATATCGTAAATCCCTTTAGTGGAATTTCTGTGGAATGCAAAAATATAAACAGTTAATGATAAAAAAAGTACTAGTAATTTTATAATGACAATAAGAATTACACATAACTGTGTTCTTCTTACAACATAACGAAAACTGAAACGATATCAAGAAACTCTCAACACGTACTTGTTTATTAGTGAAAGCAACTTAAGAATCGCTTTACCAGAGGCATCTCTGATCTCCTGGATAAGAATGACATCAAAGCGGAGAACAATCTGCAAGCATCATGGAGAAAACAAAATGACGCAAAACTAAACAAAAACAAAAATATGGTATGACTTATTGTACTCCCCAAAACGAAATACAGAAGGGAAAGTACCAGTAAATTTAAAGTAACCACCGTTAAGATTGCAATCACCTGATCAGTGAAAGTCGGAGGGGGAAGAGGGGGGGGGATGGGTGAGTGTGTTCAGCGAGTCTATGCGTTCGCCGTACTTTAAGCTTTCTCCACTATATCACCTGCAGACTGATGGTAAGAACTATTAGTAATGAGTTCTACCTTGGCAACGACGTACAGTGACCACTCAAAGAAGAGACTATTCTGAAGGAAGAGGTGAAGGTTCATTCAGTTTATCGTTTTGAAATCGAATAGTCCGTGTGAACTGAACAGCTGTAAGAATAATCTGCAAAAAGTCCAGCTACACCTTTCTTTTCCGGTAACAGTAATTAACTTACATCGAAACATTTCTCAAGACTATACCTTTAAAAAAGACAAATATCTATAGCTCAACTGGGATTATAAAACTGTTTTCGTCGCTAGAAAATCTTACTTTAAGCCATGGCCACTTTTACGAAAACGACAAGTACAACGCTCAGGCCAACTGTAAACAGCAACAGTAGCTCATAAGACATTATAATGTCCCCCGAAATTTAATTTTGGGCCAACAAAACTACAAACTAACATTTAACCGGCTGCTGTAGCAATGAAATACGAAAAAGACAAACCTAATATCATTTGCTTCAGCTACACCAACCTTAACAAGAAGTTCAGGTATTCCTGGTGTCTCCATTTTCTTCTTACCAAATGTTTGGACGTTGAAAGCGGCAATTTTCAGGTTGTTGGGCTGATTCTGTGAATCGTCTCTTCTCTTTTGTTGCTTGTGGTTATCAGGAAACTCAACAATGAATGGCTGCTGAATGTCTCTTGCAGCCTGTATAGTCTTCCCAGCTTTGTCAAAATTTTGGTCACAGAAAACCAAGGAAAGTGTCGCAACAAAACAAGCCAGGATGGTAAAACCCATTTTAGCATCACAATGAATACCCAAAATAAAGAAGCTCTCTTGTACATACAAAATGAGGGACTCTCTTGGACTAATGCAACACCCTCGAGAGCAGGTGAGATTGGCACAATAAAAAAAATGGACACATTAAACTATGCATCAAATGCTACCTTACGAAAAAGCAAGGTTTAAAAAAACAAACATTACCAAATGAAGAAATGTAAAATGGTTTCCGTGTTTACATAGCCTGATGTAAACACGCGGGAGGTTGGGAGAACACGAGATAAGCGTAGGAAACCATTACGCGAAGCGGAGTGGTTTCCAGCTTATCGAGCTGTATCTTATCTTATCAACCTCCCAAGTGTTTACATCAGGCTATGTAAACACGGAAACCATTTTACATTTCTTTTATAAAATAACTAATGCAAGAGGAACGAAAACCGTGTTTACATACGCTCATGTAAAATGGTTTTATGGCCAATCAGAGCGCGCGTACTATTTGAATTATTTTATAAAATAAATTACAAAAGGGCAGAATCACTCCGTTATAACTCTTTCGATATTTTGGCCACCATTTGGCTCTCTAATTTCGAAAATTTTGAAAATTACACAAAGTTCTCAGCAGAACACAAATCAAGATTATTTGTAAGTTTTAACGGTGAAAATCTTCCCAATGGTAGCTTTCTGAAAATGTCAAATATTATTCTGAACGTTTCAAGGAGCTAAATCTGTGTTAACAAGTAGGACTCAAGTAATAATTGCTAAAAACACGACCCAACTGTGCTAACGAAAGAAACAGTGGAGGAAACTGTAAAAAGCTTTTTAAATTTATTTCCTTTAACAATCACAGTACAAAAGCACTTCTCATTATCTTTTCTAAAACTTATTTTAAATTCCTTTGACAAGAATTTCCTTCTACAAGTGTACTGACGTCTTCCTTGAAATATGATCTCAACCCCTTGTAATATAAATGGATTCTTCGGCTGAGTAAATTAAACAGACATTTTGTAAACGACACACAAAGAGGTGTTGAATTTCTTTTAAAACCTAAGGTAACGAGTTGCAATTGATTTTGATAATTACACATACTTAAGTACCTATATTTGGATCAAAGTCTTTCTCGTATTTTCTCCTCGAGTGGATAAACAGTAAATTAAGACACAAAGAAGTAAACTTAAAATATTGTCTTGCTATCTTGCTCGAAATTTAGTTTTAGCGTCTTTTCTTTTCCTTTACAGCCGAAAGAGTGCTAAAAATACTTCTTAAAACCAACATAGTGGTTTTTATGGAACAGTATCCGGTTTTTAAAATTGTACGGATATAATTACTTTGTTTTAATTTCCATAAAAAAAAAGCGTTTCAAAATAGCTTGTGCCAGACATTTATTCCCAAAAAGAGAAAAAACAACCCTGAAGTGCTCTATTCATTGAGCAGCTAAGAAGTCAGTAATTCAACACAAATTTTAAATTATTTGCTTCAATTCACTGAGTTCTATTTTAGAAACCTGTATTTAGGACCGTGAATCTTATGGGAATCTCGACTTAGGGTGAGTTGGGTGAATGAATATGTATCCACGGCAACAAGCATCAAGCCACTGCTTCAGTATCCAGCGGAGACTCATTTGTTTTTAGAAGGACTCGGATTGGCAAGCCTTGTTATTAATGGTTTGTGGTACACCCAGTTTTCTCCCACTTCATGGAACAACTGCCAATCAAAACCAAAGAGACGAATGTTTAACCTTTAACAGCAGGAATATAAGTAGAATCAAGCATCCCTCTTCTGTGAACTCTCCTTATAAGATTTACCTCCCCACCCTCACAGTCAAAAAACAACTTACCTTTGTTTGCCAAGTTAGTCCTTTTTCTTTTCTTTCTCTCGCCTCCGCTCGCTGTCGTTCTTCTAACTAAAAATGAAAAATGGCAGAAACTAGTACGTTATATTCCAGTTAATTGCTTAACATAATCACTAACTAGAACAAGTAGAAAAAGGATCGGACATAATCCACTATTTACTGATAACTTATAAATATATTTCAATAACATCGAAAGGTAGGGAGTGGTCGCCAAGACGCCCGAGCCAAAGGTTCAAATTTAAATCAGTCGACTAACAAAATGTAAATAAACAATGTAAATAAACACTGAGACAACAAGAAAATAAGTTAGGTAGACCTTCAGCATTTATACTAATGAGAGATCAATCAATAGGATATGCACAGGAGCACGCGAGACTATATAAAGTTCATACACAGGCACACCAAGAGCTTGCCATGAGTCAGCCGCATTAAAACGAAATTATTTCAGAGAAGTTATAGCGGTTTTAATAACAAAGAACATATCTACGTACCTTGTGTTTCGCTTCAGTTGCATTTTCCACATCGTCGTCCTTTAAACTTATTGTAACATCTTTCCATAATCTGAGTGGAGAAAGATTCTTCCATCAAACAAAGGGAATACTTACTCCTTCTCTTCAAACAAATACAACCTACAAACAAAACTAGCATCAACAAGATGTGGGATGCTTACCTCCTAGATTCGTTTTCTTCTTGTTTATGAATTTTCTTTACAGTTTTCATGACTGTTGGCATGCTCAATGTATCAACAAATAATTCGGGTTCCTAGGAAAAACCGGAGTTACAGATGAGAAGAAAAAAACTAGCAACTTAAAAACTAGCTTGGTGTTACAACGGCGGCGGGTGGAGTTTTGATAGTTTACAGCAGATTTTTAAGTATGATCAGTGAAGACGCTGCTGTCTCTTACTGGCAAACACTTGACTAACTAATTTATCGCCTGGTTACCTCTCGATCGGAATATTTGGCAAACATTTGTCCATTCCATTCCCCTGTGATGGTAAGAAAGGTTTTCTTATCTTCTGGAGAACTAAAGCAGACAAAAAAGACTAATTGACGGTCAAGGACAAAATCGTTTGTAAATAGGAAACAGCAACAATCCCAGCAAAGTGCGTTTTACACTTACGTTACTTCACAAGTTATACGATGCTTTTTACCACCATAAAAAGGCTGAAATGTAAAAAATACAATTATAATCATAAAGAGCACAGACAGATATAGGTGAAAACAAGCTTCCTCTGAGCAGAGCAGTAAACAAACCCGACAATGGAACTGTACTGCAGCTTGATATCCAGTTTTAGAACAAGTTATGTTGGTTTTTCCTCCAATCTCCACCCAAGGAACTGTGAGAATTGATCTGTAACACGAAAGATCCAAATTTACTCCAGGAGTCAATATTTCACATGTGAAGCAATTGAAAAAAGTAGTCTTGTCTAGTGAAATCGAGTTAAGAGCAAATACCACAACACTGAAAACTTCTACCTGCCATAGCCATTAGGGAATGTTAATACATAGTCCTCGTTATATGGTAAAACTGACACACAACCTGTAACAAGAATAAATAGGATCAGTATGGAGGAAAAGCTTTGACCTGAGGTGTTTCAAACGAAAAAGATGTTAAAGCCTTAGAAAATAAGGTGTCACCTTGTCCAATATTTTCCACTCCAACTGACAGTCCTAGAAACTTTGACTTGGTCCAGATGTGTGCATTGAACGATATCTGTTTACTGCAATTCTCTGCATAAAACGCAGAAACTAGGAACAAATAACACACATTATAATAATACTTCAAGAATTACATGTCAAGCACCTGACAAGCCTTCAAGAAATCAATACTCACTTGGAGGATGATGGGATACTTGCTCGGCAATGAAAGTGACGTCATCTTCTGATGCCCACGGCAGTGGTCCATCAACTGGACATTTCTACAAATCACGAAAACATAAAAAAATGTTCAGCTACAAAGTATTCAAGAAAGACGTCTGTCGTTTTATATCTACCTTGGTACATTTTTTTATATTATTAACTCAGTCGTAAATCTTTTTTGACCCAAAGAAAAACAATCATACTCCATCTTTACATTTTTTTTTTCCTCGTTCACATCAGTTTGAGTAGGAGACACTAAAAACTGAGTCGTCCACTCGACTTAAACGTACAATCATTTTGATTTTTCATTCAGCAGACTCCGATAGGTTTTTGCAACACCCTAATGACGTACCAGGCATGCAACAGTTCTTGAGTTTTCTTCGGTTTTTTTGGTTTTAAATCAATGTCCTATTGGAATCTCTACAACGAGTAGGACCAAGGCATCTACTTTATGTGTATTTCAATGTAATGGTAACAGAGAATGGTGGTAAAGCTAAGCATTTTCCTTTCTTTAGTTTTCATATATGGAGCAGTAGGGGATGGGGTGTATGAACGATGAATAACACGGAGATATTCTGATAACTACACGTAGAAAGCCAACTCTACTTCCTCATTTGGTGGAATCTGTTCACTTCCTGTTTTCATTTAAATTCAGTCATTTTCCTGTTGGGTGGACTGTGTAGTCATAGGACATTTATTGTGACGAAGCACATGCTGTTTTAATAGCTGACATTTCAGTCAAATCCATAATGACTCATTTGATCAGATAAGTCACTAACTCACCTCTGTTCTTGACGTTTCACACTCAGGCAAAACCCAGAAACAACGAAACACCTCTCCTAGGATAGGATTGTAAGGCTTCTTTGCTACTGAGCCCTATAAAAAATAAAAGTTCACAGAAACGTTTTTGTTCTCAACAACAGTCCTTATTATACCTATTTTCGTGAAGTAGTGACAAAATTTCTCCTGGCCAGCCGTAGCTAATGGTAGTCTACACAGGCCAGTCTATCAAGGTTATTTCACCAATCAATAATACTTGACGGCTTAAAGCGAGGGAAAAGTGAAAGTGAAATCTTTGGAGTTAAATTCTGCGGCTGGATGCCAAGGGCATCCACGGCAACGTATAAGCTGCCAGCATACCTTTAATCGATGGGATTTAAAAATGTTCTATGAACTAGCTAAAAGAGAAGTGTTAAGTAGCAAAAACGTATTAGCGATCACGTTGAGATGGACTAAGTGAGCGGGAAACAAATAAGCTGTTTATTGTCGGTTTACCTGAAGAAAACTGTATATCTTGAAAAATAATGATGTAACAAATTAATCTAACGCTTAGTAACAAATAAGTCAGCAAAGAGGAATGTTTAACATACCTTACGACCAGCGTGGAAAGCAGACAAATACCACCTAACTACTGCTATCATACGATCTCTTGGATGTGAATAGTTCACAATACTAAAAATACAACAAACAACACACAAGTTAATGCATACTTGATCACTTCATGCACGAAAAATCTGCCGAGACATCAAATTCTTATCTATTATTCATTACGTTGACAGACTGACTGAAAACAAAACTACCACTGACGGAACTTACTCGACAAACAGGTCAGGGTGAGCAAAAAAATCTGCATACATTTCCAACAAAGACCTTCTCTCCAGGATAAACGTCGGAAGAACAACCTACAAGCGGGAAAAAAGTCTAAGATGTCAATCAATCAATCAATCAATAAATCGAGTGACAGAGCCAATGAAGAGTCTAGTTTCGCAGCATAAGCGATTCTTTTTCATAAAATAATTCAAATAGTACGCGCGCTCTGATTGGCCATAAAACCATTTTACATGAGCGCATGTAAACACGGTTTTCGTTCCTCTTTCATTAGTTATTTTATAAAAGAAATATAAAATGGTTTCTGTGTTTACATAGCCTGATGTGAACACTTGGGAGGTTGGGAGAACACTCGATAAGCTGGAAACCACTCCACTTCGCGTCGTGGTTTCCTACGCTTATCTCGTGTTCTCCCAACCTCCCGCGTGTTTACATCAGGCTATGTAAACACGGAAACCATTTTACATTTCTTCAGTCATAATCAGTTCACCTTGGTCAAGTCCATTCCTAGACGCACTTGAGATAACAAATGAGTGATAATACTGCTATGTTTGTCGATAGCCTCAACTGCAATCAACAAAAACAACCCACAAATGATAAATCTGGATGGACTAAGCAATATTGTTGTTTCCTTATGCGTTTAAATTTGAGAATAACTGATGACAAAAATAAAAACAGCGACTAGGAGCATTAATAAGCCATTCTAATAAACCACACAGCAGCCGAAACAAAGTCACTTTCATAGAAAAACAAAATAAGGAAAAATAGCAGCTAAGTCTTACCTCTGACAGTTTTTGCCATTGTTTGAGCAGTTTTACCGAAATTAACGATACTGTGCTTTTAGTTATACTTTCGCTATTGTGCCAAATAGTTCCCATTACGTAATATGTTATGTAGATCACAAGAATCTCGTGAGACAGAGACACAGTTACGGTAATGTTAGGCACGTGCTTCTCTAACCGCCACGACAAAATACAAGCTAATAGGGTTATTCATCGTACCAACGTTCAAGCGTTGCTCTTTTATGTAAAGTTACAAGCAAAGCCTTAACATTACTGAAATGGAGGACTACGGAGGAAAGGAGATAATAATAATTTTTACTTTGTTGCATGTGAAGTGTTTCATCAGGAGAAACGCTCAGTCTAAGTATGGGAGATCGTCTACTCATGAATGCACGTGCACGTTGACGTAATATTTATTTCGAGCCCTTGTCACTAGTTAGATATTGCTGTTTCAGGCCAAGGAATTTAGCAAATTGACAGTTTCTGCAAACTGATTTCCAACCTCCTTTCGTTTTTAGTGTATGAGGGGCAACTGTACAATTTGATTAGATCTGTAACACAATCTAAATAACAATTCCCAAAAGAGCCTCTCAACCGAGATAAGTCTCTTACCCCACCCCACTAGAGAGTTACCCCTTACAAGACCTTCAACTTCCTTCAAAGTAATAACATTTAAGGTGAATCTCAGATTTCCTCAAAGACTGTTGAAGGGTTGGTTTGGTTAGGTGGGTTAAAAAGGAAACGAGACAACAGGTTTTTCTTGATTTATGAGTCAAAAAAATTATGTGTATTGATATCCGTGATGAGGCTAACTGACTTTCACCTCGTTAACTATTAAAAGAAACTTCTAAGGAACGTTGTATAAAATCAATAAGTATTGACGTGTCAAGCTATTGCCAAGTTATTACTCGTAAATAATTATTATTGTCATCATAAGATTCAAAAGCGGTGTTTCGTTAAACCTTACGCCTACATACATTTGCAAATCACTTACGGTCTCCTCCTGTAGTGTCATCATCCTCTATTTCATATTCGTCTAAATTAAAATATACATATAGAGATACTTTAGTATATTAACAACAAAGTAAAGGCCTTTTTAACTCCCTCATTTACAAAAATTGGAACCGGGCTTTGACCAAACATTCAAAAATTGGATTTCTCTGACACTTGCACAATTCCAGTGGGAAAAAAGAAGCAACAAGGTCAAGTGTGTTAATTTAGGGACTTAGGAGATTCAGTTAACCGTTTAACTCCCAAAAGTGATTAACATGTTACTTCTCCCAATAATATCCATACATTATCCAGCAAGCAGGTAATGAGAATACTCAAACTTATTAGGGAAAAGTTATCTTGATCTAACACTAAATTCTCCCAGCTACTTTACAAGGAAATGTGTAGTAGCTAGAGGGGAGAATTAACAATCAGATCCTGGAAGTTAGAGGGTTAAGAAAGGGATTTTACTGTACAATTTCTAATTATTTCCATGATTAAGGCCAAACAAACCAAGCCTTGGATTCTCTTAACTATGGACATACTGCCATTTATATAAATAACACAAAAAATTACCTCGATCCATCCACTTCTTGGATGCTGAAAATGGGTTACTCTGAGGAGGAGAGCTGTACAAAAAAAAGACAACAACAATAACAACAACTGTCAACAAAGAATTACCTTAAGTTTGAAATTAACATTTCAAAGACTGTGATATTGGGCAAGCCTTACTCTATTCAAGCTCCAATTATGATGACTTCTTTTCCAAGCACAGTCAACCTTACCTTATGGCACAATATATTTACAGCTATTGAGTTAGCTTACTGCAGTTGTGTAACAGTGCAAATTATAATAATGATTATTGATGTTACATAGAGGCAATGTTGTTATTGGACAGAGAGAGGTCCACCACTAACCTTGACGGTGCAGATTCTGAGTCATGGAACTCATCTGCATCAAAGAATTCCACTTCATCTTCATCCTCGCTACTGGAGTATGAAGTGAATGGTACCACATGACCATCACGACTTGGTGACAAAGAGAACCCAACTTGTGGGTGAATACTTGTTCTGTCAAGTTGTAAGTGAACACTTCTTTCAGGTGATGATAGTTCATGGTTAGATTTTGATGTTGCCTTAGAGGATTCAAAACCACATCCTTCATCACTGGAAACTGAAGAAGACTTATCCCTCACATTAAGTGAGGAGTCACTCTTACTGGACTTAAGGGTTCTGTTTTCTGCTGCAGTTTCCACATTTTGCTCTCCTTCATTCCCACCTCTATCACTGTCCTGTGCAAGAGAAGGGTCTGAGCTTTTGGCTGAGTTATGATCATTGAGTACTGGCATCACTAGCTCTACACAAGTACTTGTAGCAACTGATTTCTCACATTCAATCTGTTGGAATTAAAGTAACACAACAACTGTTTACAAATGTTAGCTTTATGGGTGTTCACAGGAAGGAGAATGGGTGTTAGTTTACAAAGTTTCAAAGCAGAACTGTTTCATAAATTAATGATGAAAAAATCATCAACACAGTTACAGTCCTCAAATAACAATGTTGGTCTATCAAGTATAGAAGAACAGTTACCTTTAGAGCAGACATCTGCTTCAAGCAATGATTCATTGACTCCAGCATTCTCTATTGAAGAAAAAAATCATAACTATTGTTTTGTGGATACCTCCATCAAGGGCCATTTTTCCTAGACTGATTAATCACTTGGAAAAATCTCCAATTGAACTGTATGTTTGTTACAGCATTTCTTATTATTCTAGATGTTGACACATGAAAAATTCTCTTGGCCTTAAAAGATTGAAGTTTAGTTACAACACAAACCATTCAGAATACCATAAAAAGAAATCTATTTTGAATAATAATTTATGGCCCTCTAAAAAATATGAACCCAACAGGTACCTGTTTGGAAAAGCATTACTTTGCATGAATAATTGATATTGTACTTTAGGAGGACAAAATAACATCACTTCTGGAAACTTTCTTCATTGCTTAGCTTTCCACGTAAGGTTACTAATTCTTGTTTGTTTGAATTTCATGTAATTGAATTTTATTTATCCATTGAAATTGCAAGTTGCAAGAACCTTACTCAATTTATAGGTACTTGATAATGTGAAAATGGAAAACTACAAAACTACAGTCTTATGGAAGTATAAAAACAAGTTTGCAAAATATCTCTAAATTCCAACCTCATAATCTTATTTTAAAATTTCATGCAGGACATAAAAAATAAACAAGAAAGGTGCAGTGTAAGTTATGTCTGCTAACAATGTTTTGTTATTCTACACAAAGATAAATTCATGTATGAAATAGTCCATTCAGTGGAAACAAGACCCAATGCCAGGAATGTGGTATTTTTGTCAACTATTACTTAAACGTTTTGGTACAGACCCTTATTGTTGTCACTCCTTAATAAATTATCTTAAATATATTAAAGTTCACACGGCAACCAGATAGGCAATCAGAAATGGTTTGATGCTACTCTGGTTTACAGATTTAGTGACTTTGACCCCTGATGAAGGCACTAGACAGGAGTGTCGAAACGTTGGGTCTATGAATTGTAACTTCTTCAGTTACATTCATTAAATCTGTAAATCAGGGTAGCATCAAACCATGTCTTATCTTAAATACTCAGTACTGTGCAGTGTACAGCACTTTATCTTTCGCTGTTGTTTGTTATGAATTAAATTGCTAAAATCATAAAAGTACACATTTGTTTGGTTGTAATGATTAGATAACACTTGGAAAGCCTAAAAGGGGTACAACTTCAAAAATAGATATAGGAATCATCTATTTCATGAATATAAGTACTTTATCCTACCATCCAAATAATGAGTAATCATAAAAAGTTTCCAAAACATTTGGTAAGCTTGTGCCCAGGTACAATACCTGGGATTAGTAAATTCATCCCTTTATCATTTATCTGCTAAGATTGGCCACATACCCATTCAGTTTACCCATGATGGCTAGGATCACAGATCTTCAGTCAATCTCACGGCTTTAAATGAAGGACAGTTTTTTGTCAAAGGTGTCACCCAGAATTATATCTAGGACAACCCTAACAGAGGGTGGGTTGCACGAAACTTTCTTGGCTGATTTTCTATCTCGCTTTTGTTGTATGATTGACAGCCAAGCTTACCCTCTTTCATAGGTCAGGTAGCAGGCTTGATGTTTGAGGTTGGACAATGTGGAGTGTCAAAGAAAGGACACTGGGTAGAGGGTGCTGCTGACTTTGAATATTGGGTTAAGCATACAGTTAATGTGTGAGCAAACACCTTTTTGCCAATCATTTTTAACCTTCCTTAATTTGCTGTTACTTACAGTAGATGTGTCCTTTAGGATAGCATATCTCTAAGGAAAAAAAAAGTACAAGTAATTTAATTAAGCTCCCTGACTTCATTGTGATGTGTAGTAAAATGAGTTTGATAACAGAAAATTCTGTCAAGTACATGAAAGGGAAAGTCAGGGGATGGGTGTTCTAAATCAATTGTCCTAAAAAGTTTTTTTTTTCCACCAAAACAATTGTTCAAAAAATTGAACCTAAACAACAGCAAGCAAAAATACCTGTGAATCTTGAGCTCCTGTATCAGCACTCATTCGAGTATGTAAATTCTACAAGAAATATTTAAAACATAATTGTATAACTGCCTCCTCCTGGTCTAAATAAACTATATTGAGGTATGATTTGTCTTAGCAAGTTTTCAAATTAACAGAATTGGATAGAATCCCTTGAGTGACTGGAAAGGCTTCACTGTCCTACAAGCACAACTAAAATTTACTTCACCCAAAAAATGCTACTATTAAGAATTTGTTCATGCTTAGCATGCATATATCGAGTTATGGATGCATGTGGGAAGTTTGGGAAGCATGAAAAATATGTAAGAGTAGCTTGAGGTGCAGCCAGGAGCAACTCTAGCTTTTTGAGTGCTCTCCAAACTTCCAAAGTGCATCCATAACTTGATATACGCACAGCTAAAAGCATGAGCAAATTCTTTTATAACAGAGCGGCAATGAACAAAAACTACTCACGTCATCTTATTTACACACAGGCGTGCGTAAATAAAGATTTTGTTCATAGCAGCTTAATAGGACTTACATAGAGCAAGCACGCATGTTATGTTATAATACTTATTTTCAAATGAAATCAAAGTGACATGACAAAACAACCAAAGGTTTTTTACGTCTTTTATATTTTGGAGGTAAGGAAACTCTGTGACATCACAACACAAATTCATTCTTGGATTTTCCCAAAGCAATGTATGAAGACAGCATTAAAGAACTTCTATTTGGCAGAAAAACATGTATGTCCACCAAGAAGATGGGGGCTTACACTGTCAGAGATGTGATGATGTATACTTCAAACAGAGTAAATGAAATTAATTCAGTATCACTTGTATACACCTTGATTTGTTGTTCAAGAATCTTCTGGTATGCTTCAGCTTCTGCTAGACGTTGTTCCAAGTTTTCTTGAGAGGGATCAAACAGAGTCTGAAAACCTGCCATTGGTCTCTGAAAAGATTAAGGCACAAAACAATGTCGAATCTTCCAAGGCACAGAATAACAATAGTATACTTTCCAATTTACATAAACTGAACACACTTCAATTCAAGATCCTGAAATAAGAAAGAAATAAGAAACCTTTCTGGCTTGTGAATGTCTTTTGATTGTGTCTTCTAAAGCTCTAATCCAGCGTTCTCTCTCCTCTGCATCACGTGCTGACAAAAGGAGAGGAAACTATTGTAATCAAAGTCGTAAATAAATTAAAGCTAAAAAAATTAAAAACAAACAAGAATCAAAAAGGCCAGAACAGGACAAATAGAACTTCATACTTAATATATAACAAATAATACATAAAAGATCTATATTAAAATGCTGACATACAGGTTCTGATTTAAGCTCAGCATTGGTTACAAATTAATTTCCTCAATTATGGTAATGTATGATGAGGTATAATAACGAGTTGGGAACCTTAAAAATAACAACTGGTCATCAAAAAAATATGTTGTAAATTTCTGGTTTTGACAGGCTTTAAGTTGACCAGCTGATCAAACAATCTGACCATGGATATCTAATACAATGTTACTTAACTTGAGACAGGCTAAAGGTTGACCAGCTGGTCAAATAATTTGACCATGGATATCTTATAAAATGTCACCTAACTTGAGGCTGGCAGGCAAAACACTGAAAAGTATTGTTTTCAATCAACAGTCACATTATGGTATTCTTCAGAGGAACACAAGTTCACGTTCAAGTTTTTGGTCTAACAGATTACCTTCTCATCCCTTAAAAACTAGTCAGTAACTTGGAAAATGACCCCCAATGGAATTGAGTCTTTTACAGGTTTGAATTTATAAAAATGGAAAATAACATCAGAACTTGGGCAAAATTAACTGCTATAGACGAAACTCTGTATTTCGTGTGGTGGAGTTATTGAATAATTACCCCCATTGAAACAAAGACCATAGCTAGTACAATGAATGAGATCAAATTATACATACAGCTCATGGAACTGATCAAACTTTGTTGCAGCATGTATTTTTTTCCAGCTATTTGCAGCTGCAATATACATCCTTATTCAAAATTTGGAAATATTAAGAAGCATTATATTAAAGTGTACAATTATAATTATTAATTTAAATTATATGACAAGGAGAGTAAAAACTTTATATGGATACCTTGAAAGTGAAAGGTCTTTTGATCACAGCTTATTGTAAAGGTGCTGTCCTCTTCATCATCAATTCCAATGTTTGCCCCCTAAAATTTATTTCATTATGTCAACCAACTTTTTCACATGTAATCTTTAAATGAGTGCATCAAAATTTTGACTTGGACTGTTATGTAGAGGTCAGGCTGGCTATATCACAGGATCTTTAGCTACATGTACAGCGTAAATGTAGAATTTACTCCCATATAAATTGTTATATTTAATTTGAGTAAGATACTTAGGGACAAGACAATGAGTGAGAATAAGGGGTGGGGTTACATATCTTGTACCCCTTCCTCACATCATATAATTATCCATAGGTTCAATTTTTCAAACATTACAGGGCTACATCTCTGTAAGCTTCTTTACAGATAACCCCAAAGCTCAACTTTACACCTTAGGGTCCTTTTCAACAAAGTCAATGCCAATGAATATAGAAGCAATCCTTGCAGTTATGAACACTACTGAACTAGTATTCAGGCCCACATAGGACTTGAACCTATGACCTCTGCAATACCCATGCAGCACTCTACCAACTGAGCTAACAAGCCAACTGGGAGCTAGTCATTATGCTGGATCCAAATAAACCTTCCAAGTAGTGAACAATGACTGTAAATATAGGAAAATCATGTATGTGCACTGCGGTTGAAGAAACTAATATAAGAGTGATCCTTGCAGTCATGAACACATCTAAACTACTAGTTGAAATAAGGCCTGAAAAAATTCAGGTCCATACGGAATTTGAACCCATGACCTTTGAGATATCGGTGCAGCACCCTGCCAACTGAGCTAACAAAGTGCTCTACCAACTGGGCAAACAACCATTACATCAGTAGTGTTCATAACTGCAAGGATCGCTTCTGTATTCATTTCTTTATCTGCAGTACACATATAAGATTTTCATATATTTACAGTCAAAGTCAATGCCTTTTGCAAACTGCTCCATATGAAACATTGCATTGAAAAGATGTGGAGGGTCTGTCAGATATCAACTTAATTTACCTTCAGACGTAAACATCCTCTTCTTGTTCCTCTCATCATTTTGTCCTTGGACTGTGATCAATAGCAACATGGTCAAACAGAATTTTCAGTTTACGAAATAACATCATCTCGTCGATCGTAATTACATTTAATTTGAATCATACGTTTACTTTTCTCCATATAAAATTCCTCTTTGTTTTAAGTTTCCTTTTCTCCCAAGACGCTAAATAACGTACGTAGCCAGTAGGAACGAGCCTGAATATGTTGCCTAATGGCCCTCCTCCCCATTACTTGTCCTAAAATTTCACTGAATGTGCACCGTAGTTATTTTGGCTCCCTGACCGTCTACGATTGACTCTCTAACGTGAACGCAGGTTTAAAGGTAAAAGCGAGTGCTTTGTTATTTTATGGAAATCACCCCAGAAGGAATTAGACTCACTGTATAATAGGACAACAACCCTGTATTATCATCCAAAACAAACCACCGATACTGCCATCCTTTTACAACATTCGTCCATTTAGATAGAGGTCCTTCCATCACGACCGCCATTTTGAATCTTTCCTAGAGCCCAGTCACGAGCAACATTACTTAAGTGATATGTGGTGTAAAGATCACGCAGTGTTTTCAATCACAACAAAGGTCTATAATGCACAGCGTTACAATTTGATTTAAGATATGAACACATAAAAAAAATCATCTGGCAAAAATAAGATACTTTTCTTGCCGAGAAATTGATGGAAGGGAGAAGGGCGGGGTTGTACCGTAATGTTCGACGAAGTTATGAGAGAAAGCCCTATAGACAGAGGAAAATGGTGAGGTATGGGAGGGAAAGGGAAGGAAGCCTGTTGAACGGAAATGCAGATATAATGGAAGGAAAGACAGAAGGAGCACAAGGAAAACATGATGAACTTAGCGGGAGAGGAGAAATGTAAGGTGACGTAAAAAATGGACGGATAAAGAAAAGGACCAGAGGAGTACTAAAGACACTTAATCTGCTATATTTTCTCGCTTTATATCATCTCCTCTCATTAGAAAGTATTAAAATGTTCAGGCAAAGTTGCGTTTTAGTATAATATATTAACAGGTAAATTCCTCACGAAAATACCCGCCTTTACATGCAATTGTACTAAAGCTGAAACTGGAAACACCTTCCATGGTCGGTTACAAAGCAGCTAATACCGTAACAGTTCAGTTATAAACATAGTTCAAACGTTATTTTCCTTTGTTTCACAGATGGCGAATAACCCTTCGGAACAAAAAAGGGAAAGAGAGACAGCCTCTCGCCTTCGTTCAACTATATTTTCTTATCAAGATCTTTATTTGTCATTATTGAAATTTTTTTTTATTATAATCATTATCTTTTCTTATTACTTCTATTTCATTTTGCTCGCTTGCGACATAAATGAGTCGAAATGAGTGACTTTCAATTTCGACTATCGCATGGCCAGTCAAAATGATGCAAAATCGAGCAGCCCTCGTCCAAACCTTCAATACGTGAAGTAAAAAATTTCAGACACGTGTGTAAGTTTTAGCCATGAATATCTTTGCTGACTACGCAACTTCGCCGCAGGCTATACGTTATGTTGTTTACTTCTTCAATCAGTTTACACGGGACTTTCAACTTAATACTTTTGCGCACAACATCATTTCTGAGGCTCTTCATGACAACAACTTGCCCATGATCCCTCAATTTTCTTAACTTTTACTTCTCTGCTTGGTGGAAAAGAGGATCACTAGCTGCGTTTCCAATGCAAATAGTTACACATGAATGCAGCTTAAGACAGATGAAAGTGGCCCGACTATTTTATTACATTTGGTAGTCCAGCATAAGACTTACTGCGCCGGTGGTGCTGTGTAGAAGCAATTCCCTCATGTGAATCACTGACTATTAATGAAGCAGAGTGACTATCTGCTTCACTACTGACACTAACTGATCTTGGTCTAGGAACAGCAGCAATTACAGAGAAAGAGTCCGCCAAGCGTGGTAGAGAAGGGAGAGAAACAGAATTCCCACAAAAGCCTTTTCTACCGTCTTGCCCCTTGAGAGGATGACTGTTCTTCTCCTGCAGAGGTGGTAACACAAGCGATGTCTTCTTTTCTGTTGTACTTTTTTTTCTGTATTGATTTTCAAATCGATTTTGTGCAGCTTTAAGCTGACATGTTTCTGCTTCATACTGTTTCATCAAACGCTGCTTTTCCTTCTGTAAATTCTGCTCTTCTCGAGAATTAGAAGCGTTTGCCATTCTCCAACTCTTGGAGGCCATCATTTTTTCAAGTTTAGATAGTGAAGTTTTCATCATGAGAACCTTCAGCGTAACTTAATGTTGTTGTTACTCTTTAAAGGACTACTGAGTGCAATTAAGCACCCCCTGGAGGCCTTTACGAAATCGTCATTAGGGCGCGAACGACGCAATACAGAACAAAGCTATCATTTGGCGTAACCAACGATTGTTGTGTGAAAGATTTTTGGAAACAGCCTCCAGGCGAACTGCACACTATGGTTAATACATAAACTACAATAGAGGAGCCGGCCGGAAATTAATGCAACTAAAAAATAAATAAATAAATAAAAATAATAATGGCGGACTAACTATTTCATAAAATAACTTGTAGATTCTTGCAGAGACGGGATGAAAGTAAACCGCTTCTACACAGTGTAAGTACTGAAGACAAAGTGTTCCTGCAAACATTGCTCGTCAGTTGCGTCAATTTCTGCTTTTCTGATGGCGTAAAGAAAAGAAACTTTAAACTTGAGAATGTCATTTGGCTTTCAGTCTCTCTTATCAGTCTCTAGATTTTTTTGTTCCGTTGTTCGTTATAGGAACTAGTACAGACTGAAGACCAACAAATCTTGAATCTTCTAAAGGAGATAGCAACAGGCTATGTTCTGCTCTTAATTCAAAATTTAGTTTCATAAGGTTTCTGGTTTTTTCCCGTTTCACAAATCCTTTGTCTACTTTTGTCTTTAAAATGATCTCACTCGGGCGACTGTTCAAACTGGACTTTTGAGTTGAAGAATAGGGAGGAAGAAAACAGGATTCATTCTTTGTTATGATGTTAGAGAGCGCCTTGTTTTTTGAGCATGAAGGAAGAAGGGAAATACAAGCCTTTTCTAAAACACTAGAGTTCCCACCAAGAGACTGAGCTTCAGAAAGTGGAACCACTGAATCACAAGTCTCACATCTGTGCCATTTGGTGACGTCACCTAACACTGTTTTCTCTGTGCAATCTCGGTATGAGTGACGTATAAATGGCGTCATACAATGAGGCGTGACCGAGCCTTGTCCCCTGTCAAGTGCCTCGCCCTTTACATGTGACATTTTGTCGCCTGTGTACAGATCAATATCTGTTGTCAGAGATTTCTTTTTCACTGAAAGGGACCTCAAAGATTTTTCTCTCCCGGCTAAGTCCCATGTAGGTTTGTTGCTGGTATTTTGTATTTTGCGGTATTTTGTTGTTTCAGAGGTTTGTTCTGGCTGTTGGTAGATCCTTCCAATTCGTTTTTCTATCCAGCGCTGTGGTTTGTTAAGATTAAAGGACACTTTTCCTCCTTTAACTTTAGGGTACGATGAGAAACCTGATGAACTTTCTACACTCCGTGCCTGATTGTAATCTTGCCTTGCGTCATTGAGTTCGCCAGAAAAATCACTTTTCCACTTTCTTTCGTGAAACTCAATATCTTCCAATTTGTCGGTAAGTTTTCTAGTTTCACGAGGATTCTTTTTTAAAATAGCTTGGCCCATCTTGCTGACAGACACATAATGTATTGTTTCGAAGGCTAACTGCCTCTGAAGCGATTTTGGACGGCTCATACTGTTAAAATTTCAAGGCAAAAAGGATAAAACACGAACTAGATACACGGCAGATTTTTATCGTAATTCCCTTTCGAGTATAACCGAGTTTTAACCCTGTTATAAAACAGTCAGCTAGTTAGTAACTGAGAGGAACAATACAATGGCTTGGCTAACTGGTAATTAAGTGATAACATTTTTATGTCTTAATCAGAAACAAAGGATACACAACATCAATTGACACAATATGTTATGCATTGATAGGCATGATCCTCACATTAACACCTTTGATACTCAAAGTACAACTGAAACACTTTGACTGAACAGTAACAGGTTCCAGTTAATCTCTGAGGAACAAATCACACACCACTTGGAAAATTGTCTTTGATCAGTGATTGGTTTCAAAGGAAGAGTTGTGCAGATGTATTTCACAATATCAGTGTGAAACCCTTTAATTAGAGTTCCGTGCAAACACTGTATATGTGATGATATCGTGTACTATATTCAAGTTTCCTGTAAATATTGTCAGATTTGTTTTGTTTCGTGGATGGAGCGCTGTGCTATGACGGAAGGTCCGTATTAATATATATTCTAAAAACTGTTTACAAAATAATTGGATTAATTCATATCACTTCACTAGAGCACTGAAGTGTCCTGATTGAAATATAGTTCGTGGTTAATCTTCTCTTAATGTCAGGGTGTAAGATGTATCGCGTTGTTTAGGTCTTTGTAACGGATGTGCCACCAATGCTGCCATATGGTCAAACAGCCGCGTTGTACTGCGTGATACTTCCAACATAAACCCATCTTCTTCTTCGTCCATGTCACAGAAAATATCATATATTTCCTAAATTACAGTACAAAATATTAGGTCATATTTACGATGAAGTTCATCGGCACCTTTGTGGAGCAATAAGCTTGTTGCTTCATCAACCTCCGTGACAACAACTTTACTCCAGCTCCATTTCAGTCTGTTTAGAGATCTATTGTTTCAATCTTAAGTTCCTCTTTACTTTACTCCAGCTCCATTTCAGTCTGTTTAGAGATCTATTGTTTCAATCTTAAGTTCCTCTTTTTGTATTCCTAGTCGTGGGGTGAATGTTATACAGATTAAGTGTTCACTTGTTAATGAAGATAGCCTGTATAACACTAAAAAAGAATTTTTCTTAGGGACTTCCCCTAACAAAGTAATCTGCATACCACAAACACCAGCATATAAGCCGCACCTTTTAACCTGAAATTTTCCAAACAAATCAGAGGTACAGCAGAGTAAGATCAACCAAAAGTCTAACTCAGAAGATATCATGTCCATACTATTACAGGTAAAACTATAGACAAGTATTCAAAGTATTCTCCATTTTTAATATTAGTGCTCAACTTTCTCAAGACTTCACCTGTTTTTTTTTTTATTTTTTTTTCAATACATTTTTGAAAACTTTTTATCCAAATTTTTGTTGCCAAACTCAAGGTGGGGCTTATTTGTGAGTGCAGCTTACAAGCAGATGTTTGTGGTAATTATTTTCAGAAAATTCATGATTGTTTTATTTATATATATTTTATCTATACCATCAAATGGAAAAGTGCCTTACTTGAACTGAGACCTGAAGTCACAATTGGCCTCAAAAAACAAAGCAATCAAAATCTAATCAAGAAATATAGAAGATTCTCAATGACTTACTTTACACAGATTCATTTCAGATGGAAGCTCATGAACATAAAGAACATCAAGAAAGAAATATGGGCAGGCAGACAGTTGTGAAAATATCTGCAAATTACAATAAAAATGGTCTTTTAAACATCAATCAAACCTTTATGTATGCTGAGCTTCATCTACCCTTGGTTAAAGCTGGAGGGTGCACTTTTTTCAGTGGTTTCCTAGGCTTTTCTTAAGTATTAGGCACAGACACAGAATCAATCACACCTTCAGAAAAAATCATTGGATGCAGAGACCATAAAGTCTTGCCATTAACTCCTTCATTGCCTTCGTTTAAGGATTAAGTAACACTCATTGTTACCTCAGGTACAAAAAAATTCACAGCAAATTGGTCTACTTTCTCAGAGTTGCAAGAATGTTATATCATTTTATTCAAATCATATTCTAAATGGTACCACACCAATACTTCCAAATTTAGTTATGTTATTGTCAATCAACAGTACCAAAACAAATGAATTCAAGGTAAAGTGCATGATGACCTGTACCAGGAAATTAGAGAAAAGAAGAGTTGAAAAAGTAGTATAAAAGCAATCAAGTGATGTTTCGTTTAAGAAAAGACTAACAAATAAACCAGCTCTCTCAAACAGACCTCCTTTGCTCTTGTAGACATGACTGGTATGCAGTAAGATCGTCCATACACTATAATAAGTCGTACAACATATGGAGGAGGCAGTGATATGTCTTCTACATGTGGTAAAGTAACATTTTGTTGTCTGTGAGAGATAAGCACAGAGTAAAAATAAACTGAATATCAAATGAAAGGTAAACCCAAAAAAGTTTAATTTTCCAAGAGTCAGTAAAAAATAACTTTAAATTTAAGAGATCAAAATCTGAAAGAGACACAGCTCATAACTTTCTATATCTCCTTATATTACTTTCCACATTCAACAATGACCCACAAAGATCTTTTAAAAGTAGTTGACCTCAAAATTGAACATGCAAAATGAAACAAACCTGAAAAAAAATTAAAACCCCACCCACATAAAATTTGGAATTTAATGCTCATAACCTCACCCCTGTAATTTTTTTCAAGGCAGAATAGCTACACTGGTACCAAGTCAAGCTAACTCACTGTAACAACATATTTATGATAAATATCAGCCTTTCCTTGACTAAAATTTATCAGATGCATTATAAGTTATAGAGAAAAACTTACATTGCTTCAAATAACTTTGCCATGTTTGAAATGACCATCAAGGATAAAATTCAACAAGAATATAACCTCCCAGTAAGTCACATTTAGCATATATACCAAAATTTCTCTCCCCAAATGAAAATAAAAGTAGTTTAGCAGAGATAAAGAGTAGGAATTCATGTGATAACTTTCAGCATTCTAGACACTGGTTCCATTAAATTTACTGTCCACTTGTAACTTCTTATTCAATGTCAAATAAATTTAGTGAGAACGGAATACTTCAACAATGTATAAGTTACAATCATTCACTCCTCTCCAAAGAAAATAAATAAAAGTTACATAGTACAAAACAGATTATGGTTTTCAGTGTTCTCCCTTATTTTAAGCATGACAGGTAAAATAAATTTTCAAACTGGTAAAGCAATCCTTTTACTTATTGAATTATCAAGAATTCCAAGCAACTTTAAATGGTAATAAGAGGTACTACAGGCAGTAAATGTTACTGGTTACTGCCTGAAAAGGAGAACACTGGGTTTTAAGTAAGTGCACAGCACAGGCTAGTCTTTATAAAGGATATCATATTCCCCATCTGTTGAAAGTTCATCTACTGGATGAAGAAGGTTTAGCATGCTGCAGATATTTACCACATCACTGGTGAAATCATTCTGCTAAAAAAATTTTATTAAAAAAAAATTTAAACAAAGGCCATAATTAGAAGACTAAAATGCATCAACTGCTTTTTCTAAATTCTGTATTTAACTAACAAAAAAGATCATTTTGGTAATAAATGGCAGCTTTCTCAAAAACCTGTGGAAAAACTTTACAAAGTCATGTCTCTTGTGGTAAGATTATAAACATAATTCAAATGGGGTATGTCAGGTTTACTCTCATTTCTACAATCCTTTCCATTCAGGTTACACCATATGTCTGACAAATACACCATATGTCTCCAAAAATCAGTTTTCTCCATAAGTCAAAAGATAGAAAGTCTCTCTTTGAATATTTCTGAAGACTTCAAAAACTTACAAAAGTAGGAATATCATCCAGGCCAACAACACAAAACTTGTGCTGTGCATTCAGTTTTGACTTGGTCTTCACAAAGATTTCTCCTGCCCTTTGGACCAGCTGAAATGCTGTCCTATACAAATGTCAAAGATAAACTGCTTTATGCTTTCAGGTTTTACTCTAAAAATATTTGAAGTAATAACAAAGTTACAGTAACAGTCCCTGAAATGTTTGTGTATAATTTGGAACCTTCTAAATGACTGAGCAGTCAATCCAAAAACCTCTATTAGTAGATGAAAAAGAATATAGAATATCACCTATCTGAAACACTTTTATTTTGAAATGATGTTGACTTCATCTCTGATGATACATCCAAACATAATATCTGAAAAAACAATTTGAGCAAATATTTTCATCGAAGTTCTTTCAACAGATATCCTCAAAAGTAACCTGATATGTTCAAATGAATAATAAATCGATGATTATAGAATCAAAACTTTCCTTAAGTGTAACTTGTTATGGCTTACAGTTTCAATTTATAATATGATTTATGCTAATAACTATCAAAAGATAACAATGACCATAATATAAGGTATTAATAAAAAGTAATAACATCTAGAAAAATGTGGATCTATCTGTCAGGGACTTCAAATGGTTCAATACTCATCCAATCAGACTCTTCCTTATATGGGAGTAACAAAGAAGAAACTCTCCTCTTTTCGTTTACAATGAACAACATGCATCATGCAAGAAAATGAAGCCAGAAACCGTACTACAAGCATAAGAAGCCACATGATTTTGGAATTTTGGAACATATGGAGCTTAAATCTTAGTTTTTTGTGGGCAACTGATCCAAACTTCCTATTATTCGGGAGATTTGGTCACCCATACAGGCAAGCAGGGGATTGGCTCAGTATCCAGGAGACTCCTGGATACTCCAGGAGAGTTAGCATATATGCAATAGGACAAAACTTAAAAGAACAGATAACACACATGAAGGAACCCTGTGAGAACATAGGTATAGAAATAACTAGAAGTGACTTAACAGAAAAGAAACTTTTCTCCTATACTGATTCAGCTGCAGTTGAAGCTTAAAAAGTAACAGATAAACATATTTCTAATGAAAATAACAATACACTTCTTGTGCATGTGAATCATCAAAAAACATGGCAGAGGAGGACTCTGAATGTAGGTAGATATATATGGTTCTCCAATTAGATTCTATGCTTTAAAGTCTGAAAATATTGAGTACATTTCTGTTTAAAAAGTAATTCTTACAATGTGCTCTGGACAGTTGACACGAGGGATTTTGCTCCTCAAACCATCATTCTTGGATGAATCTTCTGAACTTAAAGACTGACTGTCTGCTAACTGTGTTACAAAGCCATTCCCTTCTGCTTGCTTTTCTTCACCATCTCCATCAGACTGTAATTCATCACCACATGAGTCTTTGCTTTCTAGTTGATCTTTTGGTAACTCAGCATTTGTTGGGCCACTTTGTTTGTCTTCCATCTGACAGATAAATGTAACTTATGGCTATACAGTTAGAGATGAGACATATGACAACTGAGACTGACAAAATATCAATATGATTATGAAAACTCACACAGAAATTATAAAAAGTTTAATGATGGTGATAATGATGAATACTAATGATAATAACGATGATAATGAAGACAACATTATCATCATCATCATCTTATGGTTGAAAAATTTTTGAGCTGAGAATAATCCGAGAGTTGAGAAAGAATAGTTTACCTTACATTATAAATAATTGGCGAAAAAGAAAATATAAAAAATACAAAACATTGTATCGAAAGAGAATAATAAAAAAGTGTTAAATGGTTGTTGAAACTGAATTTTCCAATTCGCCGAGAAGTAACTTTATCATTCATGGGTATTTTGCCAAGGCAGGTATGGTACCCTTCGCAACTCTAAGTACAGGGCTAGCTTCCTATTGAAACACAAAAACACGCTGCCATATCATCAGTAGAGGTACGTCCAAACCGACCTATTCGAGAAGTGAAAGAGTCACCAGACATCAATTTGCCGGATAACCACAGCCTCATCCAACCCCGCGGAAAACCTATGAAGAGTAGTGACTTGGAAACGAGTCTCAACAGCCCACAGTGCGCAGAGCATCATGGCTTTAACAAAAAAGTGGAGAGGAGACTGGCATCAAGAAACGTCATCGTTGCACGTGCGCAGTGTGGAAGTTAGTCAGCAGATAAAGAGTTTTATGCCGGGCTATTGTACATTTCTATAGGAAAAAAACCATGGCTCATCAGTAAGTTAGCGGTTTTAACTCGTGAAATAGTCTCTTGAATTTTCCAAGATAATTATTCCGCAGTTTTTGGATCAGTCTCTCAGGCGTTGTATGCCACAGTCGCGAAAACTGTGTGTCGCAAATTACGTGATTACACCAGGATAATCGAAGCTCAAAAATTTTTTTAACTTTTCCCTTTGAAAAGTTGTATATTGCGCTAAGTTGTGTTGTGACTTAGAAATTCTTGTGTCTATCAATTAATTTTTACAAACCTACCTTGTTGATGTTTTCTGTACGTTTGAAGATCATACTTGTATATTTTTGCGTGTTAACTTTGTCCTTTTTAACTTCCTCCTATTTTTTTGTGATAGGGACGAACTCGCGACGGCTATTTTAAAGAACAAGTCGAAGCCTAACCGTTTATTGGTGGAAGAAGCTATTAATGATGACAATTCAGTTGTATCTATGTCTCAGGTTTGTGTGAAAAAAAGATGCTTTGATTTTATCGTGCGTGGTGCTAAATCATCATCCCTCTTCGAACCCGATCTGTTTTAATTCACTTTCATTTTCGGTTTTTCTTTCGTAGGCAAAAATGGAAGAGCTGCAGCTCTTTCGTGGAGATACAGTCCTGATAAAAGGAAAGAAGAGACGGGATACTGTGAGTTTTTAGATGGAATGATTCAGCAATTTTTTGATAAACAATCATTTGTCTGCTACACCCAACCATGTGATGATGCTGTTAGAATTGAGAAGTTGTATTTCACTGTTTTAATTTTTTTTGTGTGTGAAATTTTACTTGTTTTTTATTAGTATGCTAAGGTACAGAAAAGAGATCTTACTAATAATAGATGCATCTGGAAACTGTTTGCCATCATTTTTACTGGTTTTGGGTTTGTGTCAGGCTCTCATTGGTGGAAAGATGATGTAATCCTTTTTTTTTGCCTTTAAGTTTCTGTTGTATTGACTTAAGTAAAGGAGCCTCAATGGACACAAATAAATATTCTGTATAGTTTAAGGTTTGCAAAGGCATTTTTGAAAGAAACCTGATACATCCATTTTCTTTTCTTAGTTTGGGAATAGTGTTCTTTGCTCTTTGAATCAAGTGCAGCAAAAGTACAGCTAATTTAATTTGGCCTTTCAATCAAAATCATTCTATCATTAAATATGACATCTGTCTTGTTCTTGATAAAGCTTTGGATTTGAGTTTTTTTTCCCCACTCTAGGTTCTAGTGTAGTTTAAATTAATTTATATCTTGTTTTTCAACAGGTATGTATTGTGCTGTCAGATGATACTATCTCTGATGACAAGATAAGGATGAATCGTGTTGTAAGGAGGAATCTGCGAGTGAGGCTTGGTGATATAGTCAGGTATATTCACATGATTTGACTTGTAAGGTGAATGTGTATTACTTTCCACTGTTGGCGTAGTTGTAGCTTTGAAATTAGGTTGCCAGCTGAAATTTCAATTAAGGCACCTTCAAGATGGTGCCTCAAAGGAGGTACTTTATGCCTTCCACTGATGGTTGAAGAGGGAAGCTTGTAACAAGAGATCTGATCTGGCAAAAACATTTCATTTGGATTGTTTACAACTATTTGAATGCAGGGCTTTTAAGATTTGGTGTTTAGCAACAACCCTGTGTTGGTCTTAATCAAGAGTCCTAAATAACATAGAGATTGTTAAGAGGGAAACATAGTTATGGTTTTTTGTTACTTAACTGCTACAATGGCATTTTACAGGTCTTAAGTTAGTAGTTATTTAATATATCTGCCTCATTTGTAGTGTACAAGCATGTCCTGATGTCAAATATGGCAAACGAATTCATGTCCTGCCATTTGATGACACAGTGGAAGGCCTAACTGGGTTTGTAGAATGTTTAATCTCTTTAGTAGTTGGTCACTAAGGAAGTGTAAGGTATTCCATAAAAATCAATATCTTCAGTGAAATTTTGGTCTGTACTAGAAGTTTGTCTATCTTTATACCAGTACTCCTAAATTTAAAGGCAAGAGACAAGAGTGTCTGTGTAAAAGTGCTACTAAAGCTTTTCAATACCGCTAAATATTGGCTTATATTAGGAAACCTATTTTTTTGGCAGGAACCTGTTTGATGTGTTCTTAAAGCCATACTTTTTGGAAGCATACAGACCTATCAGGAAAGGTTTGTGTAATCTTGTGTTGTAATAATTTTGACTTTTATTTTTTACAATATTTAGGCAAATCATTACCAACATCTTTCAGTCAACATTTCCCTAATTTTGGAAGAAGCTAAAAAATCATTAATGTAGATACCCTGCCAGCTACTGGCCATCTACTATAGCTTCTTACTTCCATCTGTTTTCCTTATGTACTTTAAGCCCTTCTTTTGCAATACTACATTTACATATTTGTCCTCTTAAGAAAGTACATGTAAAGAAATGTTAGGAAAAAACTAGACTAAAAAAGTCTTTCTTTATTGGTTACTCACACCTGGTACAAACTGGGACAGACACTAGGTTTGATAAAGAGCATTGGTAATTTTCTTCATGGTTAATAATTTTTGTGTACAGAGGACATGTTTCTTGTACGTGGTGGAATGAGAGCTGTTGAATTCAAGGTCATAGAGACTGATCCAAGTCCATACTGCATTGTAGCACCAGATACAGTAATTCATTGTGAAGGAGAGCCAGTTAAGAGAGAGGTCAGTCACTGTTCTTTATACAATGAAAATTTGTGTTTTGGATTGCAGCTTGTATGATTCACATGTATGTTGCATGCTTTTTGTGTAGGAAGAGGAGGAGTCTCTAAATGAAGTTGGTTATGATGACATTGGAGGCTGTAGGAAACAGTTGGCCCAAATAAAGGAGGTTTGTTCTTTTGTTGTGTGCTTATTAAAGTGGTAAATTGACTGGTTTATTCTTAATGTATACATTTCTCTAATAGATGGTGGAGTTACCTCTCAGACATCCCCAGTTGTTTCGGGCCATTGGTGTGAAGGTAAGTTTTTATTTGAAATGAGACATAATATCAATTGTAATGTGTTGAAACAATTGACAATTTTGTCATATCTTTGCAGCCTCCCCGTGGTATTCTTCTCTATGGTCCTCCAGGAACTGGAAAAACTTTGATGGCAAGGTTTGTGTTGTTTCATAAACAATAATTTGTGTTGTGGAAAAATGATGATAGTATGTCTGTTACCAAACAGCATAAAATTATTTTGAGTGGAACTTATTTTGCTTTGTCCTGTTCCTTTTTTTAACAGAGCTGTTGCAAATGAGACAGGAGCATTTTTCTTCTTGATCAATGGTAAGATTATGCACAAACTTTTCAAAACCACTATATGGTTTATTTCCTCTTATGAATATTCTGAAACAAAGGGATGTCAAAATCAAACTGATCGAAAAAAAATTAAAACAATGGAAAGTAGCCTTAAAAGATAGTAAATTGTTAGCATTCAAGAAATGTTTTTTCTTTCAACAATTACAATCTGATTTGAAGAGCATGATGAAGACATTTTTGGTTGTTTCTTTTCTTACAATAGGTCCTGAGATAATGAGTAAACTTGCTGGTGAATCTGAAAGCAATCTCAGGAAAGGTTGGTAAAATACCTTTTGAACTTTCCCATCAGTTTTTTAACATTTTCAAAAAAGTTATTCCTTGATGTGCAAAGAGGCTCATCTTTTCTTGTTTGTGTTAATACAGCTTTTGAAGAGGCAGAAAAAAATTCCCCAGCAATCATATTCATTGATGAAATTGATGCGATTGCTCCTAAGAGAGATAAGGTAACTAAAGATTACTGATTGGTGTGTACAGTTGGCAGACTCAAGGCCAATAAATGTTAGAAGCATATCTGTAAGGCAGTGATAACAATTTTATGGGCAAATTATGTTTATTGGGAAGCCATAGGTATTATTCTGCATCCAAATTTTTTAAATAAAGAGATCTTACTTGACCCTTTAACTCCCATGTGTGACCAGGACAGAATTCCTCCTTACAATATCAATACAATATCAAGCAGACAACTGATGAGAATGAATAAAAATATTAATTAGGGAGTTATTAGTTGATACAGTACCAAATTCTCAAAACTAACATCAGAAGAATATATGGCAGACATTAAGGAGAATTACTAATTAGATCTTGGGAGTTAAAGGGTTAAAATGACTACTATTAACATTCAGCTGTCTATTTCTGATTGTTGCAGACACATGGAGAAGTAGAGCGGCGAATTGTGTCCCAACTGTTGACTCTGATGGATGGTTTAAAGCAGAGGTCCCATGTTATCGTTATGGCAGCAACTAACAGACCAAACAGTGTTGACCCAGCTCTGCGAAGATTTGGTGAGATTAATAATGAATTTACTCAGACCTTTTGGTATATTCAGCTTTTATTAATATTGAATACACTGTTTCCTACTTCAAGGCCGTTTTGATAGGGAGGTGGACATTGGCATACCAGATGCTACAGGCCGTTTAGAGATTTTACGTATTCATACAAAGAACATGAAACTTGGAGATGATGTTGATCTTGAGCAGGTGGAGTGTTAAGTCTTTGGTCAACTGTTGTTTGTTTGGTGTTCTCTCCTTAAGCACCACCATTTGACTGTATGCTTTATGCAATTTGATTTCCTTGTAGATTGCAGCTGAAACTCATGGTTATGTTGGTTCAGATGTGGCCTCTCTCTGTTCAGAAGCTGCTCTTCAACAGGTTTAGTGGCATTAATTTGTAGAGTTACACTCAACTTCTCACTGATGTCTTGTTGACAACACTTGTTTCATTTTTTTGATTCTACAGATTCGTGAAAAAATGGATTTAATTGACTTGGAAGATGAACAAATTGATGCAGAGGTGCTGGACTCTCTCGCTGTTTCCATGGATAATTTCAGGGTGAGTATTAGTAGGACCTGATGTATCCAAAGCACAATCTCCTGCCAGATATAAAATATGTTTGTGCAGGTTCACAGCTTTGGAAAATTAATTTGCTGGTCTGTTTTAAATTGGGTTCTTCCTATTCATGTTCCCTTAATTAACAGTTGGCAGATATTGTTGTACATTTAATGCAAAAAACACAAGCAATATGTAATAAACCTTTAAGCTTCTTTGGAAAGTTTTATCTATTCAGGTTGTGGCCACAACCCCTTTCACATTAATGATAACGATTTCCATTGTCAAAGTGTTCCAGTCATAAACCTGGATGTATTTCATTATTACAAAAGAAACTAAAGCGAGTTTAATTTTTTGTTGGGTCAGTATGCCATGGGTGTATCTAACCCATCAGCTCTCCGTGAGACTGTGGTTGAGGTGCCTACAACTACATGGGACGATATTGGTGGTTTAGACACTGTCAAACGTGAACTACAGGAGCTTGTACAGTACCCAGTGGAACACCCAGATAAGTTCCTTAAGTTTGGAATGACACCTTCCAAAGGAGTACTGTTCTATGGTCCACCAGGTTGTGGTAAGACCCTATTGGCTAAAGCCATTGCAAATGAATGCCAAGCAAACTTCATTTCAATCAAAGGTCCAGAGCTTCTTACTATGTGGTTTGGTGAGTCCGAGGCCAATGTGCGAGATGTATTTGACAAGGTTGGTATTTCAAAGAAACACTCAAATTGCATATTCTGCACCTAAAGGTATTGCTCTGTAACATTTTAGAGAATTCTCTGACCACCATGCAGAATTTGCTACAGTCGAACCTCGATTGTCTGGACTCGTCGGGACCTCGGTAACTAGTCCGGATAATTGAGAGTCTGGATAATCAAAAATATGAATATTAATGAGATAGAAATGTGAAATAATTATCTGCTTATCTTTAATCAATAGAACGGCTCGATTTCGCTTCGTAGGCATGTTTTTTATTTGAGTTTACGATCGATTGCTCGTGTGTTTACATAACCCATGCGGAAGGAACTAATCAAGCATGAAATTCCCTTGGCAACAAAACAATTGAGCCAATCAGATATCAGCTGAACACATCGGAATATTTCTTTGTCTCATTGCACTTACAAATTTTGAAAAGCGCATAGGATAATATGCTGTTTCCATAGTCTTTTGAAAGAATTATTGGGCTTTTTGCGACTTTGAGTGTTCAAGATCACAGCTAATTAATATTCATGAAGAAATTGGGACCAGAGAAAAGAGTCCGGATAATCGAATAGTCCGGATAATCGAGGTTGCACTGTACCAAATTTTCATGTCTTTAGCTATAGCTATAGTATTATGCAGATGTAGAGCCATTACAGAATATATTCTCCTATTATTTTACATTTGTCTCCTCCAACTGATGTATCTGTCTGTGCTTTATACTTGTTTGCTGGAAAAATTATTGCAAGGAGAAGTGATATGTTGACAGTCTTGCTGAGGCTTAGAGGTTTAAGATTTAATTTCTTGTTCTTATTTTTTAATTTATTCAGGCCCGGAGTGCTGCTCCTTGTGTGCTTTTCTTTGATGAATTAGATTCCATTGCTAAAGCAAGGGGAGGCAATGTTGGAGATGGAGGTTAGTTTGGTTTTCTCCAGGTCCACACCTGTCCCCATTTGTTTAAAAGGGGATTTGTGCTGTCCTCTGGATAGTCGTTATTTGAGTAGATAGTGCAGTTCAGTTTGTTAACGTGTTTCCATTGTATAAGGATTTATTTGTTGGAACATCTGGCCCCAGAACATCATCAGGTTTTTCTAAGTGATTTGTCTGTTGTATCTATAAATACTTACAGGTTAATGCACTCAGGGAGTGAATTATCGGGATTTACCTTCACAAGTTCACTACTAATGAATGAGACATTTCAATACAGCATGAGGCTTTGCAGAGTGCAGTATTGAAAATTTCAAGTTCATTGTTTGTGAACAAGTACAGGTAAATCCTGATAATTCACAAGCAATGAGTACATTAACATCTTTATTATTCAAATTGAATACACTGCACAAAGAAACACTGCATTGAAACCACTATATACTAAGTAAACCAGACAAAATATTTAATTTTAATTTAATATGTTTCAAAGTTGATAAAAAATTAATCATATGTTTTATAAAATATATTCGAAATTACATGAACATGGTAAGAGAATCAGGGTCTACATCTGACAAATTGTCAAACTTTGAGTCAGCCAAAACCATGGTGTAATGACAGTGGTGTGTTAAATTTACACCATGGCTATTACACTGTGATAATGATGTCAAAGAGGTTGTTTTTTCACAACCCTGTATCACGTGGTACAAATCAACCAATCAGAAAATCAGAATTCATACAGTGTATGAAAGTTTAATTATGATAAGGGGATATTCAGTACTTTTAATGCTTCCTTACCCTTTCTCATTCAACATATCAAAGAAAAGTGATATAAGTTATAAATAAATTACGATGTCCTTTGGTGACTGGCTTCTAATTTTGTGCTTAGGAGGAGCAGCAGATCGTGTGATCAACCAGGTACTAACTGAAATGGATGGCATGAATGTCAAGAAGAATGTCTTCATTATTGGAGCAACCAACAGGTGCTTGTCTTGTTTTGTTCTCTGTTCTTAGATATTAACACCATTTATCAACTAGCAATTATTATATGAATTTAGAGGCTAGAGGAAATACACTGTTTCTTTAATTATCACTTGAAATTCAAATTTGTCTTCATGGTCAATGACAGAGGAGAACTCTAATCAATAGTATGATATACTTCAGCCACAAATGTAGAGTGAGAATTAAAACTTGGGATGCTTGTGGGAAAGATGGTAGTCTACCTTGATATAGAATTTGGGGGATCTTCAATCTTATGATCAATGACAGATTGAATTGTTTTTGGTACATATGCATTGTTTGGTCCATTTTCTTGTATTCTACAGGCCAGACATCATTGATCCAGCCATACTGCGGCCAGGTCGTTTGGATCAGCTGATTTACATTCCTCTTCCTGATGAAGCAGTTAGTTGATGAGAAATTCTTTTTCTTTTTAAACACATATTATGAGACAAGTTATTTCCTTGTTTATCGGTGCCACGTACAGCTGTGATGTTACAATTATTGAACCAAGAATAGTGTCAAGTGATACAAGACAGAAAACAAATCATATTTATCAGCTTATATTATTACTTTGGTCCTAATGTATTAGTTGGGTGCAAACCCTTTTCAGAGGGTTCCTAGGATGCTAATCTATCCAAGTACAACACAGGTAAAAATTATCTGGCAAAATAATTGAAGCTCACCTTTCCACTCTCAATTAATTTCAGTCACGTGTCTCCATACTCTCAGCATGTTTGAGGAAATCTCCAATTGCAAAGGTCTGTTTTTTTTGCATTTAAATTTTTACCCTCCCATGTACTTCGTGGAAACTCTAGATATTTAGTTCTAGTGTCTGCCTTTTATCTTTGTACATTCTTCTTTTGCAGTTTCCCATGTCAATTGTTATCTGACCTACTATAGACTAAACTAGTAATTCTGAATATTAAAATATCATGACAGGATAAATTGGTGCTCTTTTTATTCAAAGACAATCACAGGCTTCTATGTCATTCATTCTCAAGTACAATGCTATAGCTCAGCTCCATAGTTCCCTTAATGTATGCTAGGGTACTTTTAATGAGCAGAAACATCAGATTCTGCTTATTTTTGGTGAATAAAAATTACATCAATGATGCTTAACTGAAGAAAGCCACCTCCCTCTTCCTAGATAAAAACCATAGAAAATTTAGAAGTATCCCCCTGTTAAAACCTTACTAACAAGGTCCATCATTGTCTTTAACAGGATGTAGACTTGAATTATATTGCAAAGGTTACTCATGGCTTTAGTGGTGCAGATTTAACAGAGATCTGTCAAAGGGTGAGACAAAGGTTTTCAGTTGAAGTTATGAATTTTCACATTACCGTACACATTGTTTTTCAGGATAAATCTTTTTGATGAGCAATACAACTGGTGCATTGTAACCTAAAATTGATGCAGTACTGATTTCCTTAGAGAGTCAGTAAAAAATAGAAAGTACAGGGATAATGGGGGGTTTTCAGTGAACAAATTAAAAGATATTGTCCATGAGCATGGTTTGACTTCTCAGAAATTGCCTTCTGTAACACATAATAGTAATTTTAGTGTTGTTGGTAAAATGCCTAGCTTTTCTTCAAGATAAAGTTAGAGTCACTCTTCTAAAGTAATTTGAACTGTCCTGGAAAAATGCATATCCCATGCACAACATAATTTATATTATAATTGAGCTCTTTAAAATGATTGCTTCTCTAGGCATGTAAGCTAGCTGTCAGGGAGTCAATAGAGACAGAGATAAGGTTGGAAAGGGAGCGAGCTGACAACCCAGACTTGGACATGGTGAGAGCTATGTTTGTTTGGATATATTTCAGTAACTTCATGCCCCCAGCAAGTCAATATACTAGTGTTATATTTTATACATGGTAAGACAAACCATTTATTCTAGAATTGGATCAAACATTGAAGTAAAGAGAAATCTAGAGTCATTTCCATTTATGCCTCCACTCATGACATGTAATGAGAAATGGAGTGATTGGAGCATCCAATCATTAAAAAATTACTTCAGAACAAGCCCTTCTTGTTTACATGGCAATTGCTAACATTAGATGGAACTCTTTAGGAAGTGGAAGATGAAGATCCTGTACCAGAGATCACAAGAGGCCATGTTGAAGAGGCAATGAAATTTGCCCGCAGATCTGTCAGTGATAATGATATTCGCAAATATGAGATGTTTGCTCAAACTTTGCAGCAGAGCCGTGGATTCGGTGGAAACTTTAGGTAAGTTTTTGCATGGTTAAGAAAAAGTAAGATAGAACTTGAATGGTTGATAATTTAGCAAAAACTGAAAAACATCAGCCCGAAACTTCATGCTTGATAAACTTGTGACGTAGTAACTCTAATTATCTTTTAACATAAAAACATAGTAAAGAATGAGGTTGTTCATTACTTATTAAGTATCTATTTCTATCTGCTACCATCATATAAAATACTTTTCTCTCTCTTATAATTTAAGTCTGTATTTTTCACAGATTCCCAAATCAGTCAGGAGGTGGATCTCAGGGGGGTGGACAAGGAGGTGGACAAGGTGGCTCAGGAGGAGCAGATGATTCTAACTTATATGATGATGGAGATGATGACCTGTACAGTTAAGACAATCTGCAAATTTTCTTTTATATTTTTTGGAAAAGTTGCAACTTAATCAAGGTGTCACCAACTCACTGTATTGTTACACTTCTGTTTGATGCAATGTTATGTTTAATGCTGAAAAAGGAATATTGTTTCATGAAAATGTAGTGCTTAGCTTTAAATTTTCAAAATGTGATGTACTAGACACTATGATATTTAATTAAAATTGGTTTTTAGTGCGATGTTCCAATGTGTGTTAAAAATATAATCTTATGAAAAAAGTAGTACTAAGCAGATGGGGTGCTCAGATAAACTGATTGGGTCAAAATTGGGGAGAGGGTAGTCACCCATTTTAAGTCTGTATGGCAACAGCTAAACCAGGTTCAACATATCCCAGTAGATTCTGCAAAGGAATGAAATATTTGACTTATACAGGTCAAACTTGGAAAGTCAAATAAATTGAGTGTATTGGAGTGTATGTCATACTAGTCTTTGAATATAACTGTTACTGAGAAGAAGAATTACTTAGAGTTCATGATCACTTCCCAACTTTTCTTGATCCAACTTCTACTTGGTGTTCGGGGAGAAGTTCAGGAGAACTCCAGAAAAGCTTACTAGAGGGTTGTACAATTTTTTAAGTCTGACAGAAGAAACCCAGTGGAAATTTGAATCTGTCAGCCTTGCTCAAATCCACCTCTATGTCTGAGTTCAGCATTAGTTTTCAATAGACTACCAAGTATGCAGGTTTGTTATACCAAAAACTCATTTGGACCTGAGTGAGATAGATTTCATGTAAGACAGTGATAGATATTTTAAGAAAATCAAGGTTACATTGACAACATTATGGAATAAAATCAACTGCCTACCACAAAAAGAGAAAGGGAAATTTCAAACTTGATATTGGTTATTTGAGTTAATAGCCTAGGTTCACAAATGTTTCACCAGTTTCTTGAGGGTAAGTGTCTATGGCAATGCTTTCAAGGACTCAATTACATTTCAAGACAGTACATAAAGCAAGTTTCACTACATTTAAGTCTAGAAGAGTACTGCATGGACATTTATTGTTCATTGTACAGCCTGCATCTTGATATAATATGATTAAAATGTCAGGAAAGCAACAACAGGGGTTTTTCTTGTTGTTGTGCTAAGAGTTTCTTCTATGCCTACAAAGTATGTTTCGAAAATTCCATACTGCACTTTTTGTTTCAACAACATTAATGCACCATTAATGTTTTTTATTATGATGAGTATGACTTGTTTGTGGAACTGACAAACTCCTCTTAACCTCTATTTGTAAGAGATAACTTGTAGAGACATTCTGACTACTGATTTATGTGTAAGAATGAGATATGCACTTGTCCTTATAGCCTCAAGAACTGATGGGTAACCTCGTAAATTCCAACTGAAACACCGGCTTCCTCATCATAATCAGACCAGTCCTTGTGTGAAAGAAAATACTTCAGTAAATATCATTATTGAGTAGCCTGCTCCAAAATAAGATATAAACTCAGTATTGGTCTTAATGTTTTCAGCAACAAGTCTGTTCACACCTTCAGAGTACAAAGTTCAGAGTTCAGATTGATGCTGTATGATCTTACTGTGTATAAATAAAGTTATGAAAGGCCTGAAAACCAATTACTCAGGAAAGTAACCCACAGAGATAAATAGAATCTCTACTTGGGAGGTTGGGGATTGAATCTCATGTGACTTAATTCCCTTTCTTGAAAAAATCAAGTACTGGCTTTCTGATAAGCACCCATGCACCTGTAGGTGTTCCCTTTACCCCATACTCTTAACACCACTTAAAGGGATTTCTAGGATATGTAATTTGAGATAATCTTAATTACCATGATATACAATTTTGCTGGCTTGCATTAGTGGACAGGAGATGAGTGCAAGCTTCTTGATCACACACCTGTTTGCTCACATTGGCCCTAAAAACCCCATTAGTAGAGTGGTTAATACTTTTTAACTATGGACAAATTCAGCTGGGAGATACCTTCTCTGTTAAATTGATGTCTGAGAACTTTGATGCAGAATCAACAGCATCGGCTACAAATCCAACCTGAATAAAGGATAACAGGGGTGTTTACATTTGTCAAGTAGCTCTTCTCGGAGGTGATAATGATGCTGCCCCAATCCCAACCCTGTACAGAACACCAGACAACAAAGCCCCTAACACCCTCGAGACTGTGAAAAAAAGGTTGGCCACTAACTCAATTTACATGACAGTGATCTTCATCAATGGAGCATGACTGATTGTAGCACACACAAAAGAACAACAAATATGTCTGTAAACACACTTCTACATCACAAAATAAAGAGTCAAACAAGATGTAAGATATCTTTCACCTGTTTTCCACTAAATTCACTGGCCTTCATCAGGGTTAATGGCTGTAGCATGCCTATCAGACCACTAAACTACAAATTTTAATATACCTGCTAAGACAAGATATATCATTACAAAGAAGTGAATCAATAGAGCACCTGACTGATACAATAATCAGACAGCTCTATATGACACAAATGGAAATTCAGTACACACAAATTCTTTCCACTTCATTTTGACTGGAAAAGTCCCCCCTCTTGTCAGGACCCTAGGGCTTCATGCACTGACTTGACTTGTTTGACTCTTCATTTTGTAGTTGCATTTTGCACTATGAAGAAGAACCTGACAGTGGATCCACGGATATTTAAACTTCTCAAAACTTCCATCCCTGGCACAAATGTTATATTAAGAAACAAAGAATAATAACTGTCATAAAAACTCTACACCACTGCTTTCACAGCTGATCAGTGACCCCATGGCTGAAGAATAGCCAGAGAAAGCTTCTAAATGGTTAACTTGAGGCATAGTTCAAGAAAGAACACTATTTCTCAGGTGCAGAACACACCCTTGGAGAGAAGTCAAATGGTTCCAATCCTCTGCAGTCAAATGCTACCATTGTCTTGAATGTGTTACTATCTTCTATCTATCAAATCAAACAACAACAAAAAAAAGAAATTTTTTACAGCATAATTTGTATGACAGAGGAGTCTTCAAAATTTTCACACAAAATTTTAATTATGTCTTATTCTTAGTTCAACTTCAGTTTTTTAGTGCATGGTAATCAGATAATGCAGAGTCACACCTTTTTCTAGTGATTAAAGAAGGATCTGAAAGCCTCTATGTGCCCCTTGCAACAGGGACAGTTTCTGTGGGGTACAAAATTTAGATGTGGTATTTACCGTGTATTCAGAGATGCTATCCCTTATTATATCTGCAAAATACAAAAGATGTTTTTGAAGCCTGATTTATGGCAATGGAAAACAGATAAAACATGCCAACTCAAAAGACAATTCTACAAATATTTGGTATATCCAATTTTTTTCATAGAAATGGTTTCCTTTTCACTCAGGTCTCCTCATTCCAAAAACTATTGACCATTGCTGGGTCTGATTTCCATACACTTTTAGAGGATTTTTATTTTCTCCTGAATATTTACCTTTACTGCAGAGGACACCTTGATTGGTTAAAGAGTAAATGATCACAGAAACACAACAAAAATCACTTTTCTTTTCATTTAGTACAATGTCCTTTGTCAGACTCTCTCAGTTCTTCATTAATCCCTTATCTCCCAAACAATATCAATTATATCAATAAAAATAATAATTTATAGTAACAAATAAATGCTAAGAATTATAATAATAACAACAACAGTAACAACTAATTATGAGTGATTTCTCCTCCACCAGGGCTTTTTGTAGCCAGTACTGACCAAGAATGAAAAATTTATCTTAGTAAGAAGTCCTATGGTTTTTTACACAGAACAGCTAAGGAGTTCTAATCAGACCAACTAAGAGCAAATCCAGTGAGTTCTCAAATTGAAGGCTTAAACCCAAAAACACCAAATTACAAGTAAAACCCTCTAACCACTCAGCTACCCAGTTATTACATTATCCAATAAACAGGTGGTGAACATAAACAAACTGTACTTATCAGCTTTATATCGTTTTCATGATGTACCACTTAAGTCTCTCTTACAATACAAGGAAGTGTCTCAGAGCTAACAGAGAATCATGGGTGTCAAAGGTTTAGGGTTATTCCTTTCTCTTACCCATAGAATTTTCACGACCACACAATTTACATTTCGACACAAAATTGGCGTTTCCTCTGCTTCCTTTAATTGCTTGACTTTCCTGTCAAGCGACAAAAGAACAATTTGATCTCAAATAAAAACAAACAAAAAAGTGATCATAAAATAATAGTACAAGAAAGATTAGTAGCTTCTTCACAATCAAAATCTTATGAATTTTCAAGAATTTCAAGTGACACAACAGCAGTTAGAGAAGAGACTCATGACTCCAATTCAAAGAAGATTCAGTGTTCACATGTTTACTTTGGAAATAAAGTGCATTCTTTTAAGAGACTCGGGTTATTCAGGTTTAATTTGAATTCATTATTAATAAATAATACAAAGGAAAGACTACAATTACGTTGATTAGCATATGTCAAAAAAGGGGAGAATAGAAGGTTTCCGCTCGTCATACAATTCCTTTGGTAAGACCACTACTCTTTTGTTATGAGCTAAAATAAAATACATATGAACTCACCCCTAAGCTCATATAAATCCAGTCCTTTGTATCTTCTCCACAATTCTGACATTGCAACTTAAGAACAATGGGGAAACATAATTTGGTAAAAAATTAAATCCCTTACAGATTATAACCATAAAACTAACAACTAACTATTTATTAAGGAACTATAATATCCCCACGCCATTAGTATATAAAATTTTTTATAAACAGTGTAACGTAACATCACCGAATGCGATGTCAGTTTGCCTCCTTGTCATTGATGGATAACCCCATAAATGGTATCAGGGAGGCAAAGGTTTGAATTCTGTCGAAGCCTGAATTTTCTCGGGCTTCTTTTCTACCTCTCATTAAATTGCAGTTCACCTACGAGAATCATCTCTTCACTTGAAGGTTTTCAATTACGCTAACCCAAAAGGTAGCCGTTAAGCATTATTTGTGTAAGTGGTTCTCTCTTACCTTCAAATACCAACGAAAGTCTTCTCCCTCAGGCTTAACATTGGTCAAATTTTCCAGATCGGCTTTGAACTGTAAGGCTATACGCTAGACGTTGCAAGTTGTAATCAGTGAACTTCGATTAATGAAAATACGACAATGAAGTAAATAGACAAGATATATAGTTGGAAAACGAATGTCTGACCAATAAAGTTTCATGTGAATCAAATATAGTAAGGTATTACGTAGCTGGACAAATTATAAAAACCTTTTAACATCTCAACCGAAACAAGAACTTACCACCATTTTGCCACAGAACAACAGTTCCTGTGCCTGCATTAAGAAAGACCAGCGCATCACGCACGCTTCTGTCATGCGTTTAAGTAACTCGAACGTGAAAGCAATATGGCGCACCACAGATTTCTTGCTCGTACTATTATGGCTGAAAATGGCGCAACAGCAGCTTTGAGATCGCTACAACGTGTGCTTTTGGATGAGAATGTCATTAGGGATATCCGTCTCAAACGTCACTACGAGAAACCAACCGTAAAAAGGCGGCGAGTGAAGTATGAAAGTGCCCTCAGATTGTACAACTCTGAAATGAATCGCAAAGTAGACTTTGTCATGGCAAAGCAGAGAAAAGAAACTCCGTGGTCCTGAGAAATACTGGAACTTTAGGAAGAGAACTACCTGTTTTGCCTCTCTGGGAGGACGTTTGAAATGATTGAGTTCTGTCATGAACAACTGTAGGACTTGTGCGGAAGCCTGCTCATGGAAATAGTACTTTTTCTATGTTAATGTGGTTTCTTATAAATGTTATGTACAGTATCCATTTGTAATTGGAACGACTCTGCGAATGAAAGAAATGTAGACCTCATTAACTCTTGGAGATGTTTACTTAGTTACCGTGAAGGTCAGGATCGCGATTAACCACACAAGAATGAAGGAGTACTGAGTAATAAAAGTAATGCTGAACCGTGCTTGTTTTGCTTGCGCCTCTTTAGACCACACCTGAGCCGAACTAACATATGTGAAGCACATTTTCAATTGGATGTCTAAAGGAATCCAGGATTGTATTGGGTTTGTTTCATTTCGCTCTTTGATAAGTAAAGAAAATTCGTACCACCCTCACCAACAGATGCGTAACGAAGTCGTGATTTTGTCCCGTGTTTCACCGCGCTTCTGGTAGCTTGCTAGCTACAAACTGGTTACTTGGAATATTTTCCTCCTAATCTGTTGTTGTGATTAAAGTCTTCATTATCAACCTTTAATTTTTTTGTCATGTGCCTGACGGTTCCTTCATGACGGAAGACTCGAGTATATCTTTGATAGTTGAGCAGGTGACTAAATCTGTCCCAGCTTGGTGTTCAGCTTTTTGGAATCAGCACTTGGTGAACCTGGTAAACCATTCAGTGGGCCGATTTGTTAAGAACATGATTACGCCAACCTAAGGTTGGACTTACCACCTTTTTCAATAGTTTCTTCTTCAAGGCTGTTCACTCGGTTGAGCCAGACCCTACGATAAAACCCACTTAAAGGGGAAAAATTATGGAATGTGACGGAGGTCGGCTGAGGAAAGTTAAGAATAACTGACCTGGCTAATTTGTTTCCTTTCCCACAAAGGGCTCCAGATCAAATGTTTACTAAGGATCACAGAAATATACGTTTTTAACTAATCTCTCTTCCTCTGCCAAGATATCTCCTTGCGAGTGCTTATTTACCTAGATAATTTTGTTTCGTCAACTGACTTAAAAATGTAAATTGGCCTCAAAAAATAGTTTATAAACTGAGTTTCTAAGATGACTTAATTACCTACATGAGAACTTACTCAGAGTTTAAATTCACAGTTCATTATCGTGCAACCATCTAATCACAATAAAAAAATGTGGGAACCCAAAAAGGTGCTATAATCACAATTTATTAAAAAATATATGTATAAATATCTCGCTATGATCTAAAGTTTGACAAACTACTTTCATTGATGTACTTAATACACATACACCTGTACATGTGAAGAGAGACTCAACCGTAATTACGATTTAATTGCCTTAGTTGATGGAAAACTGCTGAATTAATGCCCACATGCCTGTGGAAAGTGCCATCATTTGAGCCGAGGGCAAAAACTTAAGCTCCACAGTTTGATAAACTTTTTAGTTAAATGGCTAACAATTTCTTTTAAAATACACTGTTCGTTTACTCTCAGAACGCAAATCAATTAATTTAATTGCTTTCGCGATGAGAAGAGGGCAATGCAAAAAAACATTGGTAACTATACATCTCAAAGGTCAAGCAGCAGACGCACATTTAGTCGAAGTCTTTTCTTTTTACAACTCTGCTTTACATCCCACGGAACGGGTGAAAAGAGAGTTATAGACAGAGAGGGATCGTCTTCCTCACAACCCAGTTTTTAGAGAACAGGGTTCAGTGAACTTTGAGAAATCATCTTACTTTTACCAAAGAGGTAATCCCTGAATAACGGGGTAGTCGACACAATAAATGGTTCACACTTAAATTGAAAGAAATTCAGATGTTATTCAATAATGGTGACGTTATGACCGTGTGTAAGATTGAGGAAATTAATGAGCCTTCGTCTATAATGTGAACACAAAGAAGAGGTTACAATGCGGCACGTTGAACTGTTGAAACTGTATTATTATAGTTATTTGTATTTTCCTGGTCATTTGTACTTTCTCTATCACATTTCTCACTCTGCAGTTCACAATAGTATGTTCATTTGTACGTATATATGAGCTGTTCCAGTGAGCCTTGTATTCTATTTCCCTTGTCTCACTCTGTCGAGGCTCAGACTTGAAGATGGCAATTTGCCGCACTGATCCATTTAGTCTCCTGAACTCGTTTAAAGAGTTTTCAGACTTTTAAGCGCTCTCAGAGGACGTTTCTTGTTAGGTTACACCCAAACAGCCATAGTGTTAGTGCGTGTAAGAGTAGCAATCCTGTGCTACATACGGTAACAGGCGCTGCCGCTGACGTCATGATAGGTGATGCATCGTTGCTGAGATCCTCTCTTACACTCTCAGTTACATTTTCACTGAGAAAGAAATTTCAACATGATTTAAACCTTTAAACTACACTAATTTGAAATCCTTCGCTAACAAGTGCGAAAGTGTCCATACCCTTGGAAGTCTTTCAAAAGGGCTGAACTCGGTATACTTTACCTGCAAAGGTTTGATTCAGTAAATACAAGTTTGCAACATACCGTTTTTCTACTGGTGTTTTCGTAACTTTAAGCACCAGCTTCACACGACTGAAATCTGGCCTTTTCCTCCTTCTTCCCGAACATCTTCTTCTGTGCCTCTTTCGACATTTTCTGCGCCTTATTTTTTTCCTTGTTAGAGGATTTGTAATACGGAGTGCCTTGAAACTGCAAAAAAAGGCAACAAAAATGTTACTCCTAATTCCTTGGGCTGTGTAGATCAGGCATGGACCATTAGAAAAGTTATGGGAGTGGGATTCTAAAAGATACAAGAACTGATTTGATACATCTAGGTCAAAATCTTTTTTGTATGTTTGTTTTATACACCTTCCTAAAAAAAGCTACATTTAGGACGTTTTTATGTTTCGGAAGATTCTTTTTATAAAACGTCTTGAGTAAAACTCACATCAGTTGTACGTGGAAGGAAAATGGGCTAATTTAGAGAGGAAAATTATTCCATACAGAGTCTTCAATATGCCTACGAGAACAAACATCTAGAAAAAAAGTTGGAGTTAATCTCACATGACACTTATCCCAGGTTGGGTGACCTTGGCAGCTTGTGAGTGTCAGAACAACAGTCCAACCAATATTTGAAAGGTATTTCATTGGTTTTTATATATAATAAGTAAACTTTATAACTAAAAAAAAACAAATTGCATGAAAATATTATAAATTGCACGTTGCATACTAAATTGAGAAGAACTCTGACAAACAGAAATGGTAAAACAAAATGATAATAATAGTGCTGAGTGAAGAGGTTTAGAAGGTGAATTTTTAAATCAAAGACCGTACGTTGGTAGCTTTTGGCCAGGTGCCATGTGCTCTACTGCAAACCCTTCGCGTTTCATAATACCTATGACACTGTGATTTCCAAGAAAATGCCCTGTAGAAAAACAGGAAGTATATTAATATGATGAAGAATAATCTAAATAATATAATCTGATCGACGTCTATTTCCACAATTATATCAAAGACTCAAAATTCACGTCCCCTCCCTTTTTTTCCTACTTTAAACCACTGGTAACGCGGCGTAAAGTAAATCAGCTGGGCTGAACCAGATGACTAAAATACAAAACGAATTAAACACAACAGGACTCTAGTTATCACGTTGTACACAAAGGGTGTCTTCAGGACTAAGAACGATGATGATAGTAATAAGAACTTGGATACAAAATCCATACTTCTCATGATAACGATACGATATTCCAGAATAAATACTGATTATGAAATCGATAAGGATGACGAAATCGATACCGATAATGCTAAAAATATGGATGACACAATCAATACTGCTCATGATAACGATAAGGATGACAGAATTAATACTGCTCATGATAACGATAAGGATGACAAAATCGCTGATGAAAACGATGACGATAACAATAAGGATCGTAGTAGTGATTATGATGATGATAATGACACTCACCAGCACCAAACGCAAAAAAGAAATTGCGTTCAGGATACTTGTTTAAAAGTTCGATTACTCTTTTTGCCATGCGCTCATTCCTTTTGAAAATGAGCTCCTTTCTGAAATATTGATCAATCTCTTGCGTCCTCTTCAACTCTAATTGCCTTAGTGAGAAGTTGGAAGATATACTTGGCAGTCGCGTTGACTGAGTCGAGAAAAGAACGGAGGTAAGATCTCCGCAGTTATAATGATCTATGAGATCGTCTGTAGTATAGGCTACGTGGGCTTTGCCAACCCGCAGCTTTTCTTGAAAGTTAAGTGTTTGGTTTAAAGCAAAGACCACCTGCAAGAAAAAGGTAAGAGAGTTCAATTAGTTAAATTTTCTTATTATTATTCTGCACAACACGAACGACGGACATCAGTTAAGTGACCATGATAAAATATTTTTAAAAAATCCCTCCATGGTCACCAAGATCTGTTATCACTGTTACAATAAATAAACAAAGAAATTAACAAATATATAATTAACGCGAAGACTGAAATAAAAGAGACGCTTACATCCCTTGTAGTTCTTCGATTTCTTGAATATTAAAAAGAGTGTCAAGAAAAACTCGCACCTTTGTCTGCAGCAATGGTAACGCCCAAAAACGTGAGTTCAGCCCTTACTAATGATTGTTAATTTAGCTCTAAAAGGACGTGTAAATGGAAACTTATGTACTTTGGCACGCATGCCAGATTTAATATTCCCTGCAAAACATCTTGTGAAGTATACCTTTGCCTTCAGGCTATTTGGTTTCTTACACAGTTATCTGGGGTGACTCATGCCGTTATTTTTTAACTAAGGAGATCAATTGATCCAAATTAAGTACATACATACTTTATCATCAACCTTAAAGTTCACAAGACAGAAACAATGCAAGCTCTTTTGATTCTTTGCACAATAATTTCACTCTCTTTCTGGTTACTGAAACATATAATCGCCAATATACCAACAGGAAAACGATGAAAACAAAATTTGATCGTATGTATCATCGACCAGGTTAACTCACTTATCATTACAATGAACTAGAAACATGTTAGCAATTGATGTCACGATATCTGACTAAAAGCCGAAGAGTTCCTTTAAGCCATTATGGTTTATCTGATGCCTTTACTTGTGAAGCATTGTGAATCACGTACGCTCTACTTAGAATGGTTATCTTAACATTGCAGCTGTATAAATTGAGTTGAATATGTCTTTCATCTTGCGCAATACACAAATTATCTTTTTCCCTTATTTTTCGCCCTTAGGTTTGCGATATACTGGCAAGGCATGTTAGTTACTTGTTAACAACGGAGGAAATGTGGCTAATTACATTTAAAAATATCAAAAACAACCTGCTACGCATGAAGAAAGGAATGTCTTTCGCTGCGTTGTATTTTTCTGATTGCGGCTATACCGTATCTTTTTTGTTTTTGTTTTTAAAGCATTGTTATGTGACAGGAAAAAGACAATGTTCTCGTTCAAACAACAACAGATAAAACAAAATAAAACAGAAGTTTGAACTTTGGGTTATTAAAATACTATTGTGAGAGGCTGTGGTGCAGATCATTGTCTACACAGGACACTCATATACACAAGTTGTGTTTCGGTCAAGAGTCCTTTAAGTTCGGTACATCAAACAGTACCGCCTTTCTAATAATCTCAAAGAATAAAAGGGCAGGGATCAATAGCATTATATCACAGAATTATTCATATCCAAGAAACTCCAAATATTGACGGCCACTCGATGTACCCAGAAGACAGTGATCAAAACTTCCCGCCCGTTGCCGAATGTTAGCTTTTTGCGCTGGTAATAGGGAATTTCTCAAGGTGATGGACAGAGGACGTGTTTGCATATTTAATTATGTCAATTCAATTCATACTTATTACAATTCCCTTGAAATCGCCTGCAAAAATCACTGTACGTGAGTCACGTTATAATAAGCACGCCACTTCCTAGTATAACTCATTTATACGGCCAGAAATGAGCTCACCGCGGTTAAAAATGGGAATTTGCAGCAATTTGAAATGACACGCTCTTGATTTAATTAACACCATTGTCTATATTATAGGTTATTGACATAAGGAATAGAAAGCCGCTTAAAAGTAACACAAACTCAACGAAAAGAATGAAACGTTCTCCTCAGTCTATATTCAGTATTTTGTCTGCCTGGAACAAAAAATGCAAAATATCGTGGCCTTTGTAGCAAGCAAATCTTTGAACAGAAAGGCGTGATAATAATAAACGTTTAATGACACCACAGCTGAGCCTTGTTTTCATATCAAACCCGATAAAAGCTGCACAAAACAACCATGTAATAGATACTCCAGTCGGAGCTTGACACCGGACACCGAAAGGCAAGCCGCCTAAAACATACGCGAGTGGTGACGTTCAGACATCACGACCATTTAAAGAATCTGCAAAGGATGACACAAATCAGAGAAGTTTTCTCGCTTTTTAATGCATGAGCGCAAATGTTTATTGTTAAGAATGAAAACTTAATAGCTTTTGAATGCATTAACCGGTGTAAAGACGGCAATTGTGAGAGCGATTTACGCAAAAAGACTTTTTGCTAAAACCACTAACTAGTGTAGAGGCAGGCAGTCAGGCAGGTTACCTTCTCTAAATTAATCATCAGATGGTGACTGATTGGCTTTCAAGTCTCATACAAAACAAACTTGACCGCTAATAGACTTTCCTCGTACAATCAGTATATTCACTAAACATTCCAGAAATGCATAGTAAAACCGCTATTAACAAAACACGATTAAGGAACCTTTTCCCACTGTTTTGACAATGTAAATAACAAAGCTCAATATAGACACAAATGACTCTTTTTATGCGTCCGCACATAATATGTAAAATAATAATGCCACTCACTTCACTTATGCAATCGAAATATTTTAACGGCACCTTTGAGATTTAATCAACCCAAAAATACTACTTACTGCAGTCATAACTTAACAAATAGAAGTTGTTACATGATAATACAATTAGCTCGCACGCCGACTCACGCAAAAAGGAAATGTAAAGAAAACGCAACTTATTGGAGATCACGCTTCAATAAAGCGCCAGTACTACTCGAAGCTCGAAGCTGTCGTCCCATGTGCTTATAGGAAATATACAACTATTGTTAGTTATCGCGTGCAATTTAACTTTAACATTGATGTTGTCAGTTTCAGTTAATCTATATTGTCCCAGTAAGCTGGATTCTACTGAGAAACTTTTGACTTAGAGAAGATTTGAGAGATTATGCGATTCTCAATCGACTAACCTGTGTATCATTTAGTGAGTTAAGTGGCTGGCACTGTTCCTCCACTTCCTCCACAGCTCCCGTGAATTTCTCATTTCTGGCAGCTTCCGAGGCAAGATACTGATCCAAAACTGGTATTCCTCGATTTTTAATATCACTTTCGGTCAGAGAATTTACCATAAGCATGATCCATATCGGTCGCTTTTTCTGCCAGTCTTTAGTCAGAAGCTGGAATATTTTGTCGGCATAAGGCGCCATTCCTTGGTAATATTCTCCATCATTGTCTTTCAACCACATAGGGATCATTTTCTTTATGTATCTCAAATGCCTGTGTAGGCGTCGATACATACTCCGAGGTAACACGTCCTTGAGAAGTCCTCCCTTGGGTAACATTTGACATTTCCACAGTGCGTTAACTGTAGGTTTGCTGGTCAAATCAAGTTCAAAATATACGTATTGACTTGTCTTGAAGGCTGCTTTGCTGTTTGAAGGAATGAAGTCCCATACTCTAGTGTAAGGTACATGGATTGTACCGAAGAAGTAAGCTGGTGGGTTTCGTTTCACTAACCATAAAAACGAGTTGAGGTTCTCTTGAAGCTGTAAACACGAGTACAAATGAAATATGCACAACGTAATTATTTTTGAAAGCACAATAGAACAGTGATCTATAAGAATTTAAGTGCACACATTAACGCACACAAGCAAGAGATCTTGAAATCTGTTACCGCGTAATTCGTGCAAGATCTTGTGGAAGGTATTCGGTCCGGTGCAGCATTATGACTCCGGAGAGGTGACTCTGTTACCTGCAGGTAGAGAGGAATACAAACAAGGTATGTTATGATTAGTAAGTGATGAGGTCCTAAAGTCTTAACTTGATCCATTTGTCAACTCACAACGAGTAGTAAAACCCATAAAAGGTTCGAAAAGAACGCCATCCCTTCATCCTAACCAGAGGGATTAAATCATGTGTAACTACAGGCTTATTCAGTTTATCGGAGGCCGCAGTCATTTGGCCTTCATAGCTTACTAACAGACAATCTTTAAATCTCGTCAGCTCCGACTCAAGCGTTTTGCGGTCTCTACTTGGGTTAGTGACTTGAATGCTGATTGGTTTAGCACATTTCATAATTGGCGCACAGTTAATCTTGAGGGCGGGCCGTCACAGAATACAATAGACATGTCATTAGCCGTGACAGCAAACAACCCGCCTGACAGTTGTGCGTTTAATTGGGGTGCTCACCTACAAGGTTCTGCCTGTTTGCTTGACAAAACGTGAGCTAATAAGCGATATTCTGCGTGAGTGGCGCGTTGTCTCCAAACCATTTGAATGACGTTAATCGCATATATCCATACATTGCTTTAGCGTGCATAGCGCATGAAATTTTAGAACCTCAGATTAGTAACGTGAGCAACCGGCACCAGCTGAATCGACTTCATTTCATTACCCTTTATTGCAATGATAAGGTCTCGTAATGCACGCTAGTCCAAGAACGCCTAACCCTTAGCAAAAAGCTCCTATTTCAAAATACTTTTTTTTCATTATTCATGGCGGTCTCTTGATTAATAAAGGTTGCAAAACCCATAAGGAGTTGTGTTCGGACACCAGTCGTGTTATCACCACAGGGGAGCTACAGTCGTCACTGCGATTCCACTTAGCACCAGTATTAATTGCTGTCAAGGAACCACTCGGCTGAGCTGCACGGTGATCAGTCAGCGAACAATTTCACTGAATCACATTCAGCCGCATCTGACTTAGTATCAATGAACTGATATTGCACTTTCAAAATGGTTTTCTGTAACACTTTTTAATAACGTGCTTTCTTCGTGCAAATTAAGTCAAATTAAAACATCAAGTAACAAAGATTTCGCTCAAAAGGTTACCATAATCTTTAAAGAAAAAAAGGAAGGATCTGTAAATGACCAGCACAAAAAGGAGACTATAGACTCCAGAATCCTGTCATTAAACCTACCTTGTGGTGAGCCGTTCTTTATCTGGTGGTAGCGCAAAACATCTTCGGTATAAAATTAGTAATAACTCCCTGTCACACGTTCACACGTGTTTGACTGAGACCACACGCGTACAAAGCAGTAGAGCACTTTTCAAGAGATCAAAGCTCGACTCTCTACAGTGGACTTAGTGAATAGTGAATCTTGAATTCGTCAGACATTTAAGAGTTCTTTCTGGGTAGCTATCCATGAGTTTTATATTGAGTTAAACAACGTAACAGACCCTTGAAGAGCTTACTTAGACAACATCGGTACTTTTATGTTGTAAACATTAAGTTTTTCTCTCTTCACTTTCTCGAAAGATGGAAAGCACCTCTCACAAATGTATCCTTTTGATTCATCAATTCATTTGTTCTTTCATTGATTTCATTTGAAAGTGATTGAAAAAATTGAGGTCACACTTAAATTTGTTGTCGGCAATAAAAAGTCTTCTTTTCCTTTCGGAACAGAAAACAAAATAGGGAAACATGTTTTAACTGTTATATATGTTTATGATCATATTCTCCGCTTCACATTTTATAAGATAAAAACAAATGATGCGTGACTTATTTTGAGTAGATTTCCAGTCCAAACGGGAATGTTTGGAATTATTTCACAGTCAAGAGTGCACATGTACGCGGGCCATTGTGCTTGGCATGCAGACTTTTCCTATACTCAAGCACTAGCACCCAAATCTTCTATTTATGAGCCTAACTGACTGACCCACTTAATTGAAAAGATTAGTTGATGACAGAAAACATTAGATACAAACAAGTAAAGAGCACATACCACGATCAGTATTTTCCTCTGCACAATCCACCATTTCATTTCTGAGGCTTCAAACAATGCCTTCCTACATAGATAGCTGAGTGTCTTAACCTATTAAAAGAGATAAAAGAAAATCAATTCAAATGGATATTGTGAAGGTAAACAAAGTCAAGTTGACAGAGCCAAGTAAAAGTGTGCATCAATACACTAAAATGGCAATTGACATCCTCAAGATGTTTATTCACAACCACAATGTCATGTTCAAATTAGAATTTAAGGTGATGGGAGTTTGCAGAGGGTGAAAAATTGATGAAGCCAGACAAAACTGAAACAATACAGAGCAAAAGATAATATGAAAAACTGAGTCAGTGCTTTAGTAAACTTTGAGAAAAGTAGTGGTAGGGCTTTGGACACATGAAGCCAACCAACAAGATAAATTTAATAATCTATGATCAGTTTCATGAATAGATTCCACGTTGACATGCTTCTGTTCAGAAATAGATCACAGATCATGTCAAAATGTGTTAAGAACAAGAAAGGTACACAAGGCACAGAAGTGTGCATCACTGATGTCCTTACCATGTTTTGTTGTCTTCTATGATCCACTAATGAACAAACACATGGCAACTTGGAATCTAGTTGTTTTAGATAATAACACAAAACAGTGACAATAGTGATGTCATCTACGAGTCTGTCTGACACAGATCATAAAAACTTATCAAAATGGACAAAAAGAGATCTCTAGCAAGTCTTCTTTCAAGCCGAAATTTCTTTCTAACGCTTGACATCTGACCATCCATTTCAAGGAAACTTTTTGTGGACTATTGAAAACTTCTACAACAGGGGAATAAATAAAACCAAAATGGAGACTTATTGTCAAACTACTTACACCAAACGCACCTCATTTACAACAAATATTAATGCATACTATACTAATCAAGATCCTACTCATAATGGTGTTTTAGTTTACCTTCGCTGTTTTTAGAACATAAGCTCTATGTGTTTAACTGGGAAACTTGTCATTGCTATTATTACTAGTTTGTTTGCTTGCCTATTCTTTCTGTCAAAGCGGTAATTTTTTCCGCAGAAACAGCTGTGTTGCGTCGGCGGACAAGTGATGAGACACTTGAAAAATAAAGAACTTACCAAATTTATGTACGGAACTAATTCTCCAAATTATCCACCGTTTGTATCTGTTCAGAAACAAAAATACTGTAGAGCAAAAAGACGGAGTAAAAACGTTAAATCTCACCCTCTAAACTCTCAGCAAGCTTCAAGGATTTGCGCGTAATTTCACGCATTGTTGCTGCATGGCCAAATAAAGAGTGAATAAAGGTTGTACGGTTTTAAATAAACTGTGGTGCTACGTTCGTGAGAGAGAGTAACAGGGTAACTAAGTATTATTAACTGAGTTGATTACGTAAAATGGCCATCTGATAAGGATGATATCAGATGATAACTCATCCGGTAACTTGCATCTAACCTCCTCTATCATATGATAACTTATCTGATAGGGGAGGTATGCGTACTTCATTTTCCTCGTAATGAAATAGTAGCTTCAAGCCTTGATCTCGAGACCCTATTCTAGAATCGACGACGAAAGGTGCGTTTTGGTCGTTTATAGTTATCAATCAGTCCGGTTGAAACTGTTACAAAACAACTGAGAAGAAATTGTAAGGAGACGAAAGAGTTGTGAGCACGTTGGAGAGATTCGGTACGGTTAAGGAAAAGTTCTGGGATTCAGGATAATTAATTATGGGGATACGGGATATTCTAGAACCAACGATACAGTATATTATACTGCGAATATATCTTAGGGCTTCAATATAAGCACACAAAAAAAAAAGATCCATTTGTGACAGGAGATTCAATGTCTTGATTGTTATCAACTCAAAACACTAAATTGTAGTTGTGACCAATATTCTGCTGTATTTATGCAAAATTTCCACTTGAAACACATTTGTGACCCAAACTGGCAATAGAGATGGTGTATAAATATATATTATATTCAAGTAAGATTAAATTTAGATGTTTAGAATACAAGGAACAGCAAAGGGCCCATAGCATAGACAGATTAACACTTTAATGAACACTGACAAAATTTACAATATAAAAGCATTCAGCACTAAAATGAGAAAAGCCTGACTTATGGCCTTGAAAGTAATAACTGGCTTTTAGCAATTTGTGAATGACAATCTGGCGGCTAGTTTTGTTTCCTAAAAGATGATGTCATTTAAATCATAACAGAACAGAACAGAGGCAAGTGACATTGATTAACATGCAATTGGACCAGGAGAAGTCTTTTGTGAAAACAAATGATTGAATCAGAGAGGCAATAAAATGAGTACATGAATGAACTTTGTGAGCATCTCTGTCCTGGAAAATTTGCAAGGTACTTAATTACTGGCTGAAATTCTGAACAGGGCCACATGAACAGTAATAAGATCTATTTAGAGTAAAGGTAAAAGTACAAACTCTAACACTAGTATAGTATTCAATTGTCATGTCATTAGTTAGTATCACTGTCATAGTCACCGGCACTGACAGGCTTCTTCTTATAGCTCCTGGACTTTTTCTTTGAACGTCGGCTCGAGCTATCTTCTCTCTCACCTCTCCTTTCACCATCTGACAGATTTTCATCCTCTTCTTTTTCCTCTGAGTATTTTTTCCTTTTCTTCTTGCTCCTATCATAATCAGAACCTTCACTATCTTTTCCTTCTGCACTGCCATATCTTCTATTTCTTTTCTCTCTCTCTGTGCCTTGATCACTGTCTGCTGCAATGGTCAAAAAAGCATTTTCTTTATAATAAGTGAACTTATAGAAATGGTGGAAAGGAAACCAGTTAAAGACCCACGGTGACTCAGTACTTTGATGACTTTGTTTAAAGAATCTAAGATCAATAGCAGAGTAACCTACCTGGATAAGCTCTTTCCTTGTCACTTTCCTCCTCAGCGCTTTGAGAGCTACTGTCCTTTTTCTCCCTCACTTTTCGCTCTTTTTTCTTTTTATGGTGCGCTCTAATGATGGAGAAGTTTTGTTAACAGTTTTTTAGAACTTGTGAAAGATTATCCAGTTCTTTGTTTTTTAACAAAATGCACTGTTTTCTGAATTCTAGTTTGACAACACATTAGTAGCACTCAAAAAGGTGTTAAATGTACTCTTTTCTATTGAGCTTCACATTTGTTCACCTGAAAAATAAAGAGTTCAGTAATCCAAATTCTTTGCTGCTAAGTTAAGAACACTTTTTAAAAGAAAAACCAAAAAAAAAAGAGAGGGAAAAAAGGAAAGGAGAAAAAAATGCATCTTTAAATGGAATAAAACAAACATCCATGTATTAGTCTTGAAATAGGGTTGCCTGGCAGTGAATCTTTACCTAACATGAGAACCAGACTTACGTTTAATTTCCTCTTTAAATGGAACTGATGTACTTTCCAACTTTTAAGGTAAAATTAGGACACAAAAGGGGGAGACTAGCAGCCCTTATTAGGGTTTAACTTATAAAGAGCTGAGAGAAAACAGAAAAATATTTATGAAAACTTACTTAGAAGAGCTTCTCTTTGGTGACGGTGAGATAGAATGACTTTTTGATCTTTCCCTCTCTCGTTCCCTGGCTCTTTCTTTCTCTTTCTCTCGCTCGCGTTCTTTTTGTCTTTCTTTTTCCTTTTCTTTTTCTCTTTCGCGCTCTTTTTCCCTTTGCTTCTCTTTTTCTCTCTGCCTTTCTTTTTCCTTTCTCCGTTCTCTTTCTTTTTCTGATTCTCTTGTTTTCTCTTTGTCTTTTGATCTAGTTTTTTCACTCCTCTCTTCTGATTTCTCTCGACTTTTCTCCTTCAAACTTTCAGGTTTCTCAACAGCCTCTGCTTTTTCCTTTGGTGCTTTCTTTTCCTTTGATACTGATCTTTCACGAGAATCAGTTCTCTTCCTTTCTTTGGACCTGCCACGTGATTGCTCTCGTGATCTAGAACGTCGCTCTCGAGACCTTGAACGTCGACCTTTCCTTCTCTCCCTTCAGAATAGGGAAAAAAAATCAGTCACATAAAGCCTACTATTAGCTATTCTTTTTAAAAGAGAAAGAAGCCAGCATGTACAAAATATTTGAAGAAACAAGGTATCAAATGTTGGTCTTTGAGCACTATCTATCATACCTGCTTCGAGAACGACGGGAACTTCTGTGTCTTGAGGCAGAACGGGATGAACGACGCCTGTCTCTGTATCTATCCCTAGGAAGGACGTGGAAAATTAATCATTTTGCACAGTGAAAACAGATTCAAAGAATTTCAGTGGAAAAGATGACTGTTTACTAGTTTTCTCTTTGAAAAGCTGAAAAATATATCCAGAATTATTCTCTTAAGTTAACCTTTCACACACTAACAACAGTATGTGTATTCTCCAGACTGTACTCAATACATCTCCAAAGGTGATGACAAGGAGAATTTGTTTAACAATCAAGATATTCTTTACTGGGGGATCATTTCCTTTATTGGCATTGCCTTAATGTATGATTCAGAGGTAATATTGCAAGGGAAAATTACATAATAGTCACTCTTGGGGTTCTAAGGGCTAAACACACCCCTAAATACAGGAATGCCAAAATACACATGTATCAGTATGTTTTTGTGTGCTCCTAACACTAACAAATTATTCTTAAATTTTACAAAACATTGGGCAATTTCTTACCCAAAAAATTACACCTTGGCTATCTGGATCATACACTGGTGACAGACTCAGTCATCAAAGTATTTTGACAAAGCAAGGGAATGACATTAAATGTAAAGCTTGAAGAAATTAAGTCAACTTGTTCTGGCATATCACAGTGAGCAATCTTGGAGAAAATTTGTTTCACAAAAAGGTAATAGAAACAAGCAAATCTGGAAATGAAAAGTGGGGTGCAAGAAAGCCTTAAATTCCCAGAAGACACACAATCTATCTGTACCTTGAGGGTGAGCGGGTACGTGATCTTCTTCTTCGACGTGAGCCTGACCCAGATCGAGACCTTCTTCTTCTGGACCTGAAGAAAGATTACAACATTTTTCTTAAAAGAAGCCTGAACTGCTTAGGGAAAGAAATGCCTGCACTGAATGTAAAAACTAATCAAATGCAATACCAACAAATACCAACAACAGGGATCCATATATGTGTGTTGTCAAAGTCCTTAGCCAGGTAAGTGTAAAAAAATATACTTGCCCTGGCTAGATTTTACTAGTTTGTAATCTGCCCATAATATATTGCATTGTAGGCATAAGAAAGGCAATGATGAGTCTGTTTGCGGTTGTTCAGCACATAAAATTGAGCACTTGGGTAATTAATTGTGAGTTTGGTAAATGATGTATGGGGAAATGTATTGTACTACAAAAAAAAAATTACATCCAGTGATAAAGGTTTGCAAACTACGATCAATTTTTTTTTTTCTGGTAAAAAAGCACTCTGTGACAGGTTAGTCTTGAATGTCAAATATTAAATTTAAAACAAATTTTCAAATTTAATCCATCAGAAGACAACCTTTTGTGTTATCATACTCATCCAAACTATTTCATGTTTACCTCGGATGACCTGACAACAGCTAATATTGAACCCTAAAACAGAGGCAGAGTTGAAATTTCAAGAGGACTACTGAAAAGAAAAAGGAGATAAGATGAAATTTTTTGCAGCAAGTGATAATCATGTTACCTTGAGTGAGATCTTCTTCTGGATTGTGATCTGGAGCGAGACTTTGACCTTTCATCTAAAATAAAAAAGGCAAATTAAGTGAAGTCAGTTTAACATGGTAATGAGAAGAAAAGTTCCCACCAATGGCATAGCACACACACAGTCCACAGTTCCTCCAGTCACTCTGATGAGGGGCTAACACCCAAAACCTCAGTTTTTTTAACTCTAAACAGAGGCCAATTCACATTATCAACTCAATTGTTAGATTTAACAAATTACCTTGTTAAACCTACAGAATGTTTATCATGCAAATTTTTAAAATCATTAAAAAAATAAATGCCAGAGCTGATCCACTTTTAACTTCTCTTAAGATCAACAAGACACAAAAAGAGGGATGATGAGAGTAACAAACGAAAGACAAAGGGTGTTAACATGATGTGTTGATTGACCCTCATCACTAATTTATAAGAAAAGGCATGGCAGCTAGCAGAGAGAATTGCTCAGCAGACTACGAGTTAAATAAACTAGTACACTCATTGAGCTTTAGTACAACCAAAGAAAGTACTTAATGCAGTCTTTGTTTCTTAAAAATTACAGAAATATAGTACTTGATATACCAACCAGGATCAATTTCATCTTCAATGATCGAGGATGCTTCTTTAACACGTCGCATAGCCTTATCAATATCTTTGCGGTCTTTATCTGACGACTTGGACGCTGGCTTAACAATGGCATTCTTTGAGTGGTTGACTCTTTTAAGACAAAAAAAAAGGAACAATTCAATAGAGGTGATGATCAAACATAGCAAGTATTCAAAACCATTGTATTAATTGAATGAAAGAGTGATCTATGAAATGTAGGAGCTTACTTCAGAGGTCTGCCACCAAATATCACTCCATTGTATTGCAAAGCGGTGTTTACTGCACTTGGTTCTGAGAACTCGACAAATGCAAACCTTAAATCCAATGGAATACAAAAATACTTCTTCATTCAATGTCATTTATGTTTACTTATGATGCAATAAATATCAACATTCTGGGACACATCATTGTCAATAAACACTAGTATGATTGTAATTATCCCATTCTAGGTCAACAACATACAGCAATATAGTAAATCCCTTTTTCCTCCAAAAAAAACAAAACAAAATATGAATGACAAAAACAATTGTAATAGCAAAATATGCTGGTGAAAAAAAAAAAAAAGACTGAAGACACTGGTTAGAAAGAGTCTGAGACAGACTGTATGTAAAAAAGTATTAACAATTATTTAATTTGCAGCCGAAATTTATCCTCTTTCATTTTTAACGTCTAAAAATGTTGATCTAGAAGAGTCTTGGAATCTCTTATGCTTCCTGTGTGTTTGAAATGATTTTACATCCTATGCCAAAAAGTGATTGCTAAGAATGACCACTTACATGTACTGGTAGTTGTCAAAAGCCCTGTTACCATTATGCTTACCTAGTGGGTTGAGTATCATCCCCAGACATTCTCACATATCGAATCTCACCACAGCCTGAGAAGAATGCCATGAGTTGTTCTGCTGACAGCTATGGTAAAAAAAGGAGAGAAAAGTTTATTCAGTATAAATTGCCTTAACTGATACTCTTTTTTAAATTTAGGTGCTAACCATTGAAGGGTTAGGAAACAAAGTACCATTCAAAGATAAGCCAAAAGTCCTTCTTAAATTTCTCTTCTTGACACTCTAGTTGTTTTGAAAGGGAAAAGTTAGTTTGAAGATTCTTGATGACTTTTTTAATGATCTTAATGAACAAGTTCAACTAAAACAATTTATTTTTATTAACTAGTTAAGGTAGCTGAAAATATTTTTGTTGTTTCCTCTTGTATCAAAAATGATGTTTGCTAGTCAAAATTATACCAGTCTTGTCCGCAAAATTAGTACACAGGAAATTTCACACAGAATTTTGTGCAGTGTAACATTAAGGCTCAGAAAAGACTCAGAAACCGCAGTGAAGATAATGTGGATGAAATAATCACTGAAGTGGACACAAATATCATTATCTATAATTATCCTACAGTGTGCATGACCTTTATTTAAAAAGAAACACTTATTTTGAAATGTGTCAAATATAAATACAGTTTTAAATCCATTTTTTCTGCTCTTACCGTGGTATCCAAGTTTCCAACATAAACAGTTCGTCTAATTTCATCAATTTTGCTGGGGTCTACATTAGTAAGGGGAGGTGGAGGCGGTAATGGAGCAGGTACAGTTAGAGCAGTGGCTAGCTGTTACACATCAAGAAAGAATAGTACTATTAGTTTTCTTAAGTCAAAGTAATATAGCCTACTGTACAATTAAGACATGTGTAAGAGTGTGTAGATATAAAGAGCACCTACAGTACTCCCTAAATATTCACTTACTGCTTTCTGTATCCAAACTTTCTGAATTTGTATAAAGCCCTTAGATATCAGTGCACTCGACTCTAGATTGAGTGGTCCAGGTTCAAGCACTGGCTGGGGTCACTGTGTTGTGCTCTGAGGCAAGACACTTTACTCTCACAGTGCTTCTCTTCAGCTAGCTGTACAACATGTGGGAAGTAGCAATACTCCTAGTCGCTTCATGCTAAGGAAACCGCAGTTAAGCGCTGGCCCCATGGGCCACTTGGGCCTGGATAAAGGCTTTACCTAGACATCAACGATTACAATTTTTTCCTGTGTGATATAGGCGAACTGATGAATTATCAATTCCTTGCAAACAAATTCTAAAACATTACTCAAACCAGTTTCCTTGCTTTTTCTTCATATATTTGGAGGAAAATTATCCTAACTTACCGGTAATTTGATTCATACTTTTCTATTTAAAAAGATAATGTTCTTATAACTGGAAAAATGCTAAAAATCAAACTATTACAGTTTTAAAAGCTGTTCCTTAAAAAAAATGTACATTTAACTAAAATAACTATGTTGTACTTTAAAAGTAATTTAAGTTCATTGGTTTCAAACTGGCTTGATTTGTAATTCCCTTTGTTACAGATATTTCACATAATCCCTTGGCAATGAAATATACTATGCAAACTGTTTTCAATTCAGATTAACTAAAAAGCATGTGAAGTAACAAAATCTCAAGCCTCTATAAAATGAATTAATATCATCTGGACTTGATAAAGCACAATTTCATTTAACCCTTTAACTCCCATGAGTAACCAAGACAGAATTTCTCCTTACAATATCAATACGATATCAAGCAGACAAGTGATGAGAATAGAGAAAAATCTTAATTGGGGGATTATTAGTTGATCCAATACCAAATTCACCAAACTAACATCAGAAGAACTATATAGCAGACAGTAAGGAGTTACCAATGAGATCTTAGGAGTTGAAGGGTTAACTATTCAAACACCTCTGCATCTATTTTTCAATAAATTCACTGCATTGGTAGCAGTGTGGAAATTACACCATAAAATGTACATCAAACAAACAAAACAATTTTCTTTTAACTTACCCCAGGAATAACTGTAGAAACTACTCCTGGAACAATTGGAACCTAAATAAAAGTAAAGAATGTTTATGATCCCAAAGCTCATTTTTTTCCCTAATCAGCAACAAGATGACAAACTAGTTGCTACCTTAATTATTTTAAATTACATCTACTGATTCAAAAGTTAATTAAATGCTGACCCCACATTGAAAATTTGTCTGTGGTATCAGGAATTAACAGCACCTTTTGTGAGAAGCCTTATAATTATCCCTATTCTTTTAACACAAACATATCCAAGAGCCTCAAAGGGAAAAGGCCACTTGTTGAACCCACTTTTCATGGACATAATTTTTCACCTGGTCATAACTTCACATACAGTAAGTGTAACTGTCTTTATAACAATGATGAAATAGGAAGGCTTTACCTGTGCTGGCATGGGTGGTGTGGGGAGTAATCCTCCTGATGATCCTGTAAAGCCTCCAGCAACTGCACTGGCAGGTGCTGCCAGCTGAACTGCTTTAGACTCATCTGGTATTGTTCCTATTTAAAAACAATTAGCATTAATTTAATGGACACAGATCAGATCACTGTCAATGTACAGCATAAATTATGTTACTAGGGACTCAAACACCAGTAAAGCAGAACAGAGTCAATGAGGGAGGCCACTTTAATATCATCACCATGTGCTTCTGTTGACCCACAGACTCCTAAGAGACAATTGACATTTAATTTCTTCTCACAATATCTAAACATTACCCAGCCAATGGGTGATGAGAGTAGATACTTCTAAATTACTGGGCATCATCTTAACATGATGCCATGAACCAGATCTTTGTGTTCTTTACTCACTTCCCACACAGTCTTAGTGGCCAGACTGAGATTTCCTCAGCTGCTCAAATAATGGAAAACAAAGAAACAAGACAAAGACCCAAACTTATTCTTAGGCAAGAACTTGCAACAGCCGAGTGACAAGAATAAAATGGTTTAAACCTTGCAGCACAGTTCTTATCAAGTTCAGTACTAAAATGATATACCATTATTGTCTACATTAAAGCTAAAGAAAATACTCCACCTACTAAAACAAATACATTAATTAACAAAGTTTTACTCCCTCACTGATTATGTTTGGAAAGTGGGTAATAAATAATTACCTGCTTGAGATTTTTTGTGTTGTTAAGAATTTGTTCTGGACCCCTTTTTCAAAATGCTACTTTTCACAATTAATTCAATTGCCATTGCCTGCTATCAATAGTTGACTTGCTCTCAGCCAGTGAGCATGCTGAAAATTTTACATGGATATCATTAATATTATCACTGGGCTTGCACTTACTTAAAGATTGAAGTTTCCATTACTTTCCTATAATTGTTTTTTTTAATTTAGTTGTTATAATGATTTTTTTGTTCCTGTCTTTTTCTGTTTTGTTGATAATTTGGAGTACAGTATTTACACTCCCGAACTCTTTCCCTAAGTATCCCTGTTCCACATCATTTAAAGGAGAAGTATTGTTTCTGAAGTGTCTTGTTCACTTTCTTGCAAGCTCAAGGTACATAGGTAAAAAACAAAGAAAAAGACTGTTTGCTAACTAAAGCAAGAACATCTCAACTTAACACAGTCCATACCATCCTGTACTGGTACAACTATCAGTGCTCTGTCAATAAAAACTGTGTTTGTGAGATGCTGAGCCACGTGAACACTGCAAGGATCTGTAAACTTCACAAAGCATACTCGCGTAGCTGTTCCAAGGTGAATCATCGGATCCCTGAAATAAACAATGCAATACAATAAGGTAATATACCATACTCAGAAGATAAATAAGATAATGTACTGAAAAACCCTAAAGTTAACAAGAGAAAAATAAATTAAAGATAACCATATTTTTTCTTAGTCCTATATTAGATTAATATCCTACTTATCCTAGTTCAAACAACAATCTCCTTGATGAGAGAATATCCTGGTTTCCCATACAGTTAACTAAATCTTCAAAATAATACAACAACTCAACTATTAATTTCTACAAAAGAGAAGAAATTGAGCTAATTTCACCTAAAAAATCTAAGGAAGGATAGTTTCATTTTCAAGTGATAAGTTGTGAAAAAATACGCATATTATACATCTCCAGCACGAGCTTGGTATTCACGTGTAGTTAGCTGTATGTGGATTAAGTTAAGACGTCTCGATCGATGAGGAAGGAGGAAAAAATGCAATTACTAATTAATGGAAACGTCTGTGGGGATTATCAATTTAAACTCACTCAGGGAACAGATGCATCTCCTCGATTTCACCAAGAAAACCAAACAGTGTTTTCATTTGATCAACGGTTGCGTTCTGAGCGATATTCGTCACCTGAATAACCCTTGTGCTGGGCTTCTCCGTTCCTGTTGTCATGTTTCTGCGAAAAAGATGAAGCAGGATTCAACGTCAAGACGGGCGCCCTTACACACGCATGTTCCAGAAGAATAGCATAATTTGAAAGCAGAATCACGGCTCACATCTCAGCGCATTCACTTCACGGAATACCACTGACATCCGGCATAAATACAATCTCGAGCCCAGGGTCATTTCGGCTCCTTGTCAGCGGTACGTCATGTATGGGAAATTATTATAGACATTACTGCATGACTTGTTCTCAGAAGTATGAAAATTCTGGATAAAGAAACTTTGGGGCAGTAATTCTCTGGCAAAAGGAAAAATAAACAACTGTTAAATGATATCGAATATTATCATTCGTAGTTATAGTTTCTGTAGTCCAGGTACCCATTCTCTTTACAATAGGGACCTTTAGCAAACCACGACGGCGACGGAAACGAGGGTGAGGCATAGCAAAAGATCCAATGAGTAGAAAAATAGCTCAGCACATGCGTATTAAAACTGTGTACATTTCGTAGCCGTCCTCTGGAAAATAACAACTTAAAATCATCAAAATTTGCGTGGTCTCAAACTGGGAACCCGACGGCAAATTGTTTAAGTTTCCATTTAGTGCCCCACGCCGCTCTCATACGTTATACTGAGATTAACTTGTGGCGCCATAAGAAGTAATAAACACATTCAGTAGTTTGCGAGATTCCAACTAAAAACATTCATCTTTAAATCGACGTCTTCCTTGGCGTTGCCGTCCTGACTGCTAAAGGTCCCTAATGTAGCAGAAAAAGGGAAGACTGTGCACAAGGTTTAATTTTTCTGACAAGTTTTGTCAACCATTTTATTATCATTTCAGCCGTGACCAAACAGGAAAAAAGAAAATTACTTAAAGCCCGTGAAAAATAATAATTATGGCTTATTCCACATCACATTTTGCTATTTTGATTGAGGGATCGTTTTAATGCGAACGACTACGACAAAAATTGAAGTTTTGTTACTTCCTTTTCAGTTTCTACATTTTGTGCAAATCGTTTGTACTCATTGCAAGGCTCTTCTGTATTTTGCTTTGGAAGAAAAATGAGAGAACCCAGATGGTAATTTGCCGTTTGCGTTTTACCACAACAAAATGTGCCTCTAATGAATGGTGCTAATTAGAAAAATCGTGCGCGCTAAAAACCCGTGCAGTTAGACGGGCCACTCAGGGAAGAGCGCAATAACCCACGTGCACGCCAAAGTTTTAAACGGCGCACTTTTTGAAATTATCACAAGCTCAGAGAAATTCTACCTCAGTGACTACCTTACACAGCGTTTTCTCCTTTGGAAGCCCTCTTTCGTTTCTCATTTTGTCAAACTTAACATCACGTATCATTTCTGGCAACGGACGGAAGCAGGTAAGTGTTTATCGACGCTTATACAAATAAGTAAAACTATTTATTTACAAATTCAAGAGGGGTTCTGGGTCGAAGCTTCGTTTTAATAAATCCTTCAATTATTTTCAGTCGCACGTATTTCTGCCCAGAAGCTGTCAGTTACTTGGCAGTAGAAATTACATTGCGTATTTTTCTTTCGCAAAATCGGCTTCCTTGAAATTCTTCTTTGAAACTGTTGTCTCGCGGAGGACCATTTCTAATCTTTTATCTTCTTTGCTGAGATTCCGCGTTAACAATGTGGCGAGAGCGTGGTGCGTGCTCTTAAATTTTAATTGGTTACAAGTTTGAAGCGAAACTCAGTGTCTCAAATAATGCATATTAATTTTGATAGTGAGTATATCTAAGGCCCCGTCCACACGTATCCGGATAAATTTGAAAAAGGATAAATATTTATCCGTTTCAAAATTTATCTGCGTCCACACGTTGCCGTTTGTGAATCGTTTTTGGTGTCCACACGTAAACGTCAAACAATGCCGTGATGAACTGAACAAAATGTGCAAAATTGAACCACTAAATGCTAAGTTTGAAGGGGCCAAAGTGACTATTGTTGAAACCGTGTTTAAAATACATATCTCTGATTTCCTGAAGCAAAACAGTGACTTTGACCCCATCACTGATAAAATCAAAATCAATGGTGATGGTGCCTGAATGACGAGAAATTCAAATTTTATTTTACTTTCATTTTCTTGTTACGTCATCTATTTCAAATCGTTTTCAAATTTATCCGGATGAGGCGTCCACATGGAGACGCTTAGCCAGCGTTTTCAAATTTATCCACTCTGGAGAGCGTTTTCAAATTTATCCGTTTTCGGCGTGTGAAAACGCCGTTTACGTGTAGACGGAACCCGTACCGTATAAATATCTATCCGTTTTCAAATTTATCCGGATACGTGTGGACGGGGCCTAAAGCTTGTTTATAGAGGCATTAGTTTCGAATATTGCTTTAGTACTAAAACATGGAACGACCTAAAAAACCACCTACAACCATTTACAACCACCTCAAAAACATCTACAGCCACTCGCAAACTATCTAAAACCATCTAAAACAAGGTATAAATGTCTAAAATAAGGCGAGACGAAAACATGTCACGTACATGAAATACGAGAATCGAACGAAACCTCCACCTATCCCAAAAACCTTACTCTCCCTGGTCCCATGTATAATCAAACATCTCACGAAATGGAATGCGATAGCATGCCAATTATTTTATATTCCCTCAGTAGCAATATCCATAATATCTTTCTCATTTAGGCTAATACGACACTCCAGTCCAAACACCACTCGGTCCATTCCAGTCACTGCATTTCTGTGAAGTCCAGTTCATTGTGCATTTAGTCCAAAACTCAGCGTCCAGTTCCATGTAGTCCAGTACGGTCCGGTCCAGCCCGCGCCATTCCTTCCAGCTGGTCCCAGCGATCATCTCAAGACAAGTGCTGACTCTCGTTACCAGTATAACTCGCATATGGATGGGAAAGCGTGGTGAAAAAAAGGGCCAACGCTCCATTGGGTTTTTTCTTCTCTTCCTCTCTGTTGCATACTGGGAACAGATCAGTTAGAAGACGCTGATGTCCGGCCGGTTAGTAAGATTCTTTGTGGGTTGGTTAAACCATAAAATCCAAATTCTTCTAGAAGTTGTCGTACTTCTGATTGGGCTCAAAGTAGTTACAGTAAAAACTTTAGCCAGCTTAGTTAGCAGGTTCCCTCGAGGTTGGGCTAGGTCTTCCCACCAATTTTTTAAAATTTTTCACTCAATCGAATACTGCTCGACACATCTTCGGTTTGGATCGTTTCTTCTTCGTCGCTTCTTCGGTTTGTCACAATATCGGCTTCGTTTAAACTTCGGCTCTTCCTCAACAGGTCTTTCGGTGTTAATCAGCTACTCATTGACTTAAGCGCACGTCTTCCCCCATAGTTACTTCGTCTGTGGCAAATTGCATTTTCAGTTTCACCTGATTGAAGGGATCTTAAACACTGTGATCGAGTAAGACTATTTAACATAAAAAAAAGTTTGGCTCGAAGGTTCAACTAGATTTTAACGTCATTAATGGAAATCGGATTTAAGAAATTCAGTCATGACAGCAAATTAGAATTGAGAATTGGCCTTTTACAAAAAAGATTACGTTCGTATTAATGAAAATTGAGGTCGTGTTCCTTTCGGAGTTCGGCTTCACTTTCGGTTCGAATTTCACTTCGGCTGTTCGTTTGGCCTTTCGGAACTTGTTCGAATCTTCAGTTCGGAATACAAAGGCAATGGGAAGCGACTGAAAGTTGTTAGCAAGTTGATATAAAAATGAAAGTACCGTCCGGGACACTATGGGTGTTAAAATTATTGGGATGTCGACATTACTGACACGGAACGTTCGGAGTTTTGTGGACGCCAAATTTTTCGTCCAGGGTGCGCGTCCCCTTCTGCTCGGTTCTGTGGAGTAATTTCGAAAAATCTTAGTAAATTTATTGATATAATATGGTATAAGAAAATAAAATGCCTAACCCGATTCTCTGTGTTCTTTTCCTTATTTTTGGGATACACAAATTTATATGATTTATTTTTCAGGGCGCCCTGTGTAAATTTGTCCCAAAAATTGAATTAAAATACGAGCGTCTCGGTGTCTTTTCTCTATTAAGAAACTAGTTTTAAATCCTACTACCGCAATTTCAACTGCAGGAGCTTTATGTTGGCCTATTTTCGGAGGCTTGAATTGCCAATTTCGGGGCATTTGCTCGAATCGTGAACTGGATTGTTTCAATGACTTTCCAATCTGCCAATGAAAAAGCGCTAGAAGCAAAGTCACCTTGGTGTTGACTGTGCGTTCGCCCATTTTCGGAGGGTTTGGTAGTTGTCTTGCCAAAGTCATCCATTGTCGAGCGTGAACTGTTCTTGCGGCTTTCAGGTTAAAGATTTCAAAACTTCACTCTGTCCATTTTCGGGGACTGACCAAAACTTTTCAAAGTTTTTACTTTGAATTTCCAATACCTGCGGCTCAACAGGAGCCCATTTTCAGGGGCTGTGCATCACTGAGACGGTGAGTAAAGAATTATTATAATTTTGGCATATTGATCTGTTTAAGATATGTTTGTTCACTTGATAATTCAATAAGAGTAAACCCAATAATTTGAAATAAAAAAAAACAATTGATCAATACAAGATAAATTGAGAAAATAAAATGTATATTAATAACTAATAAAATTGGTTAATTCTTAAAGAACTAAAGAAATGATGAATAAAGAGGGAGTTGAATAAAAACGTAAATAAATTGATATATAAATAAGTTGGTAAACAAATTACTATTATATCGTATGGTCACTGTATTAACAATCCTTTTTGCAGAATATTAAAATTCAGTACCACATTGTCTTAAAAGTTTGCAAGTATTTTTTTCTTACAAGACTTAGTTTTCTCAAGATACAAGCAATCACAGGGTCGCTAATGATTCATGGCTGGATTTGTAACACTGGGATATCATTAGAGCAGGATTAGAATGGATAATGACAACAAGCTGAGCAACCGCTGTGAGGAGAATCCAAAGCTTGGAGGTACGTTAAATTTCTGAATAATGGATTAAAAGCTAGTCGAAGAGGATTGTCTTCTGCTTGCAAAAGTTTTACATAATATAGTATAGTATTGGAGTTAAA